TCTCTCTCTCTCTCTCTCTCTCTCTCTCTCTCTCTCTCTCTCTCTCTATCTCTCCGTACACACGGCCACACGGCTCTTTATGCTTTCCAACATTTAGCCGTACATTCGATCAATGAGAATGAATGCTAAACAAGTTTTCATATTTGTCGCTAGATAATTTTTCGAAATTTGAATAGGTGAATAGAATCGTCAAACACGTACATATATGACTGCGTGAACTAAGTGTCGATCACAACAAGACCCGTTTTTCTATTCAGAGTCGTCTTTTAGCTTTCGAGAAATTACTCGGAACAAAACAAAAAAAGATCACGTCGATTAAGAGATCTAACGATCGATATATACGCAACATTGACTTGGCTGCTATGTCACTTTATCGATCAATAATATGTTTGTCCTGTTTCAACTCAACAATGATGTAAGACTCGCCGAAAAAACCATCGCGAACATTTCAAAAACCATAAAAAATAAGCCATTTCTCATTTTATCTCGCTTGATCATGCTGGTTTTTTCTCTCGAATATTTATAGGGATTGCTATCTCGAACATTTAATATCGAAACAATGTGAATTCAATTAGCTTTCTTTTACAACACGAAAATCGAATGGAACAAACAAAGACTTTACACCATATCTCATCCGTTTTTCTTTCTTTTTATAAATTTTGAAATGGAACAAACAGCTGATATGAAGCGTCGTAAATACAATGAATTGAACTACAAATGAATCCATATCTTTGATATGCAATCAAATTCTCCTCCAAATGAGATGAAAAACACAAAATGAAATTGAAAATTGGTTTGGTTCGCTTCTTTTAATTTCACTTTTTCAAACATATTCATATATATAATCTTTTGTATTGATAACAACAGCAACCCAAACGAAAAAAAAAATTTCTCGAGCAATTTGTTGTATATGGCTTGGTTTTTTTTTTCTCTAGCTGAATATATTTGAATTATTCATGAGACGATATGCATTACAATAAAGAAGAAAAAAAAAACAAAACCAAAAAAATTAAGTAAGTGAACATGAAAATCCCATATTCGATCACCTATCGATTTATCGAAGCTGTTTTACTGATGAATGCATTTGATATGCGCATGCATTTTCGCTTGAAACTTGATAATTGGTGAAAATTGTTTAAATTGGCGAAAAAACAACAATAACAACAACAATGAATCCCAGAAGAAAAACAAGCAAACGCAAAGCGATTTAATTGAAAACTAAATCGTTTATGGTGAATGGCTTCGGTGTGCTTTTCTTTCTTTCTTTTGTGCTTGTGCAATATTATGTGCAAAATTCCATATAAAAGTCCGCATCAATATTTTGGATCATTTTAAACGAAAAAAAAAAAACAAATCAAATCGAAATCATATTTCCAGTAATAGCTTCTAGCTATGAGCGTGTAATGCGTCTTGGATTTGTTAGAAAATATACTGATTTTTTGTTGCTGTTGTTGAATGGGGAAGAAAATTGGCCGATTATTGGATTTCAATGGCTTTCTTCCACACTCCCAAATCGATCAGTTAATTCAATGCTAAATTGTACACGCAGCGATAATCGGAACCTAAATGAACATCATAAGCAAGTGGCATAAACTAACAGTTCCAGATGGTCTTTGGCTTTGAAATATGTGCGCGCGAGCGCGCCTGACCAATTGCCGATTGACGATCGATTTGGGTTGCGTTGATTCTCTCTGGTCTATTTGCTGATGACACAAATGAGATAATTTTGTTCGTGTGTGTGTGTGTGTGTTGTTGTCTCAATCGAAAAATGCAACCATGCCATTCGGTTGATTACAAATTAACACAGCGAATGAAATGGTACATTTTCTCTATTGCAGCCGCATATACAATGTTCCCAATAAAATAAGATGCAAATAGAACGACGATGACGACGACGAAGAAGAAGAAAAAGTAGAAGAAAAAAATACCGCAACTCGCAGAACGAGTACGACATTGTCAGAGCCACTGTGACTATTTTTTGAAACGCGCACACAGGTGTGCGCTTGCGTGCAGTCTGCAACAGCAAAAGCAGTAAGTGCATCAGCAGCAGCAGCAGCAGCAGCAGCAGCAGCACCACCACCGCCAGCAGCAACATACATTCGCTCTTGTAATAACGGCTTTTAATCTAGATCAGATGTTTAGGTTTATTTATAACGTGCTTGCATACAGTCAACCGGTCATGTTGCTGGAATAAATGGCGAGCAATATAAAATCTCAATAAATATGTATGCTAATTAGGTGCCATCACATTACTCATCTACATCTAATCGCATCTAATCGGGTGGCTTCTTTAAAAAAAAATCTACTTTTACATCAATTAGCACCTGATGTTGTGTCCCTCGCCCGCACGTATGCGCATGTAAACATTTATCTAATTGGAACATTACTGTCATTCCCATCAAATGGGATCCTTCTTTATCGGCCAGATAATTAAGCACTGATTTTCTTCGTAATTAAAAGCAAATGTGATTGTATGCGGCCGCATGAACGTAATGCATATGAACTAGTCCGTTTGAATTGTGTGTTCGAAATGAAATGTTTTGCGCAGAAAAGCGAAAGTATTTCGTGAATCGAGACCAGATCGGTGTGGTTTGTAATTCAATGATAGTTATGATACATTTCACATACGATATTAAATTCGGTAGAGAGACAAAAATACAAACACATTTCTTCAAAGATGACGGTGATTTCGTGAAAACCCAAAGAAATGTTCATACGTATCGCATTTCCGTTTGAGGAAATTGCTCGACAGTAACGAGAGAAAAAACTGTATCTCTTTAAAAGGAAATAAACTTTCCGTGATAGAGTTATTTAGGTGTCACCAAATGTAACATGCATGAACTATTATTTACATCGTGAACACTGAGACTAAATAATAGACCGAAAAAAAGAGCGTTTCACATGAAAACGACAGTGGTTGGATGCTGCACGCAATCATCATGAAATCATAACGATCGAAAAATGAAATTCAACTCAAGATGAAGGCATAAAGACTACGTCGATGACATGAGGAGGAAACGATTTCAAACCAAGCATAAATTGTATTATTTTGCTTCGGAAAAAATGTGTTATTTTGTTGCAAACTACAAAGAAAACGTATCTGCTTTTCATTAAGTATGGAACATTCTTCAGCGTTCCTCTGTGTATACGTTCAGAAATGTACGTTGTCTATGCACTTCGCGGGTAGTTGCATGGTGCCAATCGTGAAATCGAAAACAACACATTGTACGTGTACCATTTTTTTTTCTGCATGGCCTTTTTTCTTTCCTCATTGTTTAAACTGGCACGAGTCACACAGATTAGATTTTAAGTCACACGATGTTATTTTGAGGAATAAGTCTAGCCTGCAATTATCAAGTATATATCTCGCACAACTCGCCCAGTAAGTATGGTTCATATGTCGAAATAATTTTTTTCCTTTCGTTCATAAAATCGCCTCGTTATTTTAATAAGCATTTCAATAGAGTCGTTTGGCAAATGAGCTAATTGTTAATGTTCTTTGTTGGCCAAAAAAAAAAAACGAGAACAATTTGCTGCTTGTTGTAACGGTTAAATCGGTGCAATTGGAATGGTTGATCGACGCGGGCGAATATTCATGGTGTGGGCAAACAGCACCACGATGTCACAAATATAATAATCATACTCACTCACATACACACCTTTTATGACTCATATTTTTTTTCGATAATTTTTCTTTCTGTTCGTTTGTGATGATGAATTATTCAACTGTGGTTTAAAGAGTGCCATTGAGTTTGATGGCATCGCGAGTGCGCGCGCGTATGTCAAACGTGACGCAGCGAACGCGCGACACATTCGATAAAATAGCAAACGGAAACACGGAATCAATTCAAAAGAAGAAAATGGAAGTAATTGATGTACAAAAAGGAGAAAGAAATGTGCCACACCAAAGCCAACGAATCAGAAAGAAGAAACAAAGATATATAATGCAGCCAGTTCATCAGATGTACATTGTATACATGTTCAAAATGATTTAAATAAATACACGGTTCCATCTACAAAATTAATTGTGGCTCAATTACGAGCTGTTTTTCTTTCTTTCTGCAGAATGGTTTTTCCATTTCTATTTCTTTGCGTGTACATTTACGGAGTTCAATCGAATTCACGCTTAGAACGTGACATCAATTTTTAATGTTGAATTTTATTGACATGGATGACAACCGAAATTGTCCTTCAACCATTGATCGATCGATCGATCGGTGTCAAGCAAACTAACAGAGAAGAAACAATTTGCAACACCAAACACAGAAGAAACGTCTTCATATTCATGAACGTATTAGATTTTGGTATTGCCTTGACTTACGATTAAATAACAAATTATTAATGCTCTGGCATTGATAGAGAGTTTGATAGATAATCACATAGGAAAAAAGACAAAGAAAAAACAATTTCTTTTTTTTACATAATAAAAAATTAGAATTACAAATTTTTCTACTGTTCTTCTTCATCATCTTCAATCGATTGAATGATTAAAATCTCAACAATTTGTGTTGATCAAACTTTTCAATGCATTTGAAATCAATTCGGCGCGGTTTGTGCACGTAGTTGGATTCGTTGTTATTTTAGCACCATTTTTCTTTTATCATTTTATTAAGAAGCCATTGAGAAAATGAGCTGTAGCTAATTTGCTCTAAAAAGATACAAAAGGCATACATTCTTCGCCAATTGATCAGAGTTCAGTTTGTTGGAAAGAAAATCAAAAAGAATTGATCAGATTTGCTATGAATAAACACGTGCACGCCTATGCTTCAAATAATCGCTGATGGAGAGAAGAAAAAAAAAACGCCGCACGTAAACCAAATTCCGAATACGTAGTAAACACCCGCCATGTACAGATAAATAACTAAACGTTTCGTACGGTTTCTTCGAGGCGCGTTCAATGTTATGTGTTCGCTGTGTGCACTTCTCGCTCTATACGCGGTTGTATATATTTTGTTTCATTTTGATCGTTGGTTCCATTCAATTTGGTATAACAAATAACATGTTCATTGCAAACACAAATGCTGAATGCCCAAATTTAAATATTTACTATGGCCTTTTTGTGTATTTCTTGGTTGAAAGAAGAAAAAGGGGCAAAATTGAAGAAGCTGATAAAATTACAATAGGTTTTGATTGAAAGTAGTAAAAACTGGTATATACACGAACAAATTCGGTACGTTTGTATGTCGGTATGATGTGGGTGCTATAAGGCACAACTATGCGTACATTTTGCAGCGTGACAGTAGCCAGTTTCTGTAGCTGTATGATTACAATTAAATTTTTTTTTGCTTTTGTGTCGCGCACGCACGACACAACTACCGTCTTTGAATTGATGCAAACGAAGAAATGGAGAAAAGTTTTGTCGTTTTTATTTTTATCAACACTTTGTGGTGTCACTCTCATAAAATATTGGCCAAAGAAAAAAAACAATTGCGAATTGAATGCGATCGTAGTTAACCAATCCATCAACCACTGACTTTGATTCGACTGTTTGCGGGAAATTATTTTGCCCATTTCACAATTGCTCATATCCATTCCATTCGAACAAAAACAAAAGATTTTAAATGAATGTTAGTTTTTAACATGAATGCCTGGAACTGGCAATCAAGCGACGAACCCATTTATAATTCCAGTTAATTATTTCTCAAATTCCATGCATTTGCGTTTTATGTGTGTTTTTGTTTTTTTTTGCTGCTGCCTTTCTTCACTCTGGCAAAATAGCACCGAAACATTAAACTATTTATAAACAATTTGAAACCGAATCAAAAACCAAAAACTATACAATTTCCGTCTAAAACACATAATTCACCTACTTCATTAGTGGTAACCATCAATTTTTGCTTGTCCGTTTCTTTTGCACAAACGATTTGTTGTTTTAGCGACGACGATTGCGATGAATTTTGTTTTGATCGTTGATATTTTTGCTGGCGTTTCTTTATTTCTTGTCAACCAGCTCCGTTAATACATTGAAAATCATCTCTCTTTTTTTGGACACAAAACACTTGATCAGTCTCTGTGTGTAGAACGAAAAACAACAAAATAAAGTAAAGTTCGACGGCGATGATGACAAGCGATGAACACAAAACATGAAAGCACACACAGCGCACGGGCTCACATGATGTAAATACTATTGCAATCCATTCAGGTGGACGTTCAACGTGAAACTAAACAATGTTTTTTTTTTTCTTCGTGTATTTGATTTTGATTTTAAATGTGGATGGGAATGTTGAGAGTCTCTCGCGCGCACTCACAATGCTTTGCATGAATCATATGTGCGGTGTGATCTTTGGTATGTATTTGTTCACGCGTTATGGCTAACGATCATTCTTCTGGTGAGGCACACAGTACAGCAACACGGTAAGCAAATCGAATACCATAGCAAAATGACGGTGAAATGAGGCACAAGAAATGCGAAGAGAAGAAATAAACATTTATAAAGTAAAACACAAAAATTGCAGAAGAAACAAAACGAACATGAAACAAAGACAGTCAAAGATAACGCGCAATGGAGGAAATATGTAAATGTATGCGTTGTAAGCGTTTATTTTGCCCATTGTGTGTTTCTTTCTCTCACTCTTCCTCTGTTTTGATCGTTCTCCGTTCTCATTCGGTCTTACATTCTTTTTATATCGTACTATTTTACTCATGCTCTGTCTTGATCGGAGTGCCCGCTCAAGGCATACGTTACCACTGCGATTTTATGCAATCAAACTCAGTGAATTTTTGCGAAATTTTTTAATACGTTGAAACATACCCGCTGCTACTGCTGTTTACGGTGTGTGCGCTCGCTTGCGAATTTTCGAACGGTGACGTTTGTTTATCTAAAAATTCATTTCACTCAACAGTTTTCTGTCGCAGGCATCATTTTGCTGTTGATGCTATAAACAAATCAGTGTTCAAACGAAACATTTGATTCATGCTCTTTTTTTTCGAGGGGACCAATTAAATTAACACAACCGTTTTTTTTTTTTGGTTCATATTACTTTAAAATTCATCTGATTTTTAGTTTATTTTGATGCTCATTAGTAGGAAATACACTTTGTTATGACAATTTAATGATGGATTTTTTCTCATTATTTTGGGGGAGATAATCTCCATTACTGCTGATCTTAACCCAAGTGTTTGTTTGATAACGGCAGAGGGATACGGTGATACAATAATAAATTACTTGCATAGTGTTGCATCGATTTTACAGAGCGTGGGCAATGATAGTTTAAGTTTTGTGCGGTACTGGACGTCTTTTGCAAGTGGATTGTGTTCCAAGTATATTGTGGCCAATTTTTTGTTGTTCCGCAAATTGTCCACACATTTCCAATCGGCGATTTGATTTGAGTTGGCCTTTAATGAAACAAAATGGAAAAATTTAAACTTTTTTGATTCGAAAATGCATGATGAAATAATTGGAAATGAATATGATGATAAGCAAATGTTGAGCTATTGTTATCGGTTAAATAGACATACCCAAAATTCTTCCAGGTTTTCCAAATGATCAACATTCTCAATGATCTTTATACGATTCTTGGCAATGTCGAATGTTTCCAACTTTTTATTCTGTTCAAGTCCTTCGATCTTCTCAATTCCATTCTCTGATACGTATAAATCGGTCAAATTCACCAGTTTATCCAAGTTTTCCAATTTGACAATGCGATTCGCTTGCAATGACAAAAGTTCCAAGTTCACTAGCTTATCCAAATTCTCTATTTTCTTAATTTTATTCTTTCCCAAGTACAACTGCGTCAGATTGGTTAGCGTATCCAGATTTTCAATTATCTGCAGGAAGAAAAATGTCATAGGATTTGTTTTGGCTTTAAATCATTACATTGAACTCAATTACAAAAGGATTTTAGTGTCTGTGAAGATAATGATTTCGACGCTTTGATGTAATTCATAAGAGAAACTTACGCGAATCCTGTTATCACCCAGTTCGAGCATTGTCAAGTTGGTCATCTTTTCCAAATTTTCAATTTTGGTGATTTTGTTGGCGCACAGGTACAGCTTTTCCACTTTCACCAGTTTATCCAAGTTTTTTATTTCCGTGATTCGATTAAAGCTGAGATCCAATATTCTGAAATCAATGGAAATGGCGTGAATATGTTTTGCATCATCCTCAGAAAAAATTGTTCCATGTATGAGACTTACTCCAAGTTCACAAGCTGGTCCAAGTTTTCAATATCGGTAATTTGGTTATCGTACAATTCGAGCTCAACGAGTCGCGTGAGTGAGTCCAAATTTTCGATTTTCTTCAATAAATTCCAACGCAAGTACAAGCGTTCCAACTTCACCAATTGCTCGAGATGCTCAATTTTACCAATTCGACTATGATTTAAGTCCAACACTTCGCATTCCGGATCAATGGTGATAACATCCTCCATTTTTGCAATGGTCGGACCATCGTTTGATTCCGAATCCACGACCAATTGCAATTGATCCGTCTCATCTTTATCTTTTTCCTCTTGCGTTGGCTTTTCGGCGTCCACCTTTTGATTAACTGTATTGATAATAGATGATATCACATCATTATTCAAGTCCGAAATCTATTAACAACTCATACCTTTTTCTTCGTCGCTCATTTTTCTTTCTTCAAGCTTTGCAATTATTTGCGTTAACACAAAAAACACCAACGAAAAATAGAAATAAAAACATCAAAACTATCGAATCTTCAGTTATGTAAATCTCCAATCGTAAACAAACAAAACGCAATTTGCTTCTATAAACGTCTGGAAAAGAAAATTATTTACAAAAAGTTCCGACACTCAACTCTAACCTTAAATGTCAATGAATCATGGTCCGCGAGTTTGTTTAATCTTTCATTTTATATATATTCACCTAAACCACACTCAGATGGCAGCACCATGCTCAGAAATCATATCCATTTCTCGTTTCAAATCATATTCCAATTGTAACATACATATCTTTATTTTCGATATATTCTTTCAACATTTTTATTACAATTTCTGTTGATTTGTTTTCAAACAATAAAATGAATCAATTTTTGGGTAGAAAAAAAAGAAAAAAAGGGTTTATTTCTTCACAATGAGAGTCGGTGGAGTTTGGTTTTTTTTTCAATATTCAAACAACAGCAATATGTTTTCGATTGGCACCTTTAATTTACTATCAACGAAGTGTTCCTTCCGTGACTTCATCTGTGGAAATGAAACGAATGTCTATATTGAATCATTGATGATAAAATAATAATGATATAGACAATTACAATTGGTTTAGACGATTGAAACGAAGCGTGTTGAAATTGAATGGTTTTCGTTTTGGGATCACTCATTAAACCGTAGTATTTTAAATCGAACGACAATTGCTGCACAGAATCACAGAACATGATATTTTTCAACCAATCCAATGATACGTATAGAACTTTGCTTTGATAAGCTGCAGAAAAACATTCCATCAAATCCCTAAAAATTGCCCAAAATCGCATTAAATAAATATTTTAAAGAGCTTTGTTATATTTGGACTTGGAATTCCAATAAAAATTGGCATTCCATCAATAAAAATAGATTTTTGAAGTGTAACAAACCTTCGGATTGACTGCACATGAAGTGAAGCCACAGTACTTAAGATGTAGGGTAATTTCCGAATGTTAACTAAGCATTTGTACAAGTTACGAGTCCAAAACGATAGCGCTACAGTAAATGCACATTCAAATGTAGAATTCCTGGGAAGAAAAATGAGGTAAAAAATAGAGTTAAAAATGGAGTCACTTTTTGAAATAGGTCGACAATGGTAACGCTTTTTAGAAGAAAACAATATGGGAAAACAATTACTTAAAATGGGGCGAAATCACGAGTGCTCTGGCCAATGCTTCGCTGTTGCCTAAATTGAACAATAAGTACAATGACTCTATCAATTCTCTATGAGCTGTGGCTTCTTGTTTGTCTAAATCTTTCGCATCTGCCAGTTCATCCAATGAATCGTAACACTTCAGCACTTTCTTCAGGCATTCCTGCAAATGTTGACGGCATATCTTTGGATCGAATCGATCAATTGGCTCTTCAACTAATCTGAAATTATTTGTTTGAATCAATTAGTTTAATTCTTACAATAATTAACTCCATCGACTATCGGTTTTACTCGAAAATGATTGAATATACCTATACAATGAGTAAGAAAGGAACATGATCATCGGTTCGATTAATTCAATAGTGGTGACTGCGTCCAAATTTTGCATGACAATCTCTTGACGAACGGCACGCAATCGATCAAAAATAAAATCATAGGCAACATGATAGGGTTTTCGATCGTCTCGAATGATTTCCATTAGTAAATAGTTTACAGTGCGTTTTAAACAATTTTTCGTTCTCAAACTTTGTGGTTTGGGAGTTTGAACACCAGCCGCCGATCTGGCAAATTCTTTGACTACTTTTTGTTCGTCCACAATATAATCGCCGGCTTTCGATGGTTTTCGTTCGAAAAAATGCAGCAATTTCTCTCTGGTTCGCCTGTGAATTGAAACTTGTTTTATATCCGAAAAAATAAGAGAATATCGAAAGCAGTACATACAATTTGATTTCATCATCTGGACACATTGCCTCACAAGTTCCAATCATTGAAGATTCCATTATTTAAACGGGAATGTTTACAATTATGCACTGTTTACTATGAATTTTTGCTATTCTCTGCAGCGGAGCGAATGTCATCAAAGCGGTATAGTTGATGAAACTGAACATGAGGTGAATTCGCATGTGGTGAATTCGTCGCACATCATGCCACTCATGTTCGTACCGTGCAACTGTATTTGTGAGATTGGTTTATAACGATATGTCAAACGGTTTGACATCTCATTTCACAAATATTGTTGATTGCTTTCAGTTGTTCTCGGTTATTCTAACTAAAAAAACACGAATTTTCGAAAGATTTCGCTATCAACTTTCGACCACTTAATAGAAACATTCCTAGTTCTTGCATACTTTGCTGATTTGGACGCTAAAATAACATGTCTGGCTACGATGTTCATGACGATGGTCCCGGCTTTGTCGGCATTCGTTTCTGTCAGGAATGGTAAGTAAACTACATTGAAACAACGTTGATTGAAGACGACAAAGCTGAAACTTTCTTGATTTCATATTAATTGACGAATTGGTTTTCATCGTTTTTCTTCAGCAACAACATGTTGTATCCGAAAGAGGACAAAGAACTGAAAATTCTGCTGTACGCGTGCCGTAACTGTGATTACAAACAAGAAGCCGACTCCAATTGCATTTACGTGAACAAAATTATGCACGAAATTGAGTAAGTTAAGCCAGTTTTATACAATTGTGTGATTTTTGATTGAGAAAAGATGAAATAAGGCGCTGATTTTAATCAATCTATTGAATCATTTTCCCAGTGAATTGACACACATCGTGCCAGACGTCATATCGGATCCAACATTGCCGCGGACTGAAGATCATGCTTGTCCAAAGTGCGGTCATCGAGAAGCGGTGTTTTTCCAAGCCCAGACACGGCGCGCTGAAGAAGAAATGAGATTGTACTACGTTTGCACCAACCCAAACTGCACACATCGATGGACTGAATAGATTTTCCATCTCCAGATTATCGCATTAAAATAGACACACACAATTTGTAATAAGCTAGCGTCAAGACATTTCTTTTTGATGAAATAAATAAACATTATCAGTCAATGAATATGCACTCATTTACTTTCTTTCTTCATACCACACTTTCGTTTGAAAACGGAAGAGACTACTGTGTTCAATTGCTTACTCGTTTCTGCAACATTCACTAAGTCTTTCAGTTCCAAATAATCGAATATCAGCTGTTTGCAGTCGTTGTTTATAGTCACAAGGCTTATTGGTTCCGACCTAATTGATAATATTTCTGGGAAATTATTCGATTCCATATTGTTGTGCATCGTGTTAACGTGGTACTTCACAGCTATATACTAATATAATTCAACTTTCCGAATCCTTGCTGTTTGTTGAAGAGAGGTAACGGTAAATGAAAATCCATTTAAAACCTCAAATTTCCTGAATTTTATTTCGAAACTTGGCAGAATATTGTTATGAATGTGTTGGTAATAGTGATGGCATACTCTAAAGAATAGCATAGCATCTGGTACTACTATATATACGTATTTATTTGAACTCTTAATCAAATCGAATACACAGTGAATTTGATTCTCTTTGCAGGTTTATGAACTGAATGAAAATAAAAATAAGATACATTTTAAAATAATTAAAAATGAAGTGCGAATGACTCTGCTTGTGTTGGATCACATGCATTGCGTGGTGAACGGTTCCAAAGCATTTGTCAAAGCAACTTTATTAAAATACGGTGAATTCGATTGATTCGGTTTAGTTCGTTGCCGTTTGAGACAAACTATTGAGAACTTCTTCGATTTGGGGTGTTTTGAACTTTCGCTTATTCAGTATATCGTACGACATTTCCCGCTTTCCCACCAAAAATGAGCTGAAACAAACGCATCAATTCAGATTAAACCAATTCCATTTTTAGTAAAATTCAAAGCAAAAATTATCAATGAATCAAATGTCTGATCGGTTCATTTTTAGCGTATCATCAATTATGCTTACATTAAAGCAGCCCCTTCAAGATTTCCCAAATACTCGAGATGTGCAATCCATTTGTTGACGATGATTTCGAAAATCTTATCTTCAGGCTCTTTAGACATTTTAGCAATACACCATGCTTCACGGTAGAAATGTGCATCGCACAGTTTTTCAATGGCTTCATTGACTTGCTGCGAGGCTAACAGATATGGAATCGCTTGCAGCACAAATCCCTGTTCGATACATTGATTGGCGAAGGCGAGAGAGCAGTTCTTCCAAAATCTATGTGTAAAAAAAATAAATATGGTTATGAAATGATTTCAATGAATAGAGATGGACACAAAGTAATGGAGTCGAAAAGAGAGCGTCCAAATGAATAACCTACTCGTATGAAATGGATGGTGCCAATGAGACTTGCTGTTCCGTGAGACGTTTTCCTTCGATGCTCTCGATAATGTTTGCTTTCAATTCAATTTTGATTTGTGGAATGAGTAAATTGCCAATCGACTCGGTTTTGGAGCTTTTGTGATTTTTCACTGGAAATGTAAAACCATACGAAATTGGTACTAGTTACAAAACATGGTTTGCAAAAGCACATTAAAACTTACATTCATCCTCAAGTAATTTTTCAACATCCTCACGGCTACCGAATAGTTTGACATGGAAGAGATTAGCTTTGTCCCCATCTGTACCGTTGGAAGCCGATGCTTTATGGAGCAGGCGTTGAAGATGGCCAAGAGGCTCCTTATTCAATTCCTTATTGGTCAAATGCAGAATGGTCGTGTAACTCAGCTAAAGAATGAGATAATATTACATAAGCCACTGTTACTTCTTCCTGTTCTTCTCTTCATTTAAATATGCAAAATTATGTTTGTATAAATCACGAATTTCGAGTTAATACTTGCGAATAATTCGCAATGCAAAATTTGTTACTACCTTCACTGGAGCTGGTACAAGTTTAACAGCACTTAGATTGTCAGCAATTTCAGCAACATCATCCTTTGCCTTCTTTTCCAATTGCCTTAATTTTTTCTTCTCTTGTTGCCTCAATTTCGATGCCTCATTTTGATACAGAGTGCCCCATTGAACGTCACTATTGAATGATTTCTTTTTCTTCTTGTTCTCGAAAGCACCAATGCTCGCAACGAGTCGATGTTCAATTTTGAAAATGTGCATCGTTTCCGATTGTCCAGAGCATATTACAAAGTTTTCATCTAAGGGAATTCAAAACCATTGGGTATTTTGTAATTTTTGTAAGAAATTTTTTTCTTATTGTTTTATATATTTTCAGTACATAATGGTGTACGTCCAAGTGACGTATTTTCATGTATGTACCTGTTGGTAAAAATGCAGCGCAATGCATTTTATTTTCATAATCCGACCAGGCGATGCATTCCATCGTTTGTGTATCCCAAACCCGTACGGTGTGATCAAAACTGGCCGAAACCAATTTGTATTCGGACTGTCCACTCCATCTGACCGATGAAACACCAGCTAGATGTCCAGTCAATTCACCGGTTTTCTTAAAACCATCATCGTTCTCTTCTAATATGAAAATACTGCTATCACTCGTCGATACAGCTAATTTCTTCGGATTTATCAGTGACCATGACAATTCCGACAAATACTTTTTCGATAAAACCTCAGAATACACCTCCTGCCAATTGAATTATGATTGAGATTTTGATCTTCTGCATGAGAAATTCACAATTTGTTTACCTTTTTTTCTGTGTCATTAGACAGGATTTTCAGCGTTCCATTTGAGAAACCAAGCGCTATATATTTTCCATTCGAGCTGACCGATGAGACTGGCACCTGGTATTCAAGTGCACTATGATCGTCTTGTTTGATCGAATTCTCATTGAACATCATCAATTTATGGCTGTTTGTTGCAAACAAAATGCATTTTTTTGACGCTTCATCCACGCTAAAAGACAAACTGTACACATCTTTTCCATTGAAATTCTTCATTAAATCGGGGGCACTTGAAGTTTTACTGATGTTGAATGTACCAACCTGAAGATTTGAAAAGTTTGTATTAAAAATATTGAGAATTTAACTGGACGCTTCTTATCGAATTGAAAGGTTTTTTTTTTTCTTCTTTTCAAATTTAATTTCGTTCCGTTTCAATTTATATTTTTTTGAAAAAAATGATTTTGATTCGAGTCATCACTTACGCGTCCTTCGTTTGTGCTAAAGCTGAGCAAATTTTCGTTAATCGGATGCCAGGCCAGAGCAAGAACTTTCGCTTGAATTTTCGACGTTAGCGATTGAATTTCCACATTGTCATCCTTCAACGTTGACAAATCCAATATGTTGATCCGTTTGTTGTTGCCGGCAATAGCGATCCTTTGAAGGAGAGTGTTTTCGCGAATTATTACCATGGTAAAATATAGATAACGATGTCAGCAGTGATTTCTTACTTGTTTGGATCATGTGGGCATTCACGCAACGTGAACATTCCAATTGGCAATGTCGAGTATTTTGATATAATCTCACTGGATTCATCGTTGAAACGATGGCCAATGATGTTCAGATGTGTCGAAAATGTCCATACAATCGGCGCCGCTGGATTGTGTTCAACATTTGAACAAATATTAATCACAGCTGTGTCTGGATACTCCGTGGAAACGGTGGTAAATTTCAAACTGAAACAGAAATAGGCGATCAATCAAATAAACGATTGTGAACCAATTTGGGCTGTTAACTTTTCAACTAACTTTTCATTCACATTCCCTTCATCAAGTACTTTCCAGGTGGATACTCTTCCGTCAGGACCATTAACAACGAATTCATCTGAACGGATCCATGTGATTGTACAATTTGGTTCTGATGAAGAAAAAAAAACAGCAAGAATTAAATGACGTTTCTCGTAATGCTTCAAAAGGAACATCCATCAGGATGGAAATCCTCTCTTTTACTTTTCAAAAAGATAAAATTCTCATTAATTTGATCTTACTTGGAATTTTGGTGCGTCCTTTTTCGGATTTCAATTGGATTTTAGCAGCGATTGCCCCAGTTTTTGGATTCCAAATAACAACCGATGATTCCTGTGCTCCGGATGCCAAGTACACAATGCCATCGCTTTCTTTCGGCGTGTCCTCGTTGATGTTCAAATCTTTGATCACATCTTCGAGTTCAACAATGTCCGTTGTGTTATGGCTGCTGCCGATTGTACTTAAATTTGAGAGTTCATCAATTTCGGCAGGCCCATCAGAATCGTCGGACAATATTGAATCATCCTTGATGGGACTTCTGGCCTTCATCATATTTTGAATATCGATCATATTCACCGCCGATTGATTGCTATTGCCACCCATGTAACCGTCTGAATCGTCTGATTCGGACTGATTTCCCGCGCGAATTTGGTCACGTAACGTTTGACATGCTTCAACAAAATTGAAATTTTCATTGTTCGTACCCGTTTTGCGGTCACCAGATGCGTCATCACGAGCTTCGTTTGGAGCACGATTCGAAATCGTTCCGAACTCCTCTTCCAAATAATCGTATGAATGAATGTCAAACATGTCACCGGCATCTACAATCGGTTTTGGTGGTTCGCGGCGTATTGGCTTTTTCTCGGTCGTTTTGTCGAGTTTCGCTTTTGTTGAGGACGGAGTTGCCTTTGATTCAACCACTTTGACTGCTAGTTTTTCTACTGGTTCCGGTAAACTTTGCTGATTTGCTTTAGTTCCATTGCAGAGTGTTTGTTTAATCAACGTCCATTGAAGCGAAACAATTTCCGAATCATGACCTCTTAGCTTCAGCAACTCAACCGTTTCTGTAAAGAAAAGACCATCAGAGAGAAAATGTGATTTAACATTTTAAAACCATCGAAAATATTCATCAGAATAAACAACATTAATTCGAAAAATTAGACAATAAAGAGCAATTTTCTAGAATATATCGTCTCACCAGCATAATTTGCAATAATAATCAATCCATTTTTATAGCCAACCGCAATGATGTCCTGATTGTACGGTGACGTTTTCAAAAGGCTAACTGTGCCGCGCTTCGGAACGAAACTGTCGGAAAATATGGAAAACGTATTCGACACCAAGCAATATCGAACAAATGCATTGCGGTCAATGGACAACACTTGGCGATTCTTTGTGATGCACATGGCACCACCCAATTGTGAATCCGAATCAATCTGACGATCGTTGCTATTCGTGACATGTGCTTTGTGACCGCGGCAAATCTTTTCCGTTGTCAAATTCCAAACCCAAATCATATTTTGTTCGTTCATTGTCACAAACCATTTGGTTGACGACCAATTGGGATCACAGTCGATGGCCTTGAATCTGTGGACGATTAAAATTCAATTATACATATTTCAAATCGAAGAAAAAATCTTGTAACGATTTTTCACGATTTGAAAAATTAAAAAAACACACTCACTGATTGTGCGTTTGAATGATTTGAATGTTAGGAGCATTTGGAATGGCATCGTTCGTCGTTGATTTCGATGTATCATCATTCCGTTGGGCTGGCGGAATGTATGCGATTGAAGTGTGGTTACCGGCTATGTATAACAGCCCGTTCTCTGGCGTTGTCACCGGCGGTGTGTACCAAGTCGGTGATGGAGGCACACGAAAATTATTCATACTAACTAATAAACTAATGAACAATTTCCAAACGTGTTGCTTGTTTATCTATTTACTAATTCTACTAATGGTATGGTTTTTTAAACCGAAATTCGTAAATCAAAATTTTGTTCACAGCTGATCACGTCTTTTTTTAGTTTAACTGCGTTCAACTATGTTGGCGCGTATAAAGATCAAAAGGTTAAACAAGCCGATTTGCGAATATATTTTGACACAATAAACATACGATTTAAATCGTACTTTTGATGAATACTTTACGGTTGAGTATTTTGTTTTTTCGATGAAAAATGTGGAGTTTTGTATAAAAATATTCATATAAATGATGATTTTTGCATTTTGTCATTCGAAATTGGGATTGAGCTCTGGAATTATTAGCACGCAAAAGTCTGATGATTCTTCGAAGAGCATATTCAATTCGTATATTTGCCATTATGCTGAAGTACCTCCATATTTCGTACTTAGCTGGTATAAAATAGTTGTGTATCGTGCATTGAATGGGTAAAATATGATTTATATAACATTTTCATGTGATTAATCACCGTTTAAGCGATTATATACATCTGTAGAATATTCTAGACTCAACAAATGCTAACAAAAGGCATTCCAAATTTGAGACATTTTTGAGTTCCGACAAATATGGTTCAAAATGCAACGTTTAACCATTGAAAAGATATACAATTGCAAAGTATTTTCTGCATTTCACACAATCAAGCATGAGAGAACCTCGGAGTGTCAGCCGTACTTTCGGTTGGAAGGTTGTTCGGGTTTTGATTGTGCGAAAAAGAAAAAAATAACGATGTGCGGTCGAACGAGCGGTTTTTTTTTTCTCCATCTCTACGCTGTGCTGCCACCGTTCTGTCAGACCGATACAAATGATGATGCAGTAAAGTAGTTGTTCACACGTATTCGTTGCGTCGTGTTGAAAATTTCACAAAAAGGAACATTTAGAACATAGAGCCCAACAAATAAAAAAAATAACACCACCACCACCATCAAAACAACAACAACAAAACGTGAGTGATAATCTCTGAGGGAATTTTTTTTTCATTATAAGTGAATATAAGCGACAAAACAACACGCGAGAGAGAGCAAAAGAAAGTAAAAAAAAGGAACTAACGTGTATGTTAATAAATAAAATTGAATTGATTTGTGAGAGTGGGCGAATGTGTACAACATTTTAATCACATCCATTACACATATGTGTATGAAAATGAGCATAATAATTTGTATTTGTTGTTGTTGTTGAATTTCCCCAAAAACAACATTGATCGATTTCGGCATTTTTGGCAACGTACGTCCGATGTCCAACATCAAATCATATGATTGTAAATGATGATTGCAGATTTATGATTGAGTCAAAGATATATTCGTATTTGTGTCAGTTTTTTAAAAAATGACAGCCAAATATTTGACAGTGATGCAATGTTCTCGTGAAACAAAAGGAAGCAGAAAAAATTGTATCAAAAATCAATGCAAAGAAAGTCACACAACATAGGCGCCAGGAAAAACAAAGTGGATTGGTGTGTGTGTGTGTGTGTGTGTAATACGCACAATTTTTTTTTTTTGATTATGATTTGATTAGTCTTTATTAGTCATTATGACAAAGAGAAAATCTAGCACGCAATTTTTTTTAGTGAAAATCGCGATAATGAATTAGGCAAAGAGACTGAACGAAGAAGAAAAAGAAAAAAAACGACAATCCACAAGCACCAAAATGTTGTGACCGTTTTGTTATCGGGCGTTTGGAATAAAAATAAATGTTCAGATCGATATAGACATTTCGGGTATATTTTTCGTGTTTAAGTCATTGAAATGAAGTGTATATACTATCATTTTGTAATAGTGCTTCAGTAATTTTACATGGTCACAATTTTGGATTCTATTCTTTCTCCTTTACTTTGTTTATTCTGGCTTGTTCGAAAAATGTACCCAAACATCAAACTCTCTCTCTCTCTATCTCTCTCTCTCTCTCTCTCTATCTCTCTCATTCACACACTCACTCTCATTTCTCTCGACGCGTCTTTCTTGAATAGTTAGTTCTTCTATTCGCTCTGTAAAATAAATCTGTTCAAAATCCTCTGAACAACACTTAAATGGATGCTCTTGTTGTTTGTCTATTAGGTTAAAGAGACAAGATTGTGCTTCTTCCAAGTCCAATGTGATTGCGTCAAAGCCTTGAATTTGGTCATAGATTGAATTCGATTGCACACACTGCACACAGCAAATCACTTCACTAGCGCAATGAAGACTTATATGAACAAAATTGAATTGATTTCTTGAATTAATCAAGTTCATTCCGCATACAATGTGTGTAGTAATTGTGTGATTTGAAGAGCGACTGGAAATTTATTCTAATACAACCAGAAAACACAAAAAGAAGGGGAAAACGACGAAAAACAATGCAGGCGAATCGATCGATTTGCGGCCACAGAGCCAAGAAAGCGTGAAACCTTTTGGGCCAACGGCTAGTAACGATATATGTATATAATAATTAGCAAATCCATGCCTAGTGTGTGGTTGAGTTGAAATGCCCAATGTATTCATGACGAATAGCCTCATTTACGAAGTATATTTTTTCAACGTGCCAATTTGTAACAATGGAACACTTTTCGAATCTAATCGAAATTCAAAAAGTCAATTATTTATCCTTGAGCCAATAAAATTTACGGAACAGAAACGAAGGGAAAATTGGAAGTCAATACAAACTTGCATTTAACCAACAGAGAAAGAGGAGCGAGATGAAAAAAAGGGACGAAGAATGAGAATGAAAATGGTTGAAATGCTGTTGCCTTTATTGACGTGCATGCCGCTCGGCCACCATCATCGGTGCCAAAGAAAATAGAATGGCACACGCCATCCCTAAAAAAAAGTAAACGTTGCACACTAGAATACTTCTAAGTGGTTTTGATTTTGCTTTAAAAAATTTCATATACACAGATAGACAGATATATACGTATGTACATCAATCGCCTTTTTTGTTTTTTTTTCTGCTTTACATTATATTATTTTTTGTTAGATCGGAGTTCAGCAAGGCCATTGTCTATTGCTCCACATACATATATGAGACTACCAACTCAGAAACGGAGAATTGTATGGAGAGCGTCAATATTTCATTTGAAAATCAATATATATGCATATCCGCCGCAGCAACGGTTCAAAAAACTAATATTTTCTTGATCTTGATTTTTGTTTTTGCGATTGGCAGTCAAGTCATTAATCACGACACAAATGATCCATAAAAACCAATCACATGCATATTCGTTGCATGCCGAATGGAGGAGATATTCTTTCATTTGCATTGCGATTCATTGGAGCTCGATAAATGATCTTGCTCAAGTAAAATAAATTCGATCTCACGAAATTGCATAAGCAAGCTGTTTCTAAACAAAAATGAAAAATATGAAATGGATCATAATAAATGCACTTACATAGAAAATATAACCATCACCGATTGACAGCCGAATCAATGATTGCAATGCATTTGATCGACGTTGATACCGCACGTTTACAGCATACTCAAAACGAGTGCAAGCGTGTTTACACAGCTGCAAGGGTCATTGACGCATATAAAATTTATAAATTTGCATATCATAAGCCCGACACGTATAACGCCTAACAATGTGCTAACAATGTGTAGATTGGTGTCAATTTCTCTCTCTCTCTCCTCTCTTGCTATTGACTTTAATCACCGTTCAACAAATATTCGATTCAATTTGCACAAACTGAAAAAAATTGACCTGAATATACTGAGATTGAGGAGTGCGTACGCGCGCATCGCTTACAATGTGCCAAGTGCTTTCAGATGATTTCCATGGTGATAAAAACAAAATAATACACCGAGTAATTGCTAATCGCATCATGCCATTATGTCATTGAGCCCGTCAGTTTTGTAGAGGGTATATCAGTTAAATTCGCTATCGCTGAAAACACACCCGTCGTCGTTGTCGTTGAACACGGAAAATTTGTCTCCTTCTAACAAGGGCATCTAATAATCAAGCGAGTCAAAGAAGAAAAAAAAAGAGTTGATTAAGTTCAAATCGAAAGTATGCTCTATGCAAAATCTCACTTACATAAGCTCGAATGCAATACAAACAAAACACGTATTTCCTCTAATGTTTGATCTTTTTTTCACTTTTCTTCATGCGAGAGGATGATTGCGAGCGTGCAAAGGATATGCATATGAGAATCATTATATTGCAAAGCATTTCATCGCCATGACTAGTTATTTCAATGTCGCGCATCGGAGCACGCCGCAACAAAGCCGCCTGCAACTGATAAATTTTCCAAATATTTTGATTTAGAGTACAGTTAAGCGCTTTCACGCTTTGATAACAACAATTGTGTTTTACGTTATTCGCTCTCTTCTTCCTCTTCCACTTTGAATCCTTCTTCTTCTCCTTTCGTCAAGCATTTCGAACGTGTTTGACGTTTTTTCTTCTCGTACTCTTTTTTTTCCTTTAAAAATAAACTGTATTTTTTCGTCTAGTATCAAACACTTTGTGTCAATGTCACACACATGTATCATGCGTCGTTCGCGCAAATCACACAGCTGAAACGAATACAATTGCATAAAGAACGAATCGCTGCCTAGAAATCCATTTAAACAAAGTGTTGAAGTAGTAACGAAGGAAAAAGAAGAGGAAAAAACGGGCTAGCGTTACAAAGAGAGTGTCACACACAGCTCACATCAAGTACACGTATGCACAACAACAAAAACCGGTGTCGGTCATTGAATATCAGTTAAAGAACGAACGAACGAACGAATGAATGTGCGAAATGTCAAATGGAAAGATTCCTTTGCGTATTAGCACGTTTGAACAGTGTTGTTTGTTTCCCAAGAAGCAAATTTCTCTGGGGGAAGCTGAAAAGAGAGAGAGAGAGAGAGAGAGAGAGAGAGAGAGAGAGAGAGATAGAGAGAGAGAAAGAGTTGAGAGCATGTGATAACGACAAACGACACATTGAAAAGTATTCAAGTAGTCAGCCGCTCGCGCGCGCAATTATGACAACAACAATAGCACCACAAATCAAGCGCACATACCAATGCAAAATAGTATGTACGCGGCGCGTATGTGTATCGCCAGGAGTGTAAATTGTATACTAACAGTTAACCAGTCATCAGTTAGCCGAAATCAATTCGAATTGAAAATTAGCCAGGTTGTCCGTTTGCTTGCTCGCTCCCCCACTCGCTCGCTCTCTCTCACGCGCCCGCACATACGCCATACTGTGTGAAATTGTCTTCCGTACACGATAGCCCAGTGAAAAACTTTCATGCCTATCTTGGATGGTTGTACGCGCTTCACACGTTTTCATATATTTGCAATCTACGGCGTATGATACGCGCGATTGGCGTATGTGTGTGTGTGTGTGTGTGTATGCGTGTGTACAAGTAGTATTATCATCGTATGATCGTACCGAACGATCGCGCTTACTCATGTTTAAGAACGTTGATACCGAGCCGAATAGGTCAGCGCTAGAAATATTATAAATTCAGTTGTTGTTTGTTTGTTGCTTCGACCGTTTCGAAGTTTTCGATTTTTTCTTCGGTGTTCGTTCCGTCGGAGCTATAGCCTCTAACATAGAAAAAAAGAGACAGAGCCGCCGAGAATTTTGTGAATATATATACAATTTTAACTCAACTGTAAGAAACTCGAACTACTGTTAACTATCTTCTTTTTATTTCGTTTGCTGTTTTTTTTGCTTTTCTTTTCTTTTGTTTGTTTCGCTTTCGTTTCACCTTCCCTTTTTCGACTCTGGAAATTGTAAATTGTAAATTAAATCTGATTTTTTTTTTTCGTTCGTTCGTTCAATTCGACATTTATTCGCATTGTTTTAGTTTGAATTTATATTTGATTTATTCGTGGAATGGTGTACTTATGTGTGATTGAATGCGTGGCTTCAAATAAAGCAAGAAGTTCAAACATCAACACATATACCAGTAAAAGTAAAGAAAAACGGATTTAAGCCGATCAATAGAGACACAAATAAGTAATTTTCGAAATCTAGTGATTTATTAAATTTACAACGAAAACCAAACGAAGTAAGCGAGATAATTTCTTGTTGTTGTTGTTGTTGTTGTTGCTGTTGAAAAGTGTAAATGTCTCGACGGTATTTTTCGGTTAGTCGCGCGAATTCAAGATTGCAATTATTGCTGGAAATAACGTCGTTTAAATTGTGACCACGGAATAATTGGCGTGAATTCTGTCAGAATCGTGAGCTGGAAACCCGTTTACAGTCTAGCGTTACACTGAACTATTCTCCGGACAGCAGAAATGTTTCATTGAAAATGACCAAGAAATTCGCAAATTGGTTTGTTTGCCATTCATAAATCAAATTCCAAACCCACACTGATATGCTCAATCCAACGGGTTGCATGAGCGCGCGCGCGCGCGCGCGCGTACGATTAATTTTAAAATCGATTCTATTTCATTTGTTTGCAGTGGTTGTTGTAACTATTCATTTTTGAATGAGAAGTGAAAGTAATATTTTTCGGCTGAATATAAATATATGTACACATTTTCGGTGGATTTTCATGTTGTTGTTATAGTCAGACGAATCAACGACGACAAAAAAACTATAAAAATGATCACCATAATGTCGACGACGCTTTCATTTGTAAAAAAAATAACTGGTTTCCATATTCTCATTACCGATACCTGGCTCATAAACCAGCATCGAAATTTCACAATACTTTGAACACGACTTTTCGTGAGATTTTCAACTCGATTCTAAGCTTAGGCAAAAAGATTGGCTATGATGACGAAAACGCAGCATCCAATTAGCATTGCATTTTTTCCGTCAGTTCAAATGTAAATTTAATCTATCTATCGGAGCAAAAAATCGAGTTTTCATTTTTCTCGAGTGAGTTTGAACGTTGAAATTCCAAAATTGCCTACGTTCATGCTTCATATTATTATTGGCATATATATATCTAAAATTATCCGACCCTCATGAAACATTGTATGAGATACAGGGAGAGGGCGAGAGCAAAGATAAGATTTCATATTATTGTTGATCACGTCATTACGTGGTTATTACGCACAGAACAGTTGAAGTGGTTCTTCCGTAGATTACGTAAAAACCGCAGGCAACCAGAAGATTCAGCGAAAATTAAATCATTCATTTTTGCGAATCATTGATATGTGTGTTGTATCTCCGTTCCGTTTAGATTTATATACACGCCATCGTTTTATCGTCATCTTCCAGATGAGTTTCATTTATTATTTGCAGTCTTATCTGCTGTTTTGCTTCGATTTACACGTGCACTGCATCCGAATTCATTTCATTCATTCATTTCCGAAACAGTGTGTTCTATTGCCCTTCTTTATCATTGTTTATATTGAGAGGCGTGCGCGCGAACTCATTCTTGAATGACCTGATGCCGAACAACTCGGTAATAAATAATAATCGCGCGAAAGTATTAAGTTAGCAATTTTTTTTTTTCATTCTCATTTGCGCGTATTACATAATTGAATTTGAAGAACGTGTACAGCATGAACGATCAGGTTGATTGCGTATGGTCACAAGCTGAAATTGATAAAAGTAATCTTATATAGGAAAAAACAAATCAAAACAACAAGAAATGATTAAATCTTACTTCACAACATGGCAAAGCAACAAACAAAGTATTTGCAAATACTATAAAAGAAGCAACAACAACAACTATCAGCTTAGCAAACAATCGATCGTATAAGTTGGTTGAATATATCAATCTAAGGTTTATACTTCGTTGTTGATTTCGTCGTATTTCTTGCTCTCCTCACGAACTGATCATGCCATTTTTTCTGTGAATCTATGATAGTTACACAAAGTGAGAGTTTGATTGTGTCTACACTTTCACCGATGATGATTTTATAGAGGAGTTGATTTTGGGCTGCTAAAATTTTCATCATATCGGTACAAGTGTATCGAATGCATTATATCATGCATATATTTATTCAAATAATTTTAACAAACACACACACACACACACATCGAGTCGGCAACGTGTTGCTTTTGATCAAGACCTTTCTCTGAATTTGGGAATTCAATTAATAACTTAACGATGAACTGTGTTGAAATAAAACCATAAATCGTTCAAATCAGACCACATTTCGATCTTGGTATTTGTTGTTTTTCACCTCCAATTTCTTTTTGCTCATTTTGGCTACCTCAATTGAAGTAGGCCACCCAAACCCTCCGGAATATAATCATTACGTGGTGCGTTAAACGAAAGTTTGTAATTATTGCACTTCAATGACGACGAAAATGAGTATTGCGTGTGACAAATTAACGATTATGCTTTGATGTATGGATCGTAATTAGGAAAATGAAGACGACGACGACGACAATAACGATAAAGATAAAGTAGAAAACAAACAATGTAAAATAAGGAAATTGTTAAATAACGATTTATTTCAACATGGTACTTAATTTCATTTTAAGCACACCACCGGGTTTTTTTCCCTCTTCTTTCGTTGTGTCTTTCAATATCAGCAGAAAATATGAAAGACATGTGTATATTTCGTATGCATGTGTGATTAAGGTATTTGATTACAATCGATATGTGTGTCTGCTGCCGCATCAACGAATGATATGATTGAGAGTTTGAAGCTCATTTGGAGGTGTTTGTTCGGGTCGATCGTTTTGCCCATTTATTTGAGGAATTTCAAGTGAAAGTTTTCGTAATATCGTCTGCATAACTAGATGAATGAATATTTCGAAAGAGGAACGAATGGAAAAAACGAAGCGAAACTAAAGCCCAAATTCGAAACCGATCGGCACGAAGCCACGACCATTGCATTTCCACATGCGCTTCAGCACCAAAGTGTTTTTCAGTTTCAGTTTCAGTGCATACACGGTATCGATGCGATCGGCTTCGATGCGTTTCAATCAAACTTTGTGAACTTCAATCGTAATTTATTTTACTAATTTTTTTTTCTGTGTTTGTGACTCTGTGTTCGTTTGTTTTTTTTTTCAAATATAAATAAACAGGAACAAAACCAACATATCATAGGAGGTTAAGAGAAATAGAAGGACAAAATGTCAGCCAAAGCTATTCGTGAAGCCACCGGAAAAGATATCCTAAACCGCTTATTGGACGGCAGCTCAGGAGCGGCTAAATGCCAATTTGCCACTGTAAATAGTGAGACAAACTGGGATCATTTGCGAACAACGCATCCATGGCTCGGAACTTCGGTAAGTGTTCGTTGTATTTGGTATGTGTGTGGGTTTTTAACAACAAAAAACTATAAACATCCACACAAACTTAAGAGAGTATAAAAAAAGCGACCAAATTACCATCAAAACAAACAAAAACAGAACAACGTACGCGCACGCGTCGCACATTCTCGACAATTTCGCGCATGAACATTTCGTTATAACACACTGGCTGCTCCTTACAGTTTCTTACAATGTAGACTAATTGCTCTGTCGTATAAGAAACAAACATTGCGTTGTCATTAATTTAAATATAAACACATACAATGTGCAATAAAACCGCATGATGCTATAACATTCCATTGACCTTGATTTCGTCTACGCACGATAAATGGTTGCTTAACGGTAATCTATTTAATTGAATTCAAATCGTTGAACGTAAGAAAGAAAAATTACAGTGAAAAATAAGGGAAACAAAACAATTTTATATGCTATCAAGTGATCATTATATGCATACCAGGGTGTGTGTATCATTTATCTCTACGCTGTGATTGAGACACTAAAAATGAAGTTTAGTTCAATATTTTCTTATGGTGCTACTGCAGATCAATTTGTTTTTCAATGCAAACGCGTTTCATGTGCGCACAATTTTCAGTGAGCACACGATAACTTTACGTTCCCTGTCAGACGCGGGAATGGAGTTTCGTTTTGATTTATCAAAGGTTGAAAATGGTGATTAGTCGTGAAATCATGTCGCCGATCGTATTTGAATGTCGTATAAAATGTGAGCAGGTTCTGAAATATAATGCTCTCTTATTTCCCTATGACTACTGCACAACGGATGGCCATGACTCGTTTTATTCCATTCTGTTCTAGAACACAAATGTTCGCTGAACATGTTGTCGTGTAAACGGCGTGCAATTGTTGTGTTCATGTTTTAAAGTTCGCGCTAGCTAATTGTATACTTTTACTGTTTCATACGAAGCTGGTTTTCTTTTAAGTAAATGCATTCAACATATTTAAACCGATACCTGACAATGATTTATTTTTTTCTTTTATCTTCTTTGCATGTTTTTGTGTGCAGCCATTAGTCGTAAAGCCAGATCAATTGATTAAACGAAGAGGAAAACTTGGATTAATTGCTGTAAATAAAAAATTCGCCGAAGTCAAAGAATGGGTCAATGCTCGTATGGGAAAGGATCAAAAAATTGGCAATGCTCACGGCAAACTAAGAAATTTCATCATTGAACCATTCATTCCTCACAAAGAGGTAAGAAACATTGTGATTAACACAAATTAAAGTGAAAATTCTTCCATTTTTATTTGAAACTGATTACCAAATTTTTCCCCTTCCATCCGCAAATATTTGATCTCTCGCTTTTTTTTTCAATGTTCGACACAGGATGAAGAAGCTTACGTTTGCATCTATTCACACCGAAACGCTGACACAATTCTGTTCTATCATCAAGGCGGTGTTGATATCGGCGATGTTGATGCCAAAGCATCGAAATTGGATGTTCCGGTTGACAAGACTGTGACAATCGATGATATTAAAAAGCAATTGCTCACCCATCTGGCTGCCGATAAGAAGGAACGTGTTGCAAAATTCGTACACGCTTTGTACCAATCATACGTTGATTTGTATTTCACTTACCTGGAAATTAATCCATTGGTTGTAACAAAAGATGCCATTTACATTTTGGATTTGGCCGCCAAATTGGATTCAACCGCTGATTTCATTTGCCGACCAAAATGGGGGGATATTGAGTATCCACCACCATTCGGCCGTGATGCTTACCCAGAGGAAGCGTACATTGCTGATTTGGATGCAAAGAGCGGTGCCTCATTGAAATTGACCATTTTGAATCGTAACGGCCGCATTTGGACCATGGTTGCCGGTGGCGGTGCTAGTGTTATCTATTCGGATACGATTTGCGATTTGGGCGGTACCGACGAATTGGCCAACTATGGTGAATACAGTGGTGCACCATCTGAACAGCAAACATATGAGTATGCAAAGACCATCTTAACATTGATGACATCATCGCCAAAACATCCATTGGGCAAAGTGTTGATCACCGGCGGTGGTATTGCCAATTTTACCAATGTTGCCGCAACATTCAAGGGAATCATTACGGCATTGCGTGAATTCCAACCAAAATTGAAGGAGCACAATGTATCGATCTATGTACGTCGTGCTGGTCCAAATTACCAAGAGGGTTTGCGTAAAATGCGTGAATATGGTAGCACATTGGGCATTCCATTGCATGTGTTCGGCCCAGAGACTCATATGACTGCCATTTGCGGTATGGCACTCGGTAAACGCCAAATTCCACAAACATCCAGCGCCGATTTTGCTACCGCCAATTTCTTGTTACCAGGAGGTCAACAGCAACAAGACGCAGCAAAGTCAAACATTGCTGAAAACTCAGGTAAAATGAATTGCAATTAAGACAGCCAACAAACAAATCATTTTGAATTGAATACATCTCTATCTCGATAAATTCATTTTACTCGAATACTATATATATATGAATGCAAGCATTTATCATTTGTGTCCGTACGTTGAGCGCCTAACACCACGTTCGAAAATCATGATTGTCTATTGTGTTTTAAAGTCGAAAATGCACACACAACGCACACACATTTTCGTTTGTTTTTTCTTTTACTGCACAAACACGCTTCGGTTCTTCCAAAGTTGACTTATCGTACTCTACCTCTTTTCATTTTATATTTACGCACTCACTTACATATAGATATATATATATATATATAAATATCTCTATTTTATCGCACCTTTAATTGAATTTCAAATGTCAATCGTAGAATTTATTTGATTGTTTTATTTTACTCTTCTGTTTCGTTCGTCGATGTTCAAAAATCTCTACACCTATATTTTCTGTTTGTTTCATTTTCGATTTTACCAATGTAAACGAAAATGGAAACGACAAAATGCTGAATGCTGAGAATGCAATAGCAAAACAAAATCCAGAACAACGTTGACGCATTTCATATTCCAACGTGTAAAATTTACTTTGTTTTAATCGATAGGTCTTACTGCAGTTGTTGGTGGTGTATTCAGCAACTTGGCCAACGCAGCTAATGCAATTCTATCCAGTCCAAAGAAACTAGGTACTACATTTTCAGATAAACTGTGCCCGAATGCTTTACATGTTTTTCGTTGTTGATGTCTTGTTTTCGTATGTCACTAATTCAATATGATGAACGATATGACGTATTCTATGATGTTAGTCAATTACTTATAATTGAAGTGCTTACCGTGCGATTTGAGTACATGTTGATTTGGGGAAGAGGAAGAGTAAACGAAAGAAGAGAGAGAGAGAGAGAGAGAGAGAGAGAGAGAGAGAGATATGAGGAGAAGTTAGAACTAAAAATGTGCTGTTGACACGATTTAATCATAATTTACAATCATTTCGATATGTGGTTTTCTCAATATTTATTTGTTTAAAGATTCACACACGGATTCAATACCACTTGTTTGCCACAACACACAAACACACAAACACACAAACACACATTTTATTTCATATTTATATTTAATGAAACAAATTTGTAATCTTTTTGTTTTTGTCCTTTTTTATTTATATGTTATGTATGCAAATCATCTATGGTCTCCCGTTTCAATCGACAAACACCCACACACATTCGAATTTTGCCCAAATTGAATTCACACAACAATCAAACATTTTACTATCATGAACAAAACCAAAAAAAAAAACATTACCACCGATACTCGAATTCGACCAACATTTCCATTTTTGTGTCTCGACCAACATCAATCAAATCAAAAACCAAAACAAAAATCTCCCATCAGACCCCGTTGTTAGTCCGAAGATTCCTAAATTGACAACAAATATTTCTTTAGGCGCTGTTCGTCGTCAATCGACAGCCACAACAACAACCGTCGATTCAAACAAGTATCAACAATTATTTAGCAAAACCACAAAGGCTATCGTTTGGGGTATGCAAACCAGAGCCGTTCAATCAATGCTCGACTTCGATTTCATTTGCCGGTGAGTTTCAATTGATCATAGGCGAACCTAAATACAATTTCGCCTAGTTAAGTTAGATTCATTAAAATCTAATGAAAATTGGATCAAATTCAAATGCAAAACTTTTACTTTGTTTTACAGCCGTACTGAACCATCAGTAGTAGCAATGGTATATCCATTCACCGGCGATCACAAACAGAAATTCTATTGGGGACATAAAGAAATTTTGATTCCAGTTTACAAGCATATGACCGATGCTATCAACAAGCACAAGGAAGTTGATGTGGTTGTTAACTTTGCATCGTTGCGTTCGGCCTACGATAGTACAATGGAAGTGCTTGAATTCAAGCAAATTCGTTCGATTGCTATCATTGCTGAGGGTATTCCAGAGAATTTGACACGTAAAATCATTGTGAAAGCCAATGAAAAGGGTGTTGCCGTCATTGGGCCGGCTACAGTTGGTGGTGTAAAACCAGGTTGTTTCAAAATTGGCAACACTGGCGGTATGTTGGACAACATTTTACACTCAAAACTCTATCGTCCGGGCAGCGTTGCCTATGTATCACGTTCGGGTGGTATGTCAAACGAATTGAATAACATTATTTCGAAGGCAACTGATGGTGTGTTCGAGGGTGTTGCCATCGGTGGTGACCGTTATCCAGGCACAACATTCATGGATCACATTCTCCGCTATCAAAATGATCCAGATGCAAAATTGATTGTGTTGTTGGGCGAAGTCGGCGGTACTGAGGAATACGAAGTGTGCCAAGCACTTCAAGATGGCCGAATCACAAAACCATTGGTCGCTTGGTGTATCGGTACATGTGCAAGCATGTTTACATCGGAAGTGCAATTCGGACATGCTGGTTCATGCGCCAATTCAGATCGTGAAACTGCCACCGCTAAAAACCGTGGATTGCGTGAGGCCGGCGCTCATGTGCCCGACTCCTTCGATACACTCGGTGAATTGATTGCGTAAGTAGCCATAATTAATAATTGTAGACGACAAACGCAGTTATTCTCCTTGTTTTAATGAAAAACTAATTCAATCTTCTATCGTTTCGTTCAACTTGTAGTTCCGTATACAACGAATTGGTCCACACTGGTCAAATTGTTCCAGTCGAAGAAGTGCCACCACCAACCGTTCCAATGGATTACTCATGGGCACGCGAATTGGGATTGATCCGTAAGCCAGCCTCGTTCATGACATCCATTTGCGATGAACGTGGCCAAGAGCTCATGTACGCTGGTATGCCAATCAGTGATGTGCTCAACAAGAATGTTGGCATCGGTGGTGTCATTTCATTGTTGTGGTTCCAACGTGCATTGCCACCATACGTGTGTAAATTCTTTGAAATGTGCTTGATGGTGACAGCTGATCATGGTCCGGCCGTATCTGGTGCCCATAACACAATTGTCTGTGCTCGTGCTGGCAAAGATTTGGTTTCATCAGTGGTAAGCGGTTTATTGACGATCGGTGATCGTTTTGGTGGTGCATTGGACGGTGCAGCCAAACAATTCTCCGAAGCCTACGATTCCAATCAACATCCAATGGACTTCGTGAATACAATGCGTAAAAAGGGTCAATTGATCATGGGTATCGGACATCGTGTCAAATCAATCAATAATCCAGATGTTCGTGTGAAAATTATTAAGGAATTCGTCATGGAAAACTTCCCAGCCAAGCCATTGCTCGAGTACGCATTGGAAGTAGAAAAAATCACCACCAGCAAAAAACCGAATCTGATTTTGAATGTTGACGGTGTCATTGCCACATCATTTGTTGATATGCTGAGAAATTGTGGTTCATTCACTAGGTACGCGTTTGTTCATTTGTTTTTCGTTGTATTCACTGTTATTAATTATTATTTATGCATTATTCAATTAATAATAATGCATACAAATTTACGTTAAATTTCCATGAAAAACTGAAATTTCACGCTGATCGTTTTTTTTTTTCTCTTTCCGTTCGTTTTTCGATTGCAGCGAGGAAGCTCAAGAGTACATCAACATTGGCGCCATCAATTCGTTGTTCGTATTGGGTCGTAGCATTGGTTTCATTGGCCATTACATGGATCAAAAACGACTTAAGCAAGGACTCTACCGCCATCCATGGGATGGTATGTATTGATTTTCATCCCTCATCTCATTCTAAAATTCAATTATTAAATAATTAAAATTATTATTGATATTTCACTTCTTTTTTCAGATATTTCATACGTTTTGCCCGAGCAATTCAACTAAATTCATTTGGTTGAAAATCATTTCAAATAACAACTACAACAACAATAAATCATATAAGATGACAAACACAAACAGAAATTGGAAAAAGAACAATTAATTTCAAGTGAATGAAAGCACACCTTTATGAACTGAACAAAACACACATCGAGAGAGAAATGGAAAGAGAGAGATAGAGAATAGAAAATTAATTCAACAAAATTTTGACCATTCCCGATTATAATATTTTATATAAAATACAACAAGCTCTTTTTTTATTTTATTTTCTTTTTCGAGAAATTTATGTTTTAATTTTATTTAAAGAAGAACAAAGAACTATTTAAATACTATAAAAAAAAATACACAAAAAACTACACAAAAATACGCTAAAACGCTTGGCCAATCCATGATCCGTTGGTAATGATTCAAAGGTAGAAATACACACATACAGTCATCGGAACATTGATATTGCCAACGTTTTCTTCTTTTTTTTTATTATTTTCTATTTATTTAATTCGAATCCCGGCTATAGAAAACAAACAGACTCAAATTTAAATATGCCAGCACTTAAACATGTAGTAGCAACACACAAATGCACATCTTATGAGTAGATGTATTCACGTGCTTTATACGCGAATTAGATTCGCAATTTACTGATGTACTGAGCTGGCGACGCCACAAACAAAATACGCATGGCCCAATCGTTTCGTTCATGCAGCTTGAGTCATGCTACGCTCAATCGCTAATCTAAATGGAAAGCCAAACAAAATCACAAAATTGAAGAAAAAAAAAAATTATAGAAAAACAAGTAAAATTAAGTATGTTGCACAACGATAGAAATGTTTAGATTTTGCACCAAAATATTTATAATAGAACCTTGGCAAAGTTCATTGTTTGTTGAGGGCCTAGATTTACTTAAGAACCTGTTCATGTTCAAATACAACGAAGGATTCCGATTGTTAACTGGCCCATTCAAAAAAAAAGAAGAAGAAGAAGAGTATTCTAGGAATAAAATCTGAATATTGAAATCATTTTTTTTTTTTTCATTGAAAAAAACCCTTTCTGAATATGCATCTTTTTACATCCAGCCATGGTTCGCCCGTATAAGAGACTTTTTTACACCCAATCAATTTTTACTACACTACGACTCTCAGCATGCCTAACATCATCCAATGTGAACTGCTACAGAAATGTCCATATCAAATTCGATAATCCGAAGGTTTGTCAAAAAAATTGAACGGTTATTTAAATCGAGCATTTATCGAATTCCCGCCAAATAATGTGCACGTAACAATTGTCACATTTTCCCTTTGACATTGGCATGTGATTTATGAAAATGTTGATAAAAGTCACTTATATGCTTAATGTTGCCATAGCGAATTTTAGTGTGGTCATTCTTCAAATCAATAAACAAACAACAATGTTTTGTGGAATAAAACGTCAATTTTCTTACAACACAGATGTTTTTTTTCTTTATTATTATTATTTTCTCTCATTTTGAACTAATCTTAGATTCGCATACAAAATATATTACTTTAGTTTCCATTGACAATTTTTATCTTAATTTTTCGTCTTTTTCTTCTACATTTCTTTGTGTGATTCGAATTATGCTATTTAATTTTAGGTTTATTTTAGGGGAAAAAATTATTTCATTAAATTTCAGAAAATATTTATAACGCTTGAAATTTTTTTTATCCTCTTAAATACAGATTACAATTAAAAAATGATAATACAAATCGCGACAACATTGTTTTGTTAAAAATACTAAAAGTAAAACTAAGATTTGCGTATTTGCTCTCTGGGTGTGTGTGTGTGTGTATTCTATGGATGCAATAAAAACGGTCCATTCTACCGTCATCATCATCATTATCAATCACCGTGTTTTGAAAGTCACAGGGCAAAATAACGAATTAAAAAAAATTTAATTGATGATCGATAATAACACATTCTAAGCAATTGAATTTTTATAAATAGTTAGATAAATTTCAATACAGTTGAACCTGTTTGTGACTCGTTATCGTTCACGATACCATCGGCCGCGCGGTTTTCGCAACTTTCGCGGCGATGTCTTGGTTTTCGGTGATGAATTGATTCGATTATTTGGTTTTGCCACATCGGAATCGTCGGACGTTGTTGTTGTTGTTGTTGTTGTGGTATTGACTGTTGACGATGCCAGACTATTTATCCAGAGCTTCTGCGGTGGTAAATCTTTGTCGGCAATTTTCTGTACACAAACAAGTGGTTGAAGGTTCAGATCGATTGTTGTGCCCTTGACTAATGTCGGTGATCGCAAGAATTTTGAACGCGTTGAGTGCATACTCTTTAGTGTTCGCTCCAAAATACTGGTCGTTGTGGTAGTGGTAGTGGCAGTGGTTGCGGCGGATTTGTTGGTGGTTGATGCAGCAGCTAATTGATGAAATTAGGAGAAAATATTAGTTTGAAAGACTAATAGGATGACACTAGCTTTCAAATCAAAGCAGCTTACATTCTTCAACTGAAGGAAAGCCTTTTTGTTGTTTTGTCTCTTCTTCTACAATACTGTTGCTGCCTAAAAAATCGAAATGGTTTCAACGGAAAAAAAAAGAAGAAACAAAAACAATCTCGAATTATTTCATGTTATGGTGAATGATAGACACATGGGGAGCAAAAATAACGAAACTATCTTACGTCGTAGAGAAGAGCGACAATGCCAATTACTTTCGTTGTTGGCGGTTGACTCGTCGGATATAGAACCTTCGTCGTCGACCGATAACCGGGAGTCAGCCGACAGCCGCGATTTGGCCGTGGTAACTGTATCATTGTTCACATCGGTGTCTAAGAAACTATCCGATGACACAGTGAATATGTCCGAATTTTCGGCTTTCTCACTCGAACTAGCGGATACCACAAATTGTACGGCATTGTCATCACAAAATGGTGTTCGGATCTTACGGCGATCGTGTCGCAAAGCTCGGCTCTTCTCTTCATCATTATCATCATCTATAAAATGAATCGTGCTGCCTAAAACCAAACATTCACTTTCCAAAACAAACAGAACAAAAAAACAAACCAATGCAAAAGCATTCCCATTGTACTCACCAGTTTTGTTGGTGTTACGTCTTTTACGACGCGTTACACTGCGGAACGGTATTGGACTATTTTTCGCCGACGACTCAACCGTATCGTCAGCATCGTGTTTGGGCGTTTTTTCTAATACGTGATTTGAATTATCATTTTCACAATCCATGGGCACATCGTTCAGATCGTTTTCCGTGTCCGAATGACAACTTTCGCAATTTTGCCTGCAAACGATATTCGTTTAGTTTTCATGTTTTTTTTTTCTTCATCTTTTTTTCTATCGAAAAAAGTGACACTTACACATCAGAGACTGCCGATTCGTCTATATCGTCTTTCTCGTCGATTTTTTCACGTTTTGGTAGGCGTTTCTTCGGCAATGATGGCCATCCAGTTTTGTTGATGTGCCGTTTCTTGCCGCGCTGCAGACTGCGATAGGTGAGCGGGCCATCTTTCACAGATTCAATGATTTCCACAAAATCTTTTGACGTATTTACTAGAATGAGATCTGAACAATCGATGGGTATGTGATTTAAATCGCTGTCCGCGTCCAAATAACAGTTTGATAGTAGGTCATCGAGGTCACGGGCCGTTTTATTTGGGTCAACATATTCGTCGACTGGCATTTTCGGTATGTCAACATGGTCTTTCGATTTGTCATCTTTGTCATTGGCAGTGCCGTTATCGGTTTTATCCATTTTACCCGAAATGGACTCATTGTTGCTGCTCACACTTTCCGTTTGACGTCGTTTACCTTTGCGCAAACGGAATATTTTATCAGATTGTTCCATTGAATGATAGCCGCCATTTGACTGTTGAACATTTGCATCGACAATGGTGCCTTTGTTTATTTCGAATACTGGCGTTTGGTTTGATCGTCGACGGCTCGACATTGGTTTCACATCCGTTTCGGTGGTGGCTTTGATTTGTAGCCGAGACTCACATTCGTCCATCACATCTTCGCTTTCACTGACATCAGCACTGTGCTGAGCCGCAATGGCCGCCGCAACAGCCGCTTTATAATTGGGCATTTTTTCCGGTGATATGCCGCCATTCATTTCTTTAATTCGTTTCCGCCGTTGCTGAACCAGTGAACTGAGAATGGCCAGTGTCGATGCATGCTCTCTGGGCGATTTTCGCGGCTGACCAAATGCATCAAGCAGCACGGCTTTCTTTTTATTTGATATTGCCGACGGCAATGCAATACTATTTAATGAACTATCAGCTAAAAGCAATTGTGACAAGGTACTGGTTTGAGGCCTTCGATCATTGTCACTCTCGTCGCATGCTCGTGAAATGGTATTCGATTTTTGCGATGGAGTATTTGTGGTTGTTGTACTGTTACTACTTGAGACCGCATTTTCCTCGGATGTTGTCGTTAATTTTGTATTGGTTACTTCAACTGGAACGTGTACGTCTAGTTTTTGCAAATGGAGAAAAAAAATTTATGTTACAAACACATATTTCTCAAATCTGTTGATTGCTGTCCATAGGCAGGCTTTACGATTTGGTTCAATACTTACTTGATTTAGTCGAGCGTCGGTTCCTTTGCTGTTTGCTTGCTTTGATTGCTGTCAATTTGCTGAGCAGACAACAATCCGGTTCTAAAGGAGGCAGTGGTCCGAGTTCGTATGGAAGCTTTCGGTACGCTATTCAGGTGGTAGGAGGAAAACAATTCAATGTCAACATGTTGTTTATTTCTTTATCGTTTTCAAAAACAGGTACCTGTATTTCCCCAATACTCGAACATTCGTTCGCGATGTTCATCCTGTCGTTGAAATGTCAGATACCATGGTTCGTTCGATGGGACCCGTTCGAATGAAAATTTCAAATTTTGAAAATAATCTGTGGCTAAAAGTTTGCCGCCAATATAAGTATTCTCCCCCATTCGATCATCGAGCGAATTATCAGCTTGTGCCTCAATCGCAACATTGGTTGACGTGGACATTCGTTGCTTTTTGCCTCGACCTCGTCCTCGTCTTCCCTTTACTGCTGCTGTCGCAGCTGCTGCTATTTTAGCGGCTGATATTTTCGCACCCCGGCCAGTCAATGGTTTGACCGGGATTTGAGATCCATTCGTTGTGGCTGGCGTTGTTGGTGTTACTGTTTTTGCGGAATTCAATCGTGATTGAATGAGGGATGCTCGAAATTTCTGTTTCGTTTGTGCTGGACTTTTAAAATTATCAAATTGAGTACGACGCTTTTTCCTTCGTCCGCTACTCGTGAACTGATCGCTTGCGGTGGAAAAATTCAAACTACTGTTTTGCGATGTGTTATTCAGCGATGTATCGCGAAGAAGGCCGCTCACATCGCTCGACAGTATTTCCGACGAGGCATCACCATCAACTTCCGATGTACTCTGACGATCCTCATCGGTTGGCAGCTCTTCGCGTTTTGGAAACATAAAATTGTCCGCCTCAAATGTGAGTTTTGATAATTCCGATTCGCGGACACGCTTAAACTTAACTATAAGCCCGGTGATGGGGTCTTTGATGCCCTTTTCATCATCGTCGGCCAACTCTTTTTCTATCGCATTCAATTCAGCGCTCTTGTTGAGGGCATTCGATTTTGTATGCTTTGCGGCTCGTTCATTCGTTGCTTTCGGTACACCATCAATGACTTTGTAACGCGGGAATGCTCGGACTAAACGCTTTGGCAACACCGGCGATTCATCGTTTATATGATTCACTACCGTCGGTTGTTGTTCATCGCATTTCTTCCTACCATTAATGGTTGTTACCTTGCCTTGTTTTGAAGGGGATTTGGTTTGAACATCGTTGTCTAAATCGAAAAATAAACGAAGAATTTTGATGAAAAGATGGTTCAATCAACATTGATAGATTTATACGCGTATGCATTTGTCGGAAGGTTTTGATTTTACCTGCTTTTGAAATGAAATTCAGTTCGTCATCTCGAAAGTCGACGGTGGTGGAATTGTTGAGTTTTTCCGGTGGAACTTTTGCGTTGATTGTATCCGTGATCGGTTGATCGTCCACAATCGCTTGTATTGCATTTTTCGTTTGTGATCGTCGTGTGATTGGCGGTGAGTACTTTGGTAGCCTCTCTCGGACATTGTTCACTTTCGATGGTGACAGTTCATCACTGCGCTGCACAATGCCATTCATTTGCTTGTGCGATTTAGCGGCAGCAGCCAAAGTGTCATTATTATCACTTTTATGCTCCGCAAAACTGGTGTGACTCAAATAATTAACACGCGTACTAATTAGTGAATCTTTGCGCGGACTATGCATACCATTCCGTTCAGTTTCGTTAATCATTTGACCACTATTGATTCGTAAAAAGTTTTCCACATTTGTAGCTCCACTGTTTATTAAACTGTCCAGAGCTATGTAATTGTCATTGTTTTTCACGAAATTCAAATGTTCTTTCGATTGTAGATGCAATGCTAATACATCATATTCAACGCGGCACTTTTCACAATATCCACATTTCTCGGAATTCGGTTTGACATCATCGTTATTGGTTTTAATGCTACACGCATCAATGGCTGCTTCGCGCACTTGTTTATTTCGGGTTTTACGTGTCATTGTACTTTCAATTATGTTTGTTATATTGTTTTTAGCTAGAATTGATATCTGTACACTACCAGCCACTGTTACGTCGGTGATACTTTTTGCGTTGATCGTCGACGGAGCTTTGATTTTCACGTTGGCCAACGAATCGTCGTTCGTGTGTTTTGGATTGACGTTGGCGTTGGCGTTGGGATTGTCACAATTCTTTGTTTTCGGAATTGTTTTATCGCTTCGCGTTTGAAATGGACACAAGGTGCAATCAAAATTGATTGATGGCCAGCTGCTAAACTCCTGATAATATGGACGATATTGCTGTTGAAATTGAGAAATATGTGTTAGATCAATTGGAGTACATTATCTAAAATTGAAAATTATGCATTAAAAGAAAATAATACAACTTTCGATACCCAATCACAAACGAAATGCATGACTTACTTTCTGTGTCGATTCAATTTTTATGTATTCACCATTCAAATGCTTAACGTTTGCAGTTTTGTGATGGTGGTGGTGGTTGTGATGATGATGCGATGATTTTGTACTTGATGTGGTGCGTGTTGCTGGATTCTCAAGTTTAAGCGCGAGCGAGACTTTTTCTAAAAATTTTAACGTATAGTCGGTGTTCCAAATCGGTGTACCCCAGTTGAGAGCTAATTGCATTGGATTTTGCAATAGGGATTGCGAAGAGGCACATTGAACGCTTTTACTGTCAAGTGGTTGCGTTGTAGTACGTGCCCTTTGTACCATTGCATCTGCACGACTTTTTGGTCTTGAACCTGCCGCCGCGGCTGCCTGCTTTTCATCACTGATATTTAAATCATGCAACGATTGTATGGACGCTGGTTTTGTTTGAGCCGGTGACGGGGTTTTTGTTTGTGCCGATAAAAGCAACGATGACGGTGACAAGTAGTGATTGCTAACGCTCAATAAATTACCATCTCGATCGATTGGCTTGTCGGTGACGAAGTGTGTTACTTTTTTCGCCAGAAAAAATTCGATTGACTGCAGCACAAATGCAAATTTCGAAAAGAAAGCGTTAGAAGGAGAAGCATTAATTTTTCGAATAATTCGTCTCAAATGAGATTACGATTTTAATTTGATTTGATATAAACTGTACTTACGCCGCCAAGTTCTCTGATCGATTTTTCAATTTTATTCTCAATATGATGCTTTTCAATATCCAAATAAAATTTAAAATGCGTCAATGGTTTGGGTCCCTTAACTAATTTACATTTATCTGGAAATGGCAGCAAAAATAGAAAAACACATTCAAATTAGCCGGGAAAAGCAATCCTGATCGAACCAACATTGTTATCGGAGTTGACATTTTGCTAACAATAAACACAACGAAATGGAGGGAAAATACATACGTAAATGTCCTTGGCTGGCGACTCTCGAATGATGTGGTTTTGAGGGAGATACCATAATATCGGGACAAACATTCAAACGGCTTTTTTCTCTAAATTCGCCCGTATGATAAGCAAAGTCATTATTTATGTTTTTTGTAGTCGCGGTGCTCCGTTACTGTTCCCACCACTTACTCGTCAATGTTCAATTCTTGTTATGGTTGACCTATGGAAATGAAACGAAGATTTAGTTTTACAATATGAATAAAATCAAATAATATCAACATATCGCCCTTAGAATACACGAAGAGTGATGATCGTAAAAAGTAAATTATCGGCGATGCCCAATTGTTTTGCTTGTTATTTTTGCATATATGCCATTGCATAGCATCATAGTGTGCCGCTGCTGATTTGGTTAAATTATGCATACAAATCATCTGTGTGCGTATCGATGTGTGCAATGCACACATGCTTGTGTTTGAACAACTTTTGGCAAAGCAATAACAACACTCGAAGTGACTGAGAGTACAACAGCCGAGACAACAGCTCAGTTCATTGTGTTGAAATCTTATTGCGTGCGAATTTCACAATAGAATATGCGAGTGGAGTCGAGGCGAGCTCGATTTGTTCGCGCTTTATTCAATGAATGATTATAGGCGGCTGTCGTCGTTCACCTTCGCCACTCATTTTCATTATCGTTTTGCATTTTATTAGTAAACATTAAAAAAGAGACTCGTGATTATTGTTTTTTTTCTTCTCTTCTTCATTTCTCCATTAGAGTAAAAACTGCTGACAACTAGAATAAAAATCAATCAATTTGATTTTTTACTGTGGTGGAGCGATGCGTTTCGTAATGCATATGAATCCATGTTTGATATTAAAAAAAAATTATTATTTTCAAAACATTATCAGAACAACATCGGTGGCATTTTCATAGTAATTATAGTTGAATCATGCAACGAATGTTTCATTCATGTTGTTTATGAATCGATGTGTCCACCAAATTGTGGCTTTATAGATCTGATTATAATGAAGAGTGACACAGTTTGTTTTCTAAACACATCTACGTAACGTTTTCAACGATTGCAGTGTTACCGAACGAAACACGAACTCAAACACACACGCACACATACGCGCGCGCTCTTTCTCTCATACACATCACATACATGCACAGAAATAAATCAACTGCCATAGAAACAACTCTTGCATACGCATACACACATACACACACGCGCACAGTTTTGTTGTATTTTATTTTTAAACAAAAACTAAAAAAAAAGAGGAATGCAAACAATTACGAAAAAAGTACGTCTTTGTTGTTAGTAGCGAAGAGAGCGTAAGAGTAATATATAATTTTTCTCGGCTGCACACACACACACACTTTGTTTCGTCGATTCCGAGTGAATAGTACGACAAAAATTTTGCTTCATATGAATCAGATCACAACTTCATTTTGCCTGATATGAAAATGCATACATATATGTATATATACGCTGAAATGGGTCTTCTGTCAGTTTGAAATAGAGTCCCCGTTTCGGCACTTCTACGAAACCTCTTTTTTTCTGATGTTATTGTTGTTGTTGTTTGAATCAACACTCAAAAGCCTTGCTGTGCCATACATGTAACGAACGGCATTCAATACACGCACACAAATCGAATTGAACCGAGCAATCGAACATGAGCAAATGCAATACACAAACGACGGGATCGCTCTATTCAACAAATCAACACTTGGAGATATAAATAATAGACAGTTTCAAAATGAAATTTTCTTGCACATTTCCAAACAGAATCGAAGAAGAAGATGAAAAAAAAAACCAAATGCTTTCTGTACACATTCTCTCTCTGTCTTTCTTGGTGGCTCTCATAACAGACAACTCGATTATTATAGATTGTGTGTATATCTGTCATTTACAAAAAGAAATATCTGAACCAATTGAATATGGGGCGCACAAAGCCATTTGATATTTGCTCTCCTGTATTTTCACGATACAGTCAGCATTGGTGTTTTTTTTCCTTTCTACTTCAACATTCATATGTGCATTTTGCAACTACACTTCTGCCGATATGTGTACACATTTGCTTCAATTTGATTTTTCGACCAAATTTCAAGCGTTCACAATTGGATATTCACACTTCTCGAATTTCACGTACACTCATCATTTTCAGCTAGTTTAAGTTAACGCAATTTATCATTCTCTTTTTCGAGTTAGTTCATATTCAATGAAAAGAAAAAAAAATTCGTCTGTATTCACTTCTCTATCTCTGTGTATAAGCGATGTGTATTATGATTTCATGGCATTTATATATATTTTTTTATCTAAGCTTTCACTATTCCATTTATTTCTTTTTTTCTTTATAAAATACACTTACGATGTGAACAGCAACGATGTAGTCAATAAAGTATTTTTTGGGGAAAACTATTTGTTAATTTACGTTCAACAATTGTATTTGATATTTCACTAGAATTTTTGTGTGTAATTTGGTCGACGAAATGAATTCGTATTTGCATGGTTGTTTGATAGGCTCCTTCTCTTATTGTTCCATCATGACATACAATCGGCCATTATTTTTTGTGCTGTTGTTGCTTTGAACACCGCACACGCACACACATTTGCACACAACAACCGAATATACGTATTCGTGTGTATACATACGTTTCGATGCTCTCTGTTGTTGTACGGATTTTTATTTCAGCCAGCGGAATACGGCATCACATAATATAGAGTTCATTGAACAAACACACACTCACATTGTACGGGAACGTCGGCCGTTGTCTATGCGAATGTCAAACATACACATATGTGAACACCCATTAAAACTGCTAAAAAATGGACGCGTTCAATGCACAATGAAAACCATTGAATTTACTCTTCGCTTCTTCATAGAATCACAACGATTTTTTGCCTTTTACTCATTAACATTGTTCAAAAAAATCCATTTTAATTGTTTTGAAATATTATATTTGAGTTGAAATAGAATACTCTTTCCGTACCAGAGTTGAATTGATTGACGCATTTACGTTTCACTTAACATATCGACGAACAGCTCAGAGAAGAAAAAAATGAATTGAAGCCGTTGCAGTGGTCTGTGCGAACAACAAATTTTCACCAATACACACACGCACACGCACACGCACACACCCGCTTGCATTCGAGTCAAAAACTTGGTAAAATAGGTTAACACGTACACTCTGCGTTGCTTGCTACATTTGTTCGTGGCATTCGTACGCATTCAATCAAACAGAAAAGAAGAAGAAGAACAACAAGAGAAAAAAGAAATACAAACGGTTTATGTTTTTTTTTCCTCATGCATCGTCCAAGTTATGTTTTGAGTTTTCGTTGATCGTTCATTAAATATTTCTACGAAGACGCGCGTGTTTACGTTCGAGTGCTTTATGTTCATTACAAATGGTAACTCTGTCATTTCGATAGTGGGAAATATCACATACGGTCGATACTTCTATTTACACAAATGGTACGCGATGGGATCGTATGATCGAGACGCACGGTTCTTTCTTTGTTATTGAACATAGCATAAAGACACTTATGGTTTCATTCAATAAAATCGGATAAAAAAAAATTCAATCCACTGCAGCACTGGCTGCATCATTTTCAATTTCTTATTTTGTCAATCGGTTTTGACCTTGATTTTTTTTTCTCAACTGAGATATTGTTGCATTTACTTGAAGAAGAAGAAAAAGGAGGAGGAGAATAATAATAAGAAGAAACCCATTCAAAAGAAGCATCAAAATAATTTCATTCCGTTGTCCAATTTGATGCATTCATGTTGTCATATGCGTATGTCTTTTTTTTTCGGTCTGTGAATTTCATTTCTCTTCAGACATTTGCCATATTTTTATACATATTTTCCCTCAATCCATGACAACATTAAGTGTTTCAACAGTTTTTTAAAGAAGTGAAAACTAAATGATGTAAATTTACATTGACAATTAGCGATGGTGACGACAATTGAAAAAAAAAACAATGTTTGTCATTCATTCAAGTAGGGCTTTTATTTTGACATAAATTCGGATCGAATAGTTTTATTATATCTACCTACAATATAAAATAGCCGAATGAATTTTTTCTTATCATTTTTTCGCGTATCTGATAAAAGATAACGACTTGGTGTCTGTAGTAAAGTTTTAGTACTTGACCATAGCTACAACTTTGCCATAGACACCATCTCGTTATCTCTTATCAGTTCCTTGAAAAATGAGAAACTATGAACTCGCGTTTTTCACGTTTTCGCGGCTTTTCGCGTAACTGATAAGAGATAACGACTTGATGCCTGCAGCGAAGTTGTAGTACATAAACTAGTCTACAACACTGCTACAGACACCAAGTCGATATCTCTTATCATAGTCCAGTTACAATATAAAATAGCCATGGGGCCCTGTGGTCCCCAAAGAACAACAGCGTAACATGTTTTTCGGAAGGCTGTATTTTACACATACTCACACATATGCATATGTGCATATGTCATTCGTGTAGAGAAATGTTCAATCTATACAATGAGACTTAACTCCGGTTGGTTTATACACTGTTTAGTACTTTTATTCACCTTTAAAGTTCGCTTGGGGCCCTGGATTACCCAAAAACCGTCATAGTGTTAAATGAATACGGTGATTCGGATGCGACAAATTGTCAGAGTAAAATGTACTGTAACATGCAAAACACAACTGCCTTCAATGCTGATTTGTTCAGCTGTTTATAATGCTGTTTTTAAGTACAGAATGTGCAGATTGATTGAAAAGTGAATTCAAAGTATTCCTTAATGTTCTAAACGTCGCATCGATTATCAGGAAATCAATCCCAAGACAGGTATAAACAACGTCACTTTATCTAGGGGATAGACACGGATTCTAATATTGGTCTAATATCACTAATCTGTCTAATTTTTGGAAATATATCCCAAGTTTCATTTAGTTTTCTCTAATATTTCTAATAATCGTTTGAAAGTGCTAATATCTTCTAATATTCTCGTAAAATGTTCGCCATTTAGTTTTACATTGCCAATGCATTTCCTTATGGAGATTTTTGTTTTGTTTTTTTTGTTTTGTTTGTAAACAAATCTGCCTATCTTTTAGCATTGCCTCTGTACTTAGTATATGGTTCATACGAAATATACAGAGGTAATATTAAAGGATTGGCAGATTTGTTTACAAACAACAAAAAATAAACAAAACAAAAATCTCCATAACGAAATGCATTGGCAATGTAAAACTAAATGGCGAACATTTTACGTCTCTGTACTAGGCACAGTGGTAATGCGTTGAAATTGACAGACTTGTTGACAAATAACGGTATTGTTTACCGTTTTGTTTCATCAAACAAAACAAAAATCTTCATAAAAAATTGTATTGGCATAGCATTTGCCATGTCAAAGTCATCAAACATTTCAGTTTCTAATATTTTCTAATATTCTCTAATTTACTGTATTAGATTCTAATTTACTAATCGTGTCTACCCCCTAGCACTGTATACAATGATGCGATAATTATTTGAAACAGTTGCTAATTTGCATTAAAGCTCTGAAGGTATCACAAAAAAGGTTAAAACTTTAAAGATTTTCAGGAGAAAAACAATGATCGGCTTAGTAAATGAGTTCTCAAAAATAAATGAATTTATTTATTAGAATTTCTACATTAGATGAGAGTCGAAATCGAAGCCGAAACACAAGTCGTGGTCGACGAAATCGGTTACCACCTCGTAAACGAAGCGCAACACCATTGCCCGATGACCCAAAGGCTGAAAAGATCTATTCTGGCCGCGTAGCAAACATTGTACCATTCGGTTGCTTCGTTCCAGAGATGGAGTAAATGTATAGCAATTCATTGTATTGTCTATACTGCGTACAGACCGGTATATATACATTGATATACCTTTGCGTTAAATAACGCGTTCGCTGTCACTAAAGTATTGGCTAACGCGTGCTGACGCGTGCTCTCAACGCAAAGGTATACGTTTAAGTATATACCGATACACATTTCCATAGACTTGCGGTAAACGATGAACCATCTCTGCTTCGTTCAATTGATGTGTTTGAAGAAACGTGTCGAAGGTTTAGTTCATATTTCACAGCTACGGTCTGAGGGTAGTGTAAATGATGTGACTGAGGTCGTATCGCATGGATCAAATGTCAAAGTCAAAGTAATATCAATAGCTGAAGGAAAAATGTCGTTATCCATGTTGATCAAGAGACGGGTGCCGATTTGAATCATTTCATCATGGCCGTTCGTTGCGGCACAGTGAACAATTCAAGGTCAATGACAAGCACATGAAGTTGGTGCGCGAGGCTCCAGTTCCTCAAATGTGCAAAATGGCGAACATGGTGCCGGAACTGTTCACAGCAGCGACCTCAAAGACGAATTTTGCATCATCGGTTCGCAAAATGACGGACACCACTTTTGGATCGCTTTGCAAACTCAAATGACTACCTGGCCGCCTAGTCAATTTTTCATCCAGGTAACCTCATTTTTTGTATAGCAAGCACAGAAAGCACTGAGTCGAATTCATTCGCACATGCCGAGGATCACCACCGCAATACACAATAAAACGAATTACATACGTAATCCAAACTTTTCCGCACCGCAGCAATGTTCAATTTTCTTAAACAGCGATCGAAAAATAAATCGACCACTAGTAGTAGGGTAATGAATTTATTAGACTCACCAGAGAATTATTAAGTTTAAAAGATAAACTTCAAATCAGAAAAGATTTCATACAAAGTGTGCGATCATTTGTTGAAACATCACAATTTTTACCGAAAAAAAGACGATATGAGACAACAGTGAAATTTTTTTATTGCTTTTTATTCAAAAACCTAACCGTCTATGTACTCAATCGAAGTTTTAAAATTCAATTTTTCAATTGTTGGACTCCCATTGACTGTCCTCTATTCGCATTGAAACAACTTCGTCGGTGTAAAATACATTCTTCCAATTGAAACTCGACAAAAACAAGATTAAAAAAGTCTTTATTGTTTGCCAAAACGAAGGTATAGTTTTTGTTATTGCTATAAGTAAATTTAAAAAAAAAAAACCGATCCCCATACGAAATTTCCCTGATAAACATGCGAATGTGGGTAAAATAAGTTCAAAGCTTTGACTCGGTGAGCCAATTGAAGGTCTGTTGCTTGCGATCGGATGTTGGTCCAATGATGACATTGATTATTGTCGGTCGATCTGTTATCTTGAGTGCATCTGCTAACGACTGACGAAGCTCCGGAATGGTTTTCACAAAATAACCAGCATGACCAAACATGCGAAGCATTTCATCATATCGCGTTTCAACCGTTAGAGCCGATGGTGGAGTGCTGAGAGTGGATGTTGCAGTTGAGATTCAATCACATTTGCTTTTATTTAAACACAATATATCAAATCCCAAGAAAAACCAATCAAATTACTCTACGCTAAAATGATGCCAAGATTAAGTAGTTCAATTCAATACAATTCAAGACTATTCTACACTGTTTAGAGCCCGCCAAGTTAAAAATCTATTGAAGATTCGACGTAACTTCGGTGTGGAATAAATTGAATAACTTGAACTTAAATTATCAATATGCAACGCCACCTATATGTTAAGTTAAAAATATACTGGACAAACGGTGTAGCTTCGGAGTAATTTAACTTAAGTTGAATACATATATTTGTATTACAAATAGTATTGAACTTAATTTATTCCACACCGAAATTACGCCGAATCTTCAATACATTTTTAACTTGGCGGGCGTCTAAACAGTGTAGAATAAATTGAACTACTTAAACTTGTCATCATTTTAGCGTAGAGTAATTTGATTGGTTTCCCTTGAGATGCACTTACATTTGTGTCAAGTCACCTTCGCTGCGAATGTCTTTGTAGGTATCTGCATCGAGACCGCTGTAGATGCCACCGTTATTCACAATAATAATAACAATTGGAAGTTTATACCGATACATTGTTTCTACTTCCATGCCGGAAAAACCGAATGCCGAATCACCTTCCACACAAATGACACGTTTCTTTGGGAAATAGTCACGACAATAGAGTGCAGCTGCAATTGCAAATCCCGGTCCGACCTATGGTTTTAGAAAAAACGATCTATTTTAGCAATCAAATCGATCGTAATGTTTTTGAAGCTGACATACGCCCATTGTTCCAAATGTTCCCGCATCCAAACGATGTCTTGGTAATATATTGTGCAGCATTGATCTTCCAATGTCCATTGTATTCGCTCCTTCGCTAACGATAATCGCATCTTTTGGTATAATTTCATGAACGTGATGGAAAACTGAATAGTAATTCAATGGCACACTTATGCTTAATGCCATCTCACCGACTGTTCTGCGATTTATGTCACACTTTTGCTTTAAAATTTTCCACCAGTCTGAGTTTTTGCCAAAGCTATAATATCCAATTTTGTTAAGCAATTGGTTGGCAAAAGGTAAGATATCTGATTGTATGGCTACCGCACTTTGGATGCTGTTATGAAGCTCTTCTGGACAGACATCGACTTGAATGACTTTAACATCGGCGGCATATCGAGGCGCTCTGCCAAAATGTAAAATCCAATTCAAACGAGCACCCAGCAGAAGAATAACATCGGCTTTCTGCAAAGCCAATGTACGTGCCGAAGCAACGCTTTGATCACATGTATCTGGTACGACACCTTTTCCCATTGGTGTTGCTAACACCGGAAGATTTGTCTGTTGGATCAACTGTCGAATCGGCTCTTCTGCTCGGGCATAAGCTGCCCCTTTTCCAACAATAACTAAAGGACGTTTTGCATTTTTGAGTAATTCCACGGCTTTTTGTACAGACTCAGCATCTGGATAGCACAACGGCGGCTTTGGGTGAGTATACTCATCGAATATGGCATCATTTGAAACCGTAGCTCGAAGAACATTGCCTGGAAAGTCTAAATATGATACACCCGGTCGTCCATATGTTGCCAGACGCACCGCTTTCTCAATATGTGTTGGAATGGAGGCAACAGTCGGCGGACGAACAGCATATTTACAGTAAATACGTGCCGCATCCACTTGTGGATACTCTTGAAAACCACCAATCCCTTCATGATCCTGGAATGTTGAACCGGCAATCACTATCAATGGCCAACAGTTGATTTGAGCATTTGCCATTCCTCCCGTACAATGCAATAAACCTGAAAACAAACCATTTCAATCACTCAATACGTACGATTTGAAGGTGTTGATTGAATTTACCTGGACCTGGAACCACTAGACACACGCCTGGTTTTTGTGTTAAATATCCAATTGCCTGGGCTGCATAACACGCCGACTGCTCATTTCGCATGCCAATGTATTTGAGACCAGCCGCTTGCATTGCCATCGACAGTTCAACAATTGGAATACCCACAATACCGAATACATATTCAATACCCTACATTGAATCAAATTAGAAAGATTTGCTTAAAAAAAAACATATTACTCTACTAGAGAAATATGTCTTTAAACCAGAATTGGTAACCGGTGAAAGTGAGTCGCAATTTAATCGAAACTCTGGGTGAATTCTCTTATCTTTTTTCATCTTGTTTGTGTTTACCTGACGCTTCAGTGACTCGGCAATTAGTGTTATTGAATCCATTGTCACCATTTATCACAATTTGATTGTTTTATTCAAATGAAAAAAAGTCAAAATATGAAAATGGAAACAATTGTATTTGAATACGATCCAAAACCAATTTTAAGAACATACACTTGATCTTTGACAAGCACTTTGCATTGCCAATCAAATTGTTATCTTTAAATACTCAGTGTGAAGTGGTAGCTTAAGTACGCTCATATAAGTACAATAGTACATATCAATTTTTAGACCAACCGTAACGTTTGTTAACAAAATCGACCGTTTGTTGTTGCAAAACAAAAATCGGGCCGACCATGCATGGAGCAGTTTATTGGATTGATAGTGCGTGCGTTCGAGAAATTGATCACGATTTATTTATTTTTCGACGTTAACTGATTTGTTAATTACGTCATTTTATTTAAATTTGATTGCAAAACAAACCATTCCATGTCCACATTTTGGCTGCAGCAGAAGCCAATCGATTGTTTGTAAAAACACATGGTGCGGGTGAAACAAACGTGTAGATAATAATTTCAATGATCCAAATAAACCATATTTATCCATCTAAAATGTCAAAATAAGGCTTCTCAAGTAAATAAATTGAAATCTTTTACATCTTTACTTCATTTGTTCCGATACTTTATTTGGGTGAAGATGTTCGGTCAAAATTGAACGAATACAAATAAAACCACTGAAACAAGCAAACAAACGATAAATCAAAGATTCTCTCTACAATGTCTCGATAGACTCATTCTTTTATTTCTCAGTCGCGCAATGACGTTACAATTACGAATTTAATCTATTTGATATTTTGATAATACATTTTAGAGATGAAATTGTTGCATGGTGTCACTGGAGAGCTCGGAAAATAAAATTACATTCACAATATCGTCACTTTGGAGAGGAATTCGGTAATTTGCTCCAATCTTTAGTTGGTGGATTATGTTGCCAAGTTAATTGTTTTTGAAGCTTGTCTGGAGCAACGAAACCGAACTTCGCATTCTTCTTTGGTTAAAATTTTCCAATTTAACGGTCGAAATAGGCTTGTTTGCTGGTTCCTATCAAGTAAACAAACGACAAAATTTTAGTTTCAATTTGTAAATTGCAATTAATAACAATACAAATGGATATGTACTTGTATGAACCAAGGGCACGTTTGGCAATCGGCCATGGTTGCTCGTGCATTTCCCTGTAGCACCAACAAACGTCGCAAGAGATTTTTCGCATCGTTTGAAATTTCGTGGAAATACTCATCCGGGAATGAGAAATCACATTTGAGAATATTTGTCGTAGTTTCTTCGACTGAATCATCCAAAAATGGTGAGACACCGCTCAGAAAGACATACAATAGAATGCCAAAACACCAACAATCTGTCCTTGTGTCGGTCGCTTGTCCGATCACCATTTCGGGTGCGGAGAACTCCAGATTTGACGGGGGAAGAATTGTGTTTCGGTTGAGAGCACCGAATGCTTCACCAAAATCAATCAATTTCAATTGTTGATATTGGATTGATGATGTTGCTGCTGCTGTTGCGGCGGCGGCTGTGAAATTAGATGCATCCATTTTGGTTGAAGGACCCACCAATATATTCTCCGGTTTTATATCCAAATGGGCTACATTTCGTTTGTGCAACCAATTTAAAGCATCACATAACTGGCGCATGTAGTGTAGAACAACAGCTTCTGAATACGAATCCATTTGGCAAATGTAATTGAACAACATTGGACCTTGAACTCTGTAAAAAAAGAAAACATATTTGTTTAAGAATAAATTTAGAAAAATATAAGTTAAAATTGAAATAAAATCCGGAAATAGCGTACAATTCCATAACAATGGTGTCAATCCCCTGCATTGGTGCATTTTCAAACAGAGCCAAGGCGCGAATGGTATTCGGATGCTGTGCGGTGGCCATTAATTTGTATTCTTCTTGCGTACTGGTCAAATCTTGATATTTCCGTGAAATTTGTTTTAGTGCCACTTTTTGTCCGGTCACCGCATCAGTTGCAAGACGAACAATTGAAAAACGTCCCCGTCCCAGTTCCGACAATGACGTGTATCGCGTGTTGAACTGCTGTTGTTGCCACATATGTTGTTCGCTGAGTGGCATTGTAATCGATGCACTGGGCAAACTGGCAATATTTGTATTTGGACACAGTAAACGAAACGTATAACTTTCACCCGGTGTCAATCCACTCAAAATGTATCGTGCTCGCACTGGTTTATCATCTTTTATGATCCAATTATTGGTGCCGGTTCGACAATATTCAATGATATAGCTGTTTGTGGTCGATGACGAAAAGTCCCAACTAACACGAACCGATGTCGGATTCACCACTTCCACATACACACCGGTGCAATAAGTGGCATCGTCAGCGTCCACATTTTCGGTTGGCGGTATTACCGTTAGCCCGATTGCACATTGTACAATGCCACCAAATTGATTTGAAACCGCAAACACGTATACACCACTATCTTGTGGCTCAACTTTATTGATGTGCAAACGTGCTTCGCCAGTGGTTGTATACGTTGATTGGTATTTGGTCGATGAATTCGTGATTATCATGCAGTCTGGTTCCATTTTGTGCCAAACCGTTTTTGCATTCATTCCATTCCGAACATGGCAACTCAACACCACCGACTGGCCTGCTTCGGCAACGGTGTCTTTCGATCGCGACACAATTTCTGGTGATACATTGTTACTATTGCTGATGTCAACGTCATTGTTGCCCATTGTTAACGACTGATTAAAATCAAAATTCAAATTTGTGAGACTGTAATGCTGGATCGATGGTGATGTCGTGCATGGCCGTCGATTATGGAAATCATTTGTTTTTTCGGGAATAATCTAAATAGAATTGAATCCAAGAATAGAAAAGAAAAAAATAGGAAATAAAACCAAATAAAATACCATATTAGAAAATATCATGAATTTCAACGAAAAAAAAAAAATTAAGAAGAAAATAGGTAAATCTACAAATTGGAATTTGAAATCCAGACAATCTCAAAGCCAAAATTGAATGGATCAAAACTAAAACTGAAGTACAAACTATATATTTTTATAAAACTGAAGTCTACACCAAAAACAAATAGGAAACTAAGTAACAAAAAATAAACAAATGCAATAGAATAAATAAAAGAAAAAAAAAGAAAAAGAGAAAAGAAAACAATAACACAACTATACCATACCAAATTCAAATTTTTATATTCAGACCACCGGCGATGCTGTGGTTTGATATTATTCTGCCCAACATCCGTGAGAAACAATGGTTGGTTGGACGCATTCAAATTTAACTCTTTACTTAATGCATGCCGTTCACCAAAGCTATCAACTATTCGTTTTTTTTTATCATGATGCAATAACAATAATAATAAAAGCAATTAGAATAACATATTAGTTTCATATTCAAAGGAATTTTTTTCAAAATGAAAAATTGAGGAAAAAAAACAATAATAATACATAATCCGAATGCCTTAACGCGTCCAACAAGAACAGTATTTGGAACAAGAGCAAAAATAAAAACAGAATGGGGGACGGTCATTAAAATGAACAAATAAAGCGGAAGTTGATTGAAAATAGAAAACTTCAGGTGTTTTTCTTTGCGAATGAAATCGCATGCATAAATTGATATTCATCGAACGAAAGCGGTGGCAGAGGCGACGGCGGGGAGCATATTAGATAAACTGTCTTTGTAGTGCACGCTCAACAGGCATATTTGAACAGGCATAATTACCGTTTGATTGGTTCGGGTTCGTCGCATTAATTAAAATACGTGTGACATTTTGCATTTTGCTAGCGGCTTCCAAATTGGTTGCATTCGTATCGGCGACGGTAGTAGTGGTGGTGGCGGTAGCGGCCGTGACGTTACCATGTTTTTTCGTATCTCGATGGTCCGACGAGTCCTTCTTTGATTTATTGTGACTGTCACTATGTCGAAAACTGTTATGTTTGGCAGATGCTGTGTCTAGTGTGTGGTTGTGTTTATGTTTTTTGTCATTATTGTGATGGTGACGTTCATTGAAACTATGATTGTGGTGATTATTCATTTGGAATATACTTTGGATGCTATCGAAAATATGCAGCGAACGTTTGGTCGAATGTGGTTTTGTTGTCGACGATGACGATGCAGAAGAAACAATATTAACGCCAACGCTGTGATTGTGGGGCGTGTGACTCGAATTATACGATTGTAGTTTGAGTGGTAGTGAGAGTTTCTACAAATGCGTTTGTGTATGTACGTTTTTTTTGTTTTTTTTTTTGGTTTTGTAAATGAAGAAGAAAAAAATAGAAAGCAATAATCATCGTATTGAGTATTGAATATTTTCAGTAGTTCGGTCAGTTCGGTTAGATCATATGCAACAGTTTGGATATCAGTTGCCGCACACCGAGATGAACAATGATTTTTGTTTTGTACAATGCTGTAGCGTGATGGGAACAGGGAGCTTAGCAAGAGATTAGAATGAAAGATGATCTGACTTTTTGCAGGGGTTTATCATTTTTGTTGGTTTGATATGATTGATTGCCCCATCAACACGGAATGTGTTGGCTAGCACGCAAATCATTTTGTTGATTTCTATTATTATGCTCGTTTGACGCAGTATTCTTTTAATTTCCACACTGGCTATGCCCGAAATGGATAAACCCAAAGCAAGTTTAAAAAAGAAAAGAAGCAATAATGAGCATGCGATTCTGAATAAATATCACATAGAGTTTCAAAATGATATTCGTAATATTGATTCATACCCACACATTCTCTATCCCAAGCTTAAATTAAAATTATGTTCAAGCTTTGGTCAAATAGCCAAGTCAATATGAGTGTTACAACAAACCCCGTTATTTTGAAATGCATTTTCTTAATGAATCGAGTTTTGCCATTTTTAGTCCCATTTTTTCTTTCGCTTGACTTATAATCCCGACAATACAATTCTAGATTAGATCCACAAGATATCTTCAGCTTCAACTTCAATACCTCTTTTCTTTTTGATTTTTTTAGGGCAACGAGATTAGGTCGAATTTGATATCGAAAAACAAAATGAATCAGTTGGTTAGTGTAAATTTCATGTAAAAATCAAATTATGTTTATTTTTTTCTCTTTTTTGTCTGTTTTGTGAGAATGTTTTTATTATGATTACAACAATTGAATCTACAGCTACTGATTTAAGTCTAAAAACGTTCACATATTTCAATCACTTTTCTGTTTCGTCACTAAAAAATAATATACACGCAACGAATGCAAGGAAAAAAAACTATTTTGGTTATTGAAAACTAAACTCTTTTTTTTTAGGTAAGTAATTAAAAATAATTTGAAAAAATTAGAAAATTTTAATCTTCTCGTTCGGATGTATTCAAAATGACACCATATGTATTATTTGTGTGAAGAAAAAGATGAGCACATTCATTCTGAACAGTGATGTTATTGCCAATCAATTGTTTGACGCCATATTTTATTTTCATCATTTTTGAGTAACGAAACGACAGGATTTTTAAAGCTAAATTTCATTATTTTTCCTAACATTGAAGCAACGTATAATTTTTTATTAGAAAAAGAATACTGCTATTCAATCTACTGCATGCAGCCAAAATAGTACTATGGGATACATCAGCAAACTACGCTATTTTAAATTATGTCTTATTTTTGTCGTTTGGATCAAAGCCTTTTGTGAAATCGTTTAGCAATTATATGTGAAATATTCCGAGCAATCTTACAATAGAGATGTATACACATTGCTTGGGTAGTGTGAATGCAGAGGAATATTCATGAACTGCACTAACTAAATTTTGCCGTTCAAGAATGTTCGTATGCGTTCATATGATAATTATCGTCATGTATCAAAAGTTGTTCCATTTATTCCATTCATTTTGAGTCAAATCAATGTATTTGCAAGTGTGTTAATCATCCATTGTTTGAAATAATTGATTTAGATTCACATAAGCTATTGGTTTATTCTTAAACATCTATTACGATACCTTGTTTTTTATTTGTTAGTTATATTCCATAAGCGTTCAAACGGGAAAAATGAGAATTAGTGAGCAATAGTAAGTCATACGTTTATTAATTTCTTGTCCAATAGCAATGAATTGAAATGTTTACACTTAACTAAAAGTTGTCATTTTGGGTTTATTTGTTTGTTTTTTTTTTTTAATTTATGTAGAAGCTCTTACCTTCTGGGTGAGTTCATTATTGTTGCTTGATGATGTGGAAGTGGTAATACTGCTGCTGCCACTACTGCTGTGCAAATCTGATGACGGTACGGAGATTGTTTTGCGCAAATAATTACTGTTGCGAAACATTGAACTGTCCATTGAACTATATTTGTTCATGCCGATGAAATGGCAAAAAAAGAAACAGAAAAATAAAAAAAACCAAAATCAGAAAATCCATCGAACCAAAAAAAAAATGATATAAATACAAACTTAGTTAAATAATGAAATTGAATGAAATGGATTTTAACGAAAAATAAAAAGAAAATTGGTAAAATCAGAAGAAAAAAAACCATAAGCACTAACTTAGGAAAACGAACCTAGGCACTAACTTAAAATAAAAACAATTCCAAAAACTTGAAAATGAATTAATCGCAGATTGACATTAGGAGAGAGAAAAACGATGAGAGTTTAATCAATTGTAAAATGGAATGCCATCTGATTGAAAGACCATAGCAATATCAAAACGCGAAATCATATGAAATAAAAAGGCCGAATATTTTGTTTTAAATATCATTTTTCCTCATCTTTCACATAAGTCATACATTTATGAATGTTTGTTTTGTTGTTGCTGCTGTTCTTTTCTGTATTTCAAATGTACCTTATTTGCATCCTACTTTGGTTCAGCTCTCGTTTGTGTGTATAAGACAAATGGTGGTAATCGCAATATATATATATATATATCATATATATATTATGTTAATGCAATGTATAGTATTGTATAATTTTTGGTTTTGTTCATTATTCTTTCCAATGTTTGAATATTTGTTGTTGTTAAATTTGTGTTATATAACTTTTGGTTTGTGTTTTATACTATTTTTTTTAAATATTATATTATTATTATTTCATTTTTTTTTTTTATTAATTTAATTTTTTAATTTTCTGAAAAATTTTGATAATTGATAAATCATTTGAATATATTTATTTGTTTTTATTAGCTGTAAATATACATGATCTGATCATTATCGAAAAAAAATGCATATCTTCATATCTTTATTTGCGTCGTGAATTATTCATTTTCCTATTGCATTTATTATGGCCAAACATATTTCAATGCAAAGTCCAATTCTCATTTATTGCCAGCTATATACACCACAGAGATTTTTGTTAATATTATATTTTTGCTTTCTTTTTCGACATTCCTCGTTCTCGATGCGACACAACACAGAAGTCGGATAAATTGTTTTATTCGAATCTATCGAATCCTATGCAACTTAGTATATTTTGTTCTTTTTTTTTGTTCATAATAATTATTAGAAGAATAAACAGTAGTGGTGGACATTTAAGGTTATTCATATTTTGTTTATTTATAATACTATATAATACTTATGACTCTTCATTTTGTTTGTTTGATGCGCGTGCATATTACACGCGCCCATGCGACACACTCTATCCAGTGTTTATTTCATTTAGCTATCAGTGCTTGTTTTTTTGTTTTGATGGTGGTGAAAGAGAAATAGATAGATAGAGTACAGTTATCGAACATGAATTTTTGCTAACTAAAAGGGCTAAAAGTGAACAATTTTTATTTGAGACAAGAGACAACAGTCTCAATAAAGTGAAACGGAGCGATTTCATTCAGTCGACAATTTCACATATATGTGTGTGTTGTTGATGTTTGTTTTGTTTGGTTTTGTTTTTCATTCTTGGTTGAGCATTTTGCTTCTCACAATTCATTTTTGGTCTTTAAATTAAAAATTCAGATTCCTCTTCATTTATAAAAATAGCTAAATTCACACCTTTCGTTTGGTTTGTTTTGCTGTTTCTCTCACCTTTTTCATCCAGTGTTCTAGAAATTCTTTCTGTATAATTAATATGCTTGGGTTTATATATTTAATATATGAGAAAAGAGCACAAAATTTTATTCATGAAAATGCTAACACATCTGTTCTTTACCGCTTAAATATAACTTGAAAGCATGGCAATTTTCTTTTATTTTATTCTTGTGTTTGCTAAATTGAGGGCTTGATGTTCTTTTATTCTTTATTATTTTTTTTTTTTTTTGTAAATTGGATTCAAAAATTATTGCTTTTTTTATTTATATTCCGTAATGATTTCGATTTGTTGTATTTGTTGTTGTAACTGATGTTTTTATTATTCATTCAAAGCTGAACACGATATGGTTGCACCATACAGACTATTATTAGGAACAAATATGTCAAATTGCTGTCTATCAAAATTCGTAATGTTCGAGCATTTCAATTTATTTCTGTTTCTATTTTGTACCATACCTATTATACGGATTCAATGTTTGGTTTTATTTTGATTGATGAAAAAAAAATCAAAGGATATCGATACATCATTGTTTTATTTTGTTTTTTTAATTTAAAATAAAAAGAATGTGTACACTCGTCTCGCACACTTGATCATTGGCATAAAATCACATTTTCTACATCTCTGATTTTTCTTCCCTTTGTTTATTATATTGTACCATTATTTTGTGTTAGATGTTAATAGGACCGTTCATAGCTATTTGCACGTAATTTTAATGAAAAAAATATTTATTAAATTGGAAGAAATATATCTTCAAATCAACGAAAATAACCATGGACGCGAAATGGTTTTGTTCATATTGTTTTTTTCTACTCCACTCATTTTCCGAATAAGAATATATTGGAACAAAGAAATTATGGAATTATAGTTCGAAATGCGTTCAGAGTGAGATTGAGAGAAGAAGAGATATAGAGAGAACAGAGTTATGAGTGAAACGAGTTACAAGTGTTAAAAGAGTTGTTCTTTTTTTCTTCATCATCTTCATCGCTCTTATTATTGTAAATCCAGTGATCAAGTTTATTTATTTAAATATGTCACCATAAAATTCTCCAAAAACAAACGAATTAACAGTCAACCGCTTCATTTTGGCCATCATTTCGTTAAGAATGATCGGTTTGAAGCCATTTTCGATTAAAAAGGTCTCCTCAATTCACAAAATGGATTTTCTTTTTTTTTTGTGAAATGCACGCAATGTGCAGATATTCAGAATGTAAGCTTGAGCGTTCATTCGCAATTGTCTTTGGATCATTTTTCTTTCTTCTGATTTTCTATTTTTTTTTCCATTTCCCTCATCAAGCTCATATGTTCTGATTGGCCACAATCTGTGTTTGAATGTGGTGCATCCTACTGCACTTTTGATGCAATTTTGTGATTTTGAGCGCTCGTATTTAAAGTAAATTGTTGGTTTTGAGTTAATAGAACATGACAGAGAGAAGAGTATGCGGGTGTGTGTGGTTGTGTTTGCAGAAATGAAATTTTAGATAACTCACGATTCCTTCATTCGTTCTTTTTGGTACTCTATAGGACTTTGGAGTGCTTTCAATAAATCATATTGCCGCTGCAGTATATTCTTTATCGTATCCACCCATTCATGACATTGTTCGGTCGATTGTGTGGCGATGACGTAACAAATCTCTTGACGTTGAGGATCCGTTGAACGCAACATGAATCGATTTTCAGACATTTCCTCAATGATTGCCTGTTTATTGAACTGTAATGAAAATTGCATGAAATTCGGTCAATAAAATATACTTGCAATGAAGTTATGGGATATAGATGCAATAAAAACAACAAAAAAGTTCGTCGCATAAAATCAAGTATTGTATTTTGGTGGAACAAACAAAAATACGCAATTAGTATTTACCTGAATGTGATTTTTGTAAATGTATGAAGGGTTCACGAATTGTGTTTTCTTGCCAACAATTTCCGAGAAGATGATGCTTTGTTGGAACAAAAATACCTGTAGTTCACGCGGTTTGATGGCCACACTCGAGTTACGCTCCGCATTGTTGGTACCTTCGGTACAAAGGAGTGGACCATGCAACAGTAAATTACCCTGAGCTGTTATTTTCCCTTCGAATTTTTGCAAACGACCTACATCCATCATGTCATTCGCTTCTTTTGGAACAACCTGTGTGCATAAATGTGAGTGAGGATTAGAATTGGGATTAGACGGCGGGTGTGAGTGTGTAAAAGTGTAATTCAAGCGAAAGAAAGTTGATTTTGTTGCACACAACACACACACACACACACGCACACACATACCTTCATAACATAGATGGCATCCTGTAAGCTCGGGAGCTCCTGTACCATACCAGCACGTTCAGTGTGTTTATAAATATCCCTTAACAGTAATTCATACTTCGTAATCCTTTGGATTGGTTTTATCAATAGATCACATAGCTATAGCACGAGAAAGAACAACGAGCGCCGATAAGTGGAATGAAGTTCAACAAAAAAGGAGCGAAAATATGGGATTGCATGTACTCACAACTAGTTTATGCTTGAGCTTGGACCTAATTTCTTCAAAATAACCAAAATGCTCAGCCACGATGTGCTCGGAAACGGGTTTATTTCGGCAATAGATCACATACATATGAAGTTTTCGTTCACAACGCTTTATAAGTGGTCCTAATTCTATACTATTTTGTATACATTTTTGGAGTGACTTCAAGAAAAAGCTGCACGGTGGAAAAGCGAGACAGAGAAGAAGAGAGATAGAGAGAGGGGAGGGAGAAAAAGCAAATGTTTATTTAAATGTTAATATGAGACGACATTTTGTATCCGGGCCTGACAATTTGGCTAATGACAGACACATCAATCAAAAAGAGAAGAAAGGAAAAGAAACGAAATGGAATTTAACTTACTCCCTATGCCATTCAAAGATTGCTTCTACATTTCCAAATACCATGCGCTCCTTGCCGCCCTTTAAATCATCTGGCATTGGAATGTCACTATCTGGATCACGAATCTCGCGTATGTAACCATCAACAATGAGCGATAAATCCTGCACATATGCTTCCTCCGTATGAACAAGCTCTTTGAGTGCGTACATTCGCTTTCGCATAGCTACTTCAACGTCATTCTCCTGTAGATTGTCGTCGTTATCGCCATTAGCACTGCCTGCTACGGCTGATGATGTGGATGAATTAAAATCCGAGCCATCATTCGATGCTTTAGCAAGTTTGAATTTTGTACTTTCATGTTGTTCCTGTTTTTGTTTTTATTTTTGTTTTTGTTTTTATTTGTAAATGAAACAAAACATTTTATGATAAGTAAAGAATCACAACTAAAATCGCATATTCGCAAAATCACACAACACATATAATATAAATATTCTACTAAAAAAAAGCATTTGACACCCTCTTCCAACCATCCAATCCACTCACTTCAATTCGACCGAATTTTGCAGTGTTACACGCTATTTTGTTTCAAGCAGTTCAAAGTTATGCGCGCTATCACCATTCGTTCAAGCAGATGCAGTCTAGCGTTCATCCACTTCATGACCCCGAGAATAGTATATATATATGTATATTGTATACTATATGTATAAAATAAAAATTCGCAACACCGTTTATCGTTGAGCTCGAATTGAAGTGAATGTGCTCGGTATTTGACATTTAAAAAATGAAGAAAAAATTAAACAGCACTTCAGTTAAACTATATTTGTGGTATTTGATTATTCTCATCATCTCACATGTCGGCAGTTCGTGATGATACAGTTCTCAATTCATGGCATTGGTAATATTTGTAAATATCTTCTGCTTCACATAATTTAACACTACTTATGTCAGCTTATTGTTTCGTATGCAGAATATTTCAATTCGGACAAAAAAAGAAGGCGAAGAGTTAAATTGTTTGCTTTTTTTTATTGCTACGAGCAATGGCTGATACGTGTGGAGTGACAAAATAATGTGAAACAAAAAACCCTCTACAACTGCCGAATACTCAAGATAATGACCGGAAAACAAACAAAAGTTCTCCAAAACAAAAACTCTACAAGCGTAGAGAATATCAGAAAAGTCCATTTTGAATGAAATTCTATAGAATAAGTGATGATATGAGTATGTGATACTGAGGGGGGAGCAAGCGTCCACTTGCGCTTCTATCACTTATTCTATATAATAATGTAATGCGAAACGAATGATTAAACAGTTGCTGAATGGATTTGGAGGACAACCAAATGCGTGGCTCTTGGAAGTCAATGGTCGCATCGAAACTGTTCCACATCTTTCAGCAAAAGTTACAAACTTATCACATACACTCACACAGCATGCACGAGAAAAAATATATATATCAGATAATCAACATCTATCTAATTCAGTTCAGTGTTCATTTCAAACCAATATGCTTTGTTTGATCGAAAATCCGTAATAAGCTTACAATCCATCACACAGTGTTTTAGCGTTCTGCAAATTTGACGACCATTACTTTTTTTCGATGGTAGAATCGTGATCGACTCTTTACCCCAACCCAAACTGCGTGACCACATTTCTTGTTGTCTTTCATTTCTGTGTGGATTTTAGACATTTCGCTTATTTCGCTTCTTCAATCACATTAATTTTCCTGTATACGGTATATATATATATATATATATATATATATATGTTGCTTTGTTATGTAATAATTGATGCGTTCGAAAATTGAAATGAAGAGAGGAAAAAAAAGTATAACACGAAAACAAAGTTATACGAAAGCAAATGAAAATGGAAACAAGAGAGAAAATAAATGAGACAGGGATAGGGAGTGGGTGAGGTAGGTAGAGGTAGAGATGAGATAGCGAGATGTTTGCAAATTACACAAAAAAATACTTTGAATAACCGCATAAATGGCGATTCCTATTCAACAACAGCTTCCACATTAGCGGAAATAGTATTGTGTGTTCGCCCTCTCTCTCTCTCTCTCTCTCTCTCTCTCTCTTCCTATCTCCTGGTCTCTTCCTCTTCATCAATGCAAGGCATTGAGATAATTTCATAAAAAGACCGACACTGTTTGATGCAATAAAATCCAATGGTCCTTGTATTTCCTGACAATCCACACTCTCTCCGCATAATTAATTCAATGAAATTATTACTTGGGGCTATCAGCCAATTTGATTGGCTGCCGTACAATAAACGTACAAACGCCAAAGTGCTCATTTTGAGGGTGAGTGGTGTCTTTTTATGGTCACATATCACAATGTCTTGCATTTGCATCACTTTTCACCAAAGAAAGAATTGGTGTACAAAGAGTGGATGTGTTGTTATGATTGTTTTGTCAAAAGCCAACCAGAAAAACGAGGAAAAACCAAACAAAAAATGAAGAAAAAACTTTTATTCTCTACTCTACAGTGCGATACAGACGAGTCATGATTGTTTCAACCATTTTTTCTGCAACGTAAGTTTCTATATTTTCAGCCAATTTGTATGCGTGATTCACATCCACATTGGCGCTGGCAGTGAAAACAATCACAATTCGCCTGTGTATAAAAGGAAATGTGTGTGTGCGTTTAATGAATAGCAAATAAGTCTAAAAGTAAGTAATGAGTGAATGAAATACGCTAAGTACCATTTTCTCCTTAACTATTTGTTCAATTTCTTCTAAATCAGTGGTTGCATTTCCCTCCAGCGTTTTCAACGATAATGAAGAAGTCTATAGACGAAGAATATGGTATGGTTTTAATTTTTAGTTGAAGTATCACATATGTGTATTTGTTTTGTTGCAAATAGAGGAAAAACAACAACAATAACAACGACGACCAAAAAACAAATTCTTTGCTAAAAACTACATGTTCCCTGTTTTTTTTCTTTGTTCCTTCGGTGGATTTGATATGTTGAATTTGAAGTCAAAACGAAAAAAAAAACCAAAGTGATTTACAAAATTCGAAAATCAATGTGTTGAGAAATGAGAACGCGATTTAATTGAACTGGGGCAATTGCAACTGGGCCAACATTTCAATTAAATCCCAAAATAAATTCTGTGTGTGAATTGTACAAAATGAGATTCAGGTGATTTGGGACCGGTTCAGCTATTATAATACCTGATATGAGATGTATGACACATGAACGAAAATGAATTAAATTACAACCAATTTTATGCATAAATAAGTAAATAGAAACTCACGAACATGGTTCGAAACATACAAACAGAAAAAAAGGTAAGAAATATACACAGGTTGTTACTTTTAGTTTCACATTTGAATGATGAATCAGATTGAATTCTAAAGCGATACAATCTGCTACATAGAACAAACACAATGACGAACAAGTGAGAGTCAAAGTACGAGAACGAGATAGAAAAGAAAAATAATGACCAAACCGGTCATACCATTTCACCAGAAGAAATAAAATTGCGAGAAAAGTGAACAGAAACGAAAGACGATTTTCGTGCATAAACAAACGACAAATCGAAATTACAAAGTCAGAAACACTAACATATCCATTTCGTTCTACAACTTTTGGACGCGAATGTTTAATCAAATGTGGACGATAGATACATTTTGTTTTTCTGTTATTTTAACTTCTGATAAAGTACACATAATTTAAGAGCCAAAAAGAAATTTTTGAAAGCGGCTCGAATGCGTACGCTCATTTGTGTTTGATTTGGGCAAAGTTTTGTTGAAATCAAAATATAACATTTTATGGAAGTTGCATAAGACGAGAGAGAATCATGTTGGACGAAATTAAGTTCATTACACTGAACTTTGCATAAGTGTGACATCACAATATATAATTGGGCTGTCTAATTATTACCATTTGCCCATCACCAAATTCATTTTGTTCAATATCAAAAGAAAACAGCGACAATTGTTTCCCCTGCCACAATGAACATAAATATTCGTTTGGGACAAAACGCACTCGATGCACAAATACTTACGCGTTTGCACGGGCTTTGTTCAACAACCGACGATGCTACCACATTTGGTCCATTGTTGATGATTGCTTGCGAATCGTGTATGGGTTTCATTGGTGGTGGTAATATGACTTCTTCTTCATTTTCCGCTTCAGCGGTGTGACTCTGCTGGAGCTGTTGCTGCTGGTCATGTTCGGATTTGTGATGTTGATCGGCATTCGATTTGTCACGGAATCGACTAATATTGGTCTTCTGCGCTAATGGTTGCTCCTCTTCAGCGGTGACAGTTGCCGCCAATTTGAAGGCCTTTTCAGAACTCTTCTTCAATAATGGCCGATCATTTGGTGCCGATGATGAGGATGTTGCCACCGCCGTCGCCGACGATGCTGAGGATGTTGTCGTTTTGTCCACTTTTCCCTGAGATAATTTCCGAAGTGGTGGCGGTAACCATTTTCTTCTGCAAAGAAAAGAACAGAAAAAAATTTACATTGACAATTGGAGATGTAAATTTAAGTTAAGCTCTAATGGGTTTCTTATTATCGGATGAAAACCAAAGTCAATTTTTTTTTAATTCAAAACCAGCATTTTATATTTTGATTTTCCGAATTGACGGCCTGAGAAGAAGAACCTTTCCTACAAAACCTGTGCGCAGAACACAAACACAGAAATTTTTTAGTCAAAAGGCGAACCGCAAATTTGCGAGCGCTAAAACCGAAAAAAAGGTTTTTCTTCTCAGGCCGTCAATTAAACTTGGTGTTGATACGTTCTAACTTAAAGAATTTCCGTTTGAAATCCTTTTTTTTCAAATCCTTCTTTTTCGTCGAAAGAGCTTTTTCTCTTGAATGTTTTCCCCCTTCCTCTAGTACTCACACGCACAATTTATATATTTGATCGCAATATTTGTATTTAAGTTATCAATACCTTCGGCAACAGTAGCAACAAATGCAACATACACATGAAAACCACTTGCTGCACATTAAGGCTATATGAATTAGCATCAATTCAACGATTTCTTGACGGGAAAACAAATGAACTCAGTGCTTTAAATGGTTATGAGCCGAAAATTCACATGGATCGATGATATCTTTTGTCAAATGAAACCTCTGCGCGCACACTCTTGCCCATTTAGGCATGTGTGTATACGATTATTCGGCGAGCCAAACTGAAACTACTTTGTTTTCATACGATGGACTCAACTCAACACAGCGAAAGAAAAAAAAACCGATCGTCAAAACAAATGTTTAATTGAGCACATAATTGCTGATAAAAAATTGCTCGGAACAGAACATTCAAAGCACTAAGTCAGAGCAACAATATGCAATTTTTATATGGCAAAAATATATATATTTCACACAAAAATCGAAACTACATGCTGATTGTATGTGTGAAGTTTTTTTTTCTCTTGCTTTCAAACCGGACGATCGGCGTCGAAGCACGTTCGCCCAAAGCGATAGATCAACAAACCGAATGTCAACAAAAGAACTGCGCATGAATAAAAGGAGGGAGAACGAGACGGAAAGACATGGTTTCATGTGCAAATAAGGCAGATCCCAGACAATGCCCATTGGAAATTGGTTGAAAACCATTAAACCGTTCTCATTTTTGAAAAGTACTCTTATCTGCCACAAAAGGAAATTAGTCGTAAGTATGCCTTGTAAATACGCCAATTCGCGCCACATTAAATGTACGACCTCACACACAATGCTTATGCCACCTATATATCGTATACATATATCGGTCGGGTGCTTAACGATGTGAAGAGGCTTATTTGACCAACTTTAAAGCGATTGCAAATACAATCAGCCATTAATATTGTTAGAAAAATATATTCAGCACACACACACACACACACAACAGCTCTGTTGACTGTTCAAACGCAAATACCGATTTTGTACATTAGCGATTCGATTTCTTATCGATTTTACAATTTGTCACTCGGTTGCGATAACTAAGACATTCATTCCAAAAAAGGAGAAAAAGAAAAACAGCACTAACATTCAAAGAATGTATAAAATAATGAGTCAGCGCAATCAGGTTTGCACTTCGCTGTATAAAAATTCAAACCCATGAAATGAAATGAAATGAAATGAAATGGGACAATTCAATTTACATACACATGTAGTTTAAAATCGGGTTTGCATTTGAACAAACGGCAGAAAACAATCAAAATTTAAATACGGTTGACATGGATCAATAGTAAAGACATTGGCTAGGAATTGGAAGTAGATTTATCGCTTAGATTGATTATATTTATAATCCAATCCTGTTTGACGTTTTCTCTTTCATTTCAATTTTGTTTAATAACAAATAGTAATAGTAATGTGATTCCCAATTTCAATGGTAAACGAAAGGCATCGCAAAGTCGCCGGCATAATGAATGTCATAATCACATTGAATGGCATGAATCTCCAGATTATATATATTAATTAGCCATTCAGGCACAATAACTTCCTGCTATTTTCTGAATTATGTTTACGTAATAGTTGGTGTCGTTAATCCACTCGACGGTTTTTTTTTCATCGTGTTTTGATTTGTTAATTCAGAATCACCATTGTAAATTAAATGCCACAATTCAAATTGATGATAATTTGACGTTTAGATTGAATTTAAAAAAAGTTTTCCATTCGGAAGTTGGAGTTTTCATTGAATTCAGTTTGATTATGTGTTGAAATGACACCTATTTTTCCCCCGTCGTATATATTTCATTCATCCTCGGTACACATTTTCATTTGTCGAGTTGTTACACGCGCCGTTGACACCTTCATAAACGTGTATCGCACGGCGCTCATAATGTGTTACTTTTCACATGCACATTCTAATAACATTGTTTATACTATTTTATACTCTCTTCAATTTAAATTAGCTGTTTGCCGTTGCTATAACCATAATAAAATAGTTCTAAATTGCCTATTCCAATGTTTGAAGAAGAGGAGCTCAAACACATAGATTAGGTTTTTAATTTAATATTCCCCTGTTAATGGGCCAATTTAATGCGTAATTTTCAGTGAGACGGAGAGAGAGAGAGAGAGAGAGAGAGAGAGGGGAAAAAACTCATCAGATGTAGACGTATAGTAAACATGTGGCATAAGTAGTTTTAAGGTGGGAAAATATATTGAAGTTTGTTTATTCTAGGCTAATTTCAATTATGTCAAACCAAAAACACTTACCCGCTGAAACCTCTTCGTTTGTTAATGGGTGATGCTGTTGTGGTTGCGTTTTCTGTCGACAATGTCAGATCTGCGAAAGGAAAAATGGAGCGAAGAAAATGTGTTAAAAATGGCGTCACAAACAGTTTAAGTTGAAATCGAATTTGATTTGGGTAATAATCATTAATTTGCCTCACATATTACCCCGTGTGAAAATTTTGTGACTGACTAGCCAGCCGCCGAATTTCGGACTTTTTTGGCTGACTATCACTGACTAAAAGTGATTATCTCAAACAAAATATTCGACTGTAGTCAACTTCAGTTATAGTCATCTAGTAGCCAAAAGTCCGAAATTAGACGACTGGCTGAAAGAATAACTAAAAGTGATTGTTTCTATACAACATTTTTGAATTCAATCAACTTAGCCAGCTACATACAACTGAGTGACTGTCAGTCACTTTATTTGCACACGGGACGTTATTATTTCGTTTAAAACGAAATTCATGTGGAATATTCCAAAGTTCAAAAATAATAATTCTTTAGTTGAAATCGCACAACATTATCGTTCGTTGTTATTTGCTCGGAAAAAATGTAAACTAGACTTTGTCCTCGCTTGAAAAACAAAAAACCGAAGACGGATTGAGTTCATACAATGTTATACACTGTAATCAGCACATCCCTTAATTACAATCATTTTTTAAAGCCACAGCCCGACCATGTCCAATTCAACGGCGGAAAAATGTTTCTTGCCTATGCAATAAAAAAAAAAAAAACGTGAGTTTGTGTGTGTAAAAGGGGCTATATATGCTTTGTTATTTGCCTTGTTCGCACTCAAAATGTTAGGCACACGATTCCATATTCACCCTATACTATACATTGATATTATTTTGATACATGTATATAAATAAAATGTTCTATTTTCGTATGTCAGCAGCTACTCACGAAAAATCTATACACATTCAACACGTTGACTACATATAATATTTCCATTAAAAATTCGATCTATAAATAATCAGAATTTATAATAGATCTCTCTGTTGTGCTAACCGTTGTTTTCTTACAACTCTCGGTTCTCTCTTGAATCTCATCATTGTTGCTCATTGTGTGAGTGTGTGTAAGAGTCTGCTTTTTTTCTCCTTTTTCGCTGTATATTAATAATTTTTTGAAAAAAAAATTTACGAAATTATCTCAACCAAAAAAAAAAAACATCAACATAGTTTTGGAATAGGCGCCTGTTGGCTTCCATATGCAATGTGTGATCGTTATTTCAGTTTAAAATTCACACATTTTTCTCATGACATAAAAATATTATTTTTATCGTTTGTAATTTTATCTCAACTCTCTCAGCGATATTATGGCTTGAATTGAGATAATTCATGTGGCAACTGATCAATGCGTCAGCCGACATAATTTACAAACATAATATGAAGTACGCATGAAATGTGAGAAAAAAAACGTTCTGTGCAATGCCATATATGAGTTCCAACAACAACAAAAATCGCAAAAGCAACAAACACATCCTATTCATAATAAAAGTATTTGTTGAAAATTGCAAATAACCATTGACTCGTATTCACCGAATTCGTTTTAAATGAATAACAAGAAAGAATATTGTCAACCGAAATAATATAACTCAAACGCACAACACATTGTAACAAGGTCACCCGAGACCGTTCTTTTTCGTATAAAGTTTTTTTTCGTTTCGGTTTTTTTTTAAATTCATTCTCGGTTTGCATCCTTTTGAGTATATGATTAATTCGCTCGTTGAAAGAATGTCTTGATTGTGATTCACACACTCATTTGATTCATGCTGGGAGTTCCTTTGTTCGATAAAAGCAACTTTTTTATGTGTACAATAAAAAAATGCACTTAAAACAAAAATTCAAGTATCATGGTCATTATACCAATGAATTAGCTGACTCAATATCTCGAAGATTTGTAATTGAGAGTTTCATTTTGATGATGATTCCAATGCGAGTTTTTTCTCGCCTTTCTTTTCTTTCGATTGGCCACTATCAAATGGAAATCATTCTTTTGAATTTTGAATGCATCCTTCCGTCACTTACTTTCAATTTGCGGACTTAGTTGTGAATCATCGTCGCCATCATTGTAAGTTATAATAGGACATTTGAAGTTTGGATCACATGATGGTGATGTTGGATTCGATGTACAATCAATGCTTGATGTTGAATTTGAATTGGAATTGGTAATATTGGTGGTGGTGGTGTCGAGTAAACTGGATTTTGATGAGCTTCGGCCACGACCGAATTTTCGGAATGAAAAACGAGGTCGCAAACCGAATGTTGAACTATCGCAACTAGCACTAAGACTTAAACTATCCGCATTTGCACTGTTTAGTTCACTTTTTGTTGTTGATACAATCAAGCTTTTGGTTTTTTGCTTTCGTTTGTTCTTTTTCAGTGTGTTTGAATCGTAAAATGCATTGTCTCGCACATCCTCAACCGAATCAAACGTCGCCATTTGAAATTGAATTCAAGTGAAGAGAAGTTGTCGTATGTCTATGCGAATATCGTGTACTTAAGCAAATAAATCATCTAACATTATTCGATTTGGAATGAACCGCGTTGTTGTATTCCCTTCTATGTTTGATTCTGTTTGAAGCCAATCGAAATCTTATCGGCTTTTCTTTTTTTTTTCTCAATAAAATAAGTGTTTAGTCACTATCTATAAAACAAACACATGAACAACCTTAAAGAATATCAAAATCGCTTCCTGCACGTGTACACACACACTCACGCGCACGTACGCAAGATGCATCAAATTAAGTCGATGCAATTTGTTTTTTTTATTTTTGGCATATTCACAACTTTCCACGTAGTGTACGCATTGCTTCTGTCACTCGTCATACACAGATTACAAAGAAAAAATGTTGGCGCGATCAAAATCGTAAAAACAAAGGTGAATCATTCATTTCCACATATACAAGCACGCACCAACAAGCGGAAATTTCTATTTACGATCAATTCGATTTTGTATCTCTCTCTCTCTCCCTCTCTCCCTCTCTCTCTCTCGAGCGCTTAAGACTCTTTTCAGTTTTTTTTAATTCACTTATTGTCGTTTTGGTTTGGTATTTGGTGCAGCTTTGTACACGATTTCGCTTTAGTTTCCTTTATAATCCAATTGAGAGCGTGGAGAGCACTTATATATCATTTACATCAAACTATTCGGATAGTGTGCTGTATTTGCTGGCTTTTTTCTCTTTGTGTATCTCTCGTTGCAATTTAATTTGCACATCAATCATTTTCTCTTTTAAAATTCGTTGTGGTTATTGCTGATGTTGTTGTTGGCTGTTTTTATTTAATTCGGTATCGTTTTGTTCTGATATTTTTGAGCTAGCGCTCGCGCGCACACGGGGCTTGTGTTCTGTTTCTCGTTTTACTTATAAATTGCGCTGCGCGGTGATTTGTTACTCCAAATGTTTGTTGCTATTTGGATCGAATGCATGACAGATAGAACAAAGGCACCGTAGGTGACACACACACACACACACACAATTTATGCAGCGTATACAATGCGTGTTTCGATGTGACACACTTGGTCAGTCCGATTTCATTTAAATCTTCTATTTGAATCAGTTTTGGAACTACTTTTTCACAAGATTCCCTTTGTTTTTTTTTTCTTTCTTTTCAAAAAATGTTTGATAATAATTCCAACTGTTTGTTTTTGTTCCTATTTTTGATTTCGTTGCGTATACTTTATGAAGCTGGATTTGTGTTTCAGTTTCACTACATCACACACGTTTGGTCGTTATTTTCTATTCGTTTGATGCGATCAAAATTCGTTCACTTCCAAATCTTCAGTTGCGTCGAGAATTAATTCATTCGCAAAAAGAATGTCACAGTCGATGTTGAAGAGAGCGCACTTCAAAAATTGCATAACGTTTGTACAAGTGCATGAAGTCCAATCACAAAACGAAAGAGACACATTCGATCAAAATTCAATTTAAGTTGATGTCATTTTCACAACACACACTTTGTTTTCCCTTTGAACGAAATCGTGAAAAAATAGCCCAATTGCAACTTAGACGTGTTACTCAATGGAAAAAAAATAATGTAAGTTGATGCTGTCAGAGCTTGAATATGTGTTTTGTTCGGTGTGATTTTTCACGAGTTGTCTTACAAGGAGAGAAAAAAGAGACTGTGTGTGATATTACTATAGAATCGAAGAAAAAAAATCTTCTTTTCTGCTCTGTGCGCGCGTACTAACAATCGAAAATAAACAGGCGACTATCAAATTACACTCGAGCAGACCAACGATTGAGATATAGATACAAACATAAGAACGCCAAAGCACACACGAACCAAAACGAATATTATATCCAACAACAACACATAACAACGAGAAAAAAAAGAATCTGTGTGCTTGCTTGCTCGCTTTGTTTTGCTCACGATTCGTATGTTCCAATTCGTATCATTGCTTTTCATTCGCCCACTCTTCGGACTCTGTTTTTTGTTCTCTAAGAGAGAGATAAAGAGAGCACGACGCTTATTTTCACTTCTCCTCTATACTGCTACTATTCGTACTGCGATCTCGTTCGTATCTCTTTTTCACATGAAAAATATGTGTATTTAAACATACAGTTAACAACGTGAACAGTAAAAAAAACTGTCAAAAATAGGGCTTTCAGGGTAGGGTAAAATAAAACGTACTTTGTGGCATTTCATTTTTCGGTGACGACAAACTATTTTCGTGTCAACATTTTATATCTCCAGCATTTGAGATTTTCACATCGTTTTTTTTCACTCTCTCGACAACTCTTTGCAAATGAACAACAGATTCATTTTCACGAGACCAACTTTTCTCTCTCTCTCTCTCTCTCTCTCTCTCTCTCTCTCTCTCTCTCTCTCTCTCTCTCTCTCTCTCTCTCTCTCTCTCTCATAACGAACAAAAACAATCTGCGTCAATATGAATATAAAAAATTTTTTTTGTGGCGATCGCGTTATGGGGGACAAGTATATGCGTCTAAATTAAACAGTAATATGTGTTTTATTCACACACACACACACACACACATTCCGAAGAGACCAAAATGCTCATATTCGTTTGTTTGTCATTCGTGCGAATGTGTTCTTACTACAAGATAAGTCATAAAAATCCTTTTATATTCAAGTAGCTTTGCCTACTACCACCACCACATCAAATACGATAAACAGAACACACTGTAAACGAGATGAAGGGGAAAGAGAGAAAGAAAAATATTCGAAGCGACATTTCTTAGCTCGAGCTACTTAGCGTGAAAATTGTATATTGCATAAGTAAGCGCGACGCCAAATTCTCTTATCTCTTCAATTGTTTGTTGGTATGCCGTTGTTTCTCCTTCTTCTTCGCTTGTTTTGCAGCTGACTGCATTCTAGCGCCTTCTTCTCTTTGGACGATCATAAATTAAATTCATTGCTGTTTCATAAATGTAGGCACTTTCGAATTTCTATCATTCATCCGGACAGATGTCTCATTGCATGTAAATAAGATGAAGTGTGCGCGAGCGAGTGAGAGGAGCCCGTGTGTAGCATATTTATATATATATATATACAATTGTGGCCATTGAAATGCAATTAAAAGTGGTCGGAAAAGGAAATTGGCTTTGAAAACCTCACTCTCTTCCCTTCTCTGTGATGTTGACAATTGTCTTGCTGTCACTCACACATTTCTTTTCATTGAAAAGGCGCCTCTCGGCAGTTCACACCACAAAGCCGTATTTCATTTTGTTTTTCTCTCTTTTGAATTGTTATTTATAGTATAGTCTTTTTTCATTTTGATACAGCTACTTCTCGGTCGGTCATATATATGAGTGACAAATGTGCAAAATAAAACAAACAAACGAATCGGTATGATCAAACATGTATGATATTGTGTGAGTTTTTCTCGCATTTCAACGTCACATTCCTTTGAATTGAACCATTCCATTGAACTAAAACATGAATGCAAACGAATGATTCTCCGAAATTGTTTCGGAATTCGATTTGGTTTTTGTTTCCTCTGTCAGGAATCGACATAAACAGAACTATAAAAAATTGAACTTACCATTGTTATCATTTGATTCTTTGTTGTCATCTCCTACTTTCCGATGACCACTTTTAATGAATGGTGCAAGTTTAAGCACAGCAATTGGAACGATTCCTTCGATTGTGCCACTGCCATCGGCTGCACTTCCGCTGTGTATATTCAAACGGACCAAGCAAAAGTCGGGGGATCCATTGCATACCGTTTCAATAATTTCAACTTGTTGTCCTTTTGTCACAGACACTTCATTGGTGCCCGGTGTTGCGGTATAGTCCGTTAGAACCCATGTCATTTCTACATTGCCTCCAGCCTATATAGTGAATTGTGAAAACAACAATTGGGAATTTTGTTAGTCAAAAGTCTAGTAAGAAGAGAGAGATAGAAAAAAACAAATAATTCGAAATTCTACAAACAAACTGTGGCTCTTCGATATTTCGATTTATTTTATCAGTTGGTGTGAAATTTAAGATTTTCATTATCTAATCTCTAAATTCTTGTAGCCGTTTTTGTTGTTTTGAGTTTAATTTTTACGCCGTATATGACCGATGCGAAAGAGAGCGAAACCAAACACAAAACAAAAAAACAAAATCGAAGTTTTATCAAATATACAGGAAAATAAAAGATAGGGTAAAATGACCTGGTTTTGATAGTTGGTGGACGGTTGACGAAAGAATCGAAATGAGCCAGGCGAATCAATGGTGTGCTGACGAGATAGAGCTGCGCGTGGATTCGACACACTATTCTGGCGAAACCAAGGCAATGAAATTTTTCGTCGACTTTTCTGCGATTTGGTGGGCAACAAGCCCTGTGGCTGTGGCGTATTGCTATTACTCATTGTTATTTTAATTAAAATTGTTATAATTACAATTCACTTTGGCCACCGTTTGTCGTCGTCGTTGCCGCTGCACGCGCGTACTTCCAATTCGTTTTTCTATCGAAACCAAAAACAATAACGATGCCAACAAAACTTGTGCTCAAAACTTGTTGGTACCCATTTTTAGTGGGATTATCTTTCGAAGCGCTCCGATACACGACCAATTCTCATTTGACATCGATATATTACACTTCGGTCGCTATCACAAACTATTTGATACGTGTATTGATATACTCGTCGAATATTGTTTTTTTCTGGTTTTGTATTGTTTTATGATTGTTCGTTACAATGACGTCGACAGCGGACAACGATATTTTCCGTTCAAATAGTTTTTATCCTCTCTATATTATCTCTGTGTACAGGGTGTCTTTATTTTATGAACGTGTTAAAGCTGTGCGCTTGTTGTATTGGAAGCGCATTGACTTTCATTCTCACTCCATTATTAACTATTTATTTTGTGTATGGACTTTCTCCGTTTTTGAAAAATACCGAACACCGTGGATTGTGATATTGATTTTGCTTTGTCGATGATTTTTCGACAACCAAACTGTTTTCGTTTGGTTCGCTCATCTCATCCGAATATACATTAATTCATTAGCATCCCTCTTTCACTTTTCCTTGCTCGATAGATAAGAAACAGCTTCCGTTGGGCCTCCGGAAAATTATTCGATATTTGAAACGTCTCAAATTATATTGTATAGTTAATGATATGGAGAATCGGTGCAGATTATGTTTAATTTTAGAAACGATTCCATTGTTGTTTGTACTATCGTGTTTTTATATGTGGTGTGTGTATGTATGTTCTCTTGTGGCTTTGGTCATAAACAGTATTTGAATCTATTTTTGATGATTCTTTGTACTTTTATTTAAGCGGAATAAAATTGATTGAAGAATAGATGATAAATATGATGCGTGACTTGAACCATGTTGCCATACGGACATCGAAAGTCCATTTTGGATTAAGTGTTTATAAATTTAATGGACGTATTCATATCGTTCACTCACTAAACAGACACATTTTCCCTCTATTTGATTTCGGTCTGTATGTGTATATCAAGGAGATATTTCCTGTGCTGAGAGAAATTCCGAACAGAAAAAAAAACAGTTATCGTAAATGTTCGTTTTTAAATATAATAATTCGAAGGTTTTGACACAATTTTCAATGTATCAGAGCAATGAAAGATGCATTCAGTTTTCGAAACGAGGCTCGCGTTACTTGGAATTCCATTAATATCTATATAATTTGGATAAATAGAGAGAGGGAAAGCGACGAGAGCTGAAAGAGTCTTCTCAATTATTCGATTTTGCGCTGGGGTTTTGAACTGGGCCATTGTGTGTGAATATCGATCACGCAAAATAACTCGATGATGTAATCAGTGGAAACAACGCAGAAAAAACCACACACAACAAACTCAATGACTGACTGAACAACACACGGATAAATTCCAATTATTTTCCAAATAGGTTATTATAATACTAAAAATAAGTCCCCATTTTGAATAAAGAACAGTCGCTATAAGTCGATTCGAGTTCAATAAAAAGCAATTTTTTTCTCTCTTTGCCCAAAGTACACACACGCGCTTACACTCACACTCTCACTCACGTATAGAATGAGGAAAAAAAGGTGTATACGCTTTCGAAGCTTTCTATTTTCAATCATAATTTCAATGCACCGCAAAACTTCGATACAATAGTTTCTCTTTTCCTTGTTATTGTTGTTGTTGCTACTGCTAGAATTGGTCCGGATTTTATTTTTACACAATGTTTTTGTAATTATGTAATCTGGTTTTGTCTGTTTGTGCGTATCAATGCGCTGCTGAAGCGATGCAAATGAATATGTATATATGCATATATGATTTTTTTCCCCCAAACAACCATGATTTATGCCCATAATTTTCTTCTTTTTGTCTATGTTCCTGTTTTACTTTCCACAGATACCTAAAATTTTGTAGCTGCCTGTTTTCATCACACTTTTTCTTTCAACTAATTTACTTCTATGAAGAGAGAAAAAACAAGACCGCAGATCGTCGCTTCGCTCCGCTCCGCTCTGCATTCCTGAAGCTTGTAAATTTAAGGGGTTTAATTAATTTGATGTTTCACATCAAATTATCATCGTAAGCACTACATGGAATGTAGTTTTAATCGTATGCAAATCATTTTAATATTGTCAAAAATAATCAACATGATGATATTGTATTCTTCAATTATTGTTTTAATGTACTTACTTGTATTTCACATTGGCAACGAAAAAAATGTAAAAATTTTTTTTTTTGAGTTATCTCAAAATTGAATTACATGAACATGATATTATTTCATTTTTGAAATTAGGCGTGATTACTTCTTTTGAAATAACAAATATGAATAAAAAAAATGTTCTAAAAACTCTTAAAATTTTCCCGGGAAAAAAAAATAACAACTACAGTAGCCTACATTCCAGGTAGTGCTAAAAACCAAATATGTGAATATATATTGCTTGGTTGGCCATTTGACGTTCGTTTCCCACATTGAACACTACATCGCTCATATGCGATGAGGCATTTTTGTCTTCTCTCCATCATCGCCAATATTCAATTCAATGACTATGAATATAATAGAGAGAAAGAGAGAGAATAGGAGAAAAAAAAACACCGAAGAGCACAAGTGTGGCACTAGCCGGGCAGCTGTGTGATGCAGCAGTACGCTTGCCGCTCCCGATATATATATATACAGCATACTGCAAAATCAAAATATACGTGCTTATATGATTATAGACCAACTAGCACTTTATATCGAATTCAGTGAACCGGAATAATACTAATAAACCTAATAAACTGGACATGAAGACTGCCATTTTTATCGAGCGTGTTCAGCCCCAGCTCATAATAATGGCCAAACGGCGCAAAAAGCCCAAGAAAAAAAAAATCAAGAACAAATATTGTATTGATAAAGAGCTTTTTTCCTTTATTTCCTCTTTCAATCCCTCCGTCATCCGTCTCTGTCGCGCTTCTCTTACACTTGCTGCCCATCTGATCTAATTTATAGTAAACGAACGAAGGGGGTGCGATATGCAAGTGAAAGACGACTTTTCTCTTTTTATTTTATTTACGCAAAGGATCTTGACTCAGTCTTTTCTTCAAGCATTCTTATTTAGATTATCCGATTAATACCTATTCGGATTCGAAGATGAATTCAATAGAACAATGATGCCTGGTTATTCATGTGATGGATAGGATTTAAATCGATGTGTTGAAATATGGCATGCACACACATACATACACGTCGACGTCCACGTACACATGCACATACACACTCGAAAACCCGTTGCACCACTTTTCATCATTCAATTATGCAACTTCATCACTTTGCCCGTAGATTGCCTGAAATTTTCTCTTAATTGATGATTTAACTAATCAAAACTTGGTGAAAAGTTTTGAACGAGCTAACTAAAGCTCTTAAATGACTTCAACAAATCATCTTTTGAGATTTGTAATCGTTATTTTAATCTTTTTAGCACTACATGGAATGTAGGCTACTGCAGTGATAAACTGTGATAAACTAATTCATTTTAATATCCGTATTTTTTATTTCAAATGAAGCAATCACGCCTAATTGCAAAAATGAAATGATATCATGTTCATGTAATTCAATTTTGAGATAACTAAAAAAAAAAAATTTACATTGTTTTCGTTGCCAATGTGAAATAATGTACGATGACCATTCACATTGAACGTACATTAAAACAATAATTGAAGAATACAATATCATCATTTGAATTTATTTAATTATTTCCATAATATTAAAATGATTTATAACAAAAACTTGTGAAACAGACATTTCCAACATCACCCAGTCAACTTTGTCGTCTTCAGGAAATATTACGTCCGTTGAAAAAAAAAGTATACTATGATTTAATCTACATTCCATGTAGTGCTTACGATAATAATTTGATGTGAAACATCAAATTAATAACACATCTGGAATTTACAAGCTTCAAGAACGCAGAGCGGAGCGAAGCGACAGTCTGCGGTCTTGTATTCTCTCACCCAGTAAAGCATTAAACGTATCGTTATGAAGACGGGTGTTAATTGAAAGAATTCGTCTAAAGAATGCGTAGCTTAAAATTTCGATGTTGTACGAGCTGTGTGTGTCACTCAAATGATGTTGTTAATAATAGCTATTTTCTGAGAAATTTTGAACATTGCAGACATATGAGGCATGGGCGTCGATTGTTGTTATCCAAACAAGTGAAACTGCTTAAACCATAGATAGCAATTATTTTGTATATCCAAAAAGGATTCAGCATACGATTTATTCGATAAGGACACAGTGAGAACGTGAGAGAGACAGAGAGAGCGGGAGAAGTATAATACCGCAATCGATTTCAAGTAAGCAAATGCGTGTGTATTCATTGCAAGCACTTTACCATAGGTTCTTTTCTTCTTCTTCGAACCGTCTGCCAATCGATGAGTGGTCGCCCAATAGTTTTGTTATTGTCACCGGTCCAAATGTTTCAGTTAGCAAAAAAAAAGCAGTTTCGCAATGAATAACAACGATTCTCAGAAATGCGTAAACAAGATGTTCATCTGATTGAAACTATTAGCACTGCGACTCAATTAATGAATGTCATAAAATATTGGCTTCGGCAAATAGAAGAAAAGCAAGCAGGGAGATAGGGAGAGAATAGAGGAGAGGGTGAGAGTTAAGTTTGGTATTCCAGTTAAAAGCGAGAGATATGTTACGAATGCCTCCTGAATTGCTACTGATACCTAAAAATTTACGATATTATCAATGTTTTAAATTGCTGACCAGTCTGACGCGGTTCTCTTTCTTTTTTTTCTTTTCAACAAATTCCCATGACGTACTTAATTTTTCTTTTCTCTTTTTGGGGGTTTCTTTTTTAGCACTGATGTAATTTAATTTCACACTTAAATAAAAACAATTATTAAATTCCATTCGGACTTAGCCCATTCCAGTTATTGATTACATTATCACAAAATTTCAATTTCAACAATTATTTCGGTTGCCTTGCTCCGATTTTTTTTAAACCATGAATACACTCGAGAACAAAAACCGAAATTCACTTAAATATCATTTGTACGGATTCCTTTGCGCGTAAGCGCTGGGCCGGACAGCGATAGAGACACACTTATTGAAATATTATGTGTGTTTGTTTTGGCATGTGATAAAGTTTTTCTTGGCCCGGAATGGAACATTATTCAACGCCGAATTTCTCTGCCTTGACGATGATACAAACAATTCACTGTACTATGCTGCTGAGGGCCCAGAATCGGATTTGGGTTGTGCAGCACCACAACGTCGACGACGACGACGAATATCGTGTGTACATTTTGTGTGTCTGCATCCCGTTCGACCATCACCCTTCGAAATGTTTGTGTGGAATGCAAAACAATCACACGAAAAATTCGAACAACCAAAAAAAACAGCAACCGAGAACAAAAGAATTAAAATCAAACGAAAAAAGATGGTGTGTGTATTCTCTGGGTCCCAAAAAAAAAAAATCCAATTCGAAATCAAACTCTGTTTGTGTGTTTTTTTCGCTCAGGATAGAAAATACGGTTTTTCGCACACGGATTCTGAATAGTGACTGACTGTTCCAAGGGAGATCAAATACGTATTTTCTTCCCTTTGTGCATCAACTTCTTCTTCGGTGTGCTGTGTGTGCGGTGTAGTCCTTTTCGTGTAAATACACATTCGCGTTATATAACACATATTCGAGATATGAGTATCGTCGCGCGCGTTGCGTGTACGATTTTATGGGCACAACACCCAAAGTCTTTGGGAAAAATGGTATACGTACATAATTTCGAACACAGGTCATATGCGCACTCACTCACACATTGTCACAGAGAAAGAGGGAGAAAGAGAGTAAGAGTGAGAGAGAGTGGGAGAGGGAGAGAAACGGGCGATCAGATCAGAGCTGAACTGAACAGAACAGACCACAATAGAGGAGAGAGCATAGCTGAACAACGCAAAATGGAATAGAGTGAAGTATAGATGCTGTTGTGGCTGTTGTTTGTGTTGTTGCTGCTACATTGGCTATGATCTGATAAATACATCGATACGATAACACACAGACAGCATCGTTGACAGAAAACCAAAACCTCCGTCTTTTTAGGACGGAACAACGAAACAAACACACAAGCAAGATAAGGAGCAAAAAAAGCTCAATCGTTTTGACAAGCTTGTCTATATATGCCATTTATAGTGTGCTTAACGATTTTCAATGCGGCTCACATACATACACACACACAAACACACACCATACAAATGGTGAAAATGTACATTGCAGTGATAAGAACATGCAAAGTGTCATTATGCTCAAGCTTCAAGTTTACACTTCAAAGGGAAAACGAGCGAAGACTTTGTATTCAATTATACATTTTGAACGCAATTACTGCTAACCTGCAATTTATTACTAGTACCGAGCGTGTTGTGAACGGAACGAAAAAAGCGCATTTGCGAAATGATTCGCTCAACGATACCGAAGCAAGGAGAAAGAGCAAAGCGAGAAAGATTTTTTTTGGATTAGTCCAGGGAAAAAGGTCACGCGATCAAATCAAACGTAAATGATATTGTTTTACATAGTATTTTACAGTTTGAACATTTTGACAGAGTAACGGGGCATGCAAAAAACGCACACACATAACGGAAATCCTAATTATTGAATGAATTGTTGTACGGCCTCTTGTAAGCCATTGCGTTTTTTTTTTTGTAAAACATTACATTGTATGTGGAAAGTTAAACTCAATGCAAGAGAGTGGAGGGAGAAACAAAACCGCGACTCTTTTCTGTATGTTAGAATGGGTGAAAGCTTAGCCGTTCTTATTTTGGGAGAGAGAGGGAGAGAAAGTGAATTTATTCGGAATGAAATTGAAGAATATTGCGCTTGCGTCACATTTTTCTTTCCCTGACATTTATACACCATACACATTTTGTGTTTAGTCATTTGTCAGCGAATGTGTGTTTGTGCAAGGATTCGGTTATCTAGTGGAAAATGTTAGAGACTTCTCCAACACAAACACATCGTAATTGATTATCGAATAAACATATTTGGTTGGGCAACGGATGCAAAACTGCCCGACACTGAGAAAGGGAGAAAGATGTTGGACTACCAATTGATTTTTTTTTTGCTTCACTTTCGTATGACTTTCTTTTTACGAGCACGCGCCCAATAAATTTTGCCGTTTTCCAAAAGTTTCTTTTGAAGCTTTTAACAAAAAAAAAACCATTTATTTTCTGCTATTTTCAAGCTTAAAAGCTCATTTCAATAGGGAATTAGTAACAGAGCCGGAACTAATTTGCCTAATGAATATAATGCGTTTAGATTGAAGTGAATTCAGTTGAAGAGCCACAGTTATCTTATTTCACTTATGACAAACAAACAATGCAAACGGAAACTTACCTTATCACTGTCAGTTGTATTGCCCGATCCAAAGCTAGCCAATGAACTTCCATCATGATCATTTTCACACAGCGTATCTTCCATATCTTTTGATGATCGTTGTGACGATGCGGTCACTTTATTGGTTTTCGCTGGCGATTTTGGTAATGTTAACGATGCGCCCGAGAAGTATGTCTCTTGAATGACTTCACGTAGCTTTTTCACCCAAATTTGTTTCGTTTCTAAATTATTGGCTTTCAAAACAATGCGATAGTCTGACATCATCGGCGCCCGTCCCGTCCAAACGGCAAACTTGCACTCGTCACCTTCAATGTGCTCGGTGACACCGAGCTCTGATGTCATCACTTTATGCTTGAAATGATATTTATTGGTTCCGTTTGAGTCTTTGACCTCTTTAGCAAATAGTAAATACAATTCAAATAGAAACACGCGACGTTCACGTCCCTTGCGAATAAGCTGCTTGTTTTCCATTACCAAAAATGAGTCTTGCAACACTACTTCACCCAAATTATCGATGGGAATATCACATTGTTCAAGGTGTGACAAATGCATTGCATCGTTTGCCTTTTTCGGCACATTCAACATCACCTCCAAACCGTCCTGTTGAACGGAAAAACAGAAACAAAACAGAAAAATGAATCATTTAGTTTATGTCATGACATGAAAATGAATTCTGATAATTATCGACTCGGTTTTTGGTTTAAAAAAACGTTAATTTCCTTTTTGAAAGCAAAACCGCATAGTCTTAACGAAGACACTTTCATTTTTAAATCGTTTGATCTTTTTGATTGAAATTTTTAAAATGGCAAAACGTAATTCGCGAAAAAGAGGAAACCATTTGATTGCACTTACTCGAATTTCACCCTGGCCCTCATCACAGCATGACTGCAGGTCCTTTAATAGAAGCTGATACTTAGTAATTCGTTGCACTGGTTTTATCAAATATGCGGCCAAGGGATGTTCCACTTTATGTTTGCGCTGCTGATCTTCGAAATAAGTGCCACTGTGTTGAACCATTAAATTGTTCGATTGTGGCTTATTTTTGCAATACTTCACGTACATATCGAATTTCGTTGCCCATGTAACGAAACAATGGCCCACATCTTCGGGCATCGTTTCATATTTTTCCAATTCGCGCAAAAAGATTTTCTCATGGAATTCATGAATCGCCTCAATGTTTGCGAACAGAGTGTCCTCTTTACCCACCAAGGCAGCCGGTACATTTTGCCCGTTTCGCATTTCATGCAAAAAGCATCGAATGCATGTTTCCAAGTCTTTCACATAAGTACGTTCGGTTTGCAACAGTTCAGCCATAATAAACTCCTTGCGACGGGCCGATTTACGTTTTTCTTCGTTGAGCTCCTTCGAAGCGGCCGTTGCATTGAGTTTTGCCTCAAGCGATGGGTCTGAATGTCGATCGCCAGCCGTACCAGCCGACGATAGTGATGACGTGGACGTTGTTTCGTCTTGAGCAACTGGTAAACCCAATGATTTTTCCAATTGCTCACGGTATGTATCCATGCGATTGCTGAAATCTTTGTATCGATTGTCAACGGCCGCAACCCATTGTTTTATTGCACTGGCATGTGCATGACCTTTCTCAACCAAACTATCGGCCAATTGGATCAGCAATTTGACGCGTTCACGTGTCTCCTTTGCCGTGCCCTTGAATTCATTGTGTTCACGCAGCAAACTCTCCGTTTCGTCACGGCTTTTGCCAATTGCATTCGTGCGAGATGATAGATACGCTTCGCCCGTATTGTGAATCCATTCGATCGCCTGTTTGGCCGAACGTTCAAACAGCACAAACTGTTGGCATTGATCCAAACGCTTTTTGCGCGTGGTCCAATATTCAAGCACTTGATTTTCCTGTGCCAAAAGCTTGTCGAGTATCGATTTAACACGAGCCTCACAGCTTCCATGCTGATGGTATTCGTAGTATTGCAGCGAACGTGTCGTATATTTTAGGAATGTTTCGGCTGTTCGACGTGCCAATGTACAAGCCTTCAAAAATGCTTCTTTCTGCTCTTGATGCTTTGTAATCAATTGTACAATGGTTTGTGGTTTGTCTGGTGAACCGCCACCACCGCACCAGTCCTCGTCACGCCGATACTCTCGGTCCAAACTATCTAGCACACTGCACACCTGTTCGGCTGTTTTATAAAAATTCATTGAAGCGGTGACCAGTTTGTGTCGCTCTTCAGCACATGTAACTAACTGTTGCCATTTCTTTGTCACCTCTTCGGCGATGTCACGAATACTTTGCGGATCATAATGGTTGGCACTGATTAAAGCATCGGCACGATATTTTACCTGAACGGCTGACGTATGCGTCTTTTCCACGGCCACTTGAAATTGTTCGTGTTCTTTACGCAATTGTTCGGCCTCTTGCAATGAATTCGGCGTACTGAAACTGGCTATGAGCATTGCTTCACCATTTCGTATCCAAGATATCACTTGGTTTGCATCATTTTGGAATTGACACAATTGAACCGCTTGCTCCAGCTTCACTTTCTTCACTTCGGCCAATTCCTCGAGATCGAGTTCACGGTCATTGAGAAATTCCAGCAAATGTTGGATGCGTGTCTGTGCATTGTGTGTACTATCTGCCATTGCAATGAAACCGGCGCCCTCAAATAATGCAACCAAATCTTGACCTTGTTGCACTACTTCATACGTTGTATTTTGCATCTGTGTAACGGATTCGTTGTGAAGCCGCAGAAACTGTTCAGCTTTTGCATAGTCACGTGATAGTTCCGTGTGACGCAACTCTTCTGCCCACATTTCCAACTGTGATGACACTTCTAGGGCATCACGTTCAAAGTATCGCAATCGCAAATAGTAGTCAAGTCGATATTTTCGTGCTGTCCACAGTTCGTCCAATTCAATTTTTTGCTTTGATAAATTTTCAATGGCAATTTCAAGGGCTTGAATTGATCCCGTTGAGTCCATGTCGCTCATGGAACGAATCTCTTGCAGCAGCGCTTCACCCTGTGCAATCGTCTGTAGGCATCCGTTCAATGTGCTATCTTGTTGATCCTGGCACTGTTGCAACAATCGTTCGGTCCCCTCTAAATTCTCCTGCGACAGCAATGTATCGTCAGAACTGATTTCTTGTCGCAATTGTGCAACCCAATTCGATACCTCCTTCTCGTGCGTATAGAACAACACTGCCATATCCAAACGACGGCGACGTTGTTCAACTCGATTGGCAAACGAGGCGACATGCAATTCCAATTCACGCGCTACGGAAAATATTTCATTGGCATCGACTTCACCCGACCGAGCCAAATCTTCTGCCGCCGATAATAGTTTATCCGCATTGCTGTACGTATTTTGCGCAACATTCTCAAAGTGCTCGTGGCTCTTTTGATATACTCGTGCTTTTTGCAAATTCTTGCCAATGCCCGTATTTTTGCTCAAAAACACTTCGCCATGGTTGGCCAGCCAGTCTAACACTTGTTTCACATCTTCTTGGAATAAGCGTAGCGCTAACGTTTGGTGCAGTCGAACCTTTTCGGCATGCCACTTATTTTCGAGCGATCGATGATGACCAAGGATTTCGTGAATAACGGCCAAGACATGTGAAGCACCTTCACTATAAGCCCAAGAAACATTTGTTAACGCAAATACATCCATTACCAAGCGTATGTAAACGGTCGAATTAAGGCCCGCATTTGTGTATAGTTTCAGTCATTTTTAACGTCACGATGATGGAAATAGAAAAAAACGGTAAAAACAAATCAATTAGAAAGATATAAAAACGATTATGAATCAATTGTAACAAAATAACAAATCACGTGTGAAACAAGGTTATATTAGGGTGAACATTTAAAGTAAAATTTGGGAGTTAATTTGACTACAGTTACTACGAATTTCAACGTCATAAATGGACCCACCTCGAGTATCATCCAACTGTACGCTTCACTTGAACTAGGTCCATTTATGACTTTGGTAAATATTGGTGTGGATATCGAAATTGACCAACTGACTGAGAAAATCTTACATACAACAACTTACCTACGGGCTTAACCCGTATTACATCGTGTATTTGCATACACATTTTAATGTTATTACCGTCACAAATGGATGTGATTCGAGTGTAGCGTACAGTTGGATGATACCCGAATTTTATCCGATTCGGACGGGATTGTATGTGAATTAATGGTCAAATGCACCACTGAAGTGGGCAAAAGGATTACTTAATTTAACGGTAGAAAGCATTATATAAATGTTACCTGTAATCAGCTGCCGGATTGGCACGCTCCACTCGATTCACACCGTTATCCTGATTATTGAATAATGAAGGAGAAAAGAATATTGTTGGTAAAAAAAAAAACACGCAATTCGATCGGAATAAATTGAAAAATAAATTACATGTTTGCGATGATCTGGGACGCCTGGTGGCGGAGGTTGATTGCACACTCGCACCAAATGATCCAACTGATAAAGAAGTTTCTTACTCGTCGAGTGAACCTATAAAATGCAATTTAATTTGAATCCGTTAAAATCTTAGCAAGAAAATAGTTCGAAGCAAAGTGACTTATTAGACAGTTTAGAAGTGCATTTTCATGGAGACGGAATTATTCATGTTTGTTGTTGTTTTCGAAATGAAATTTCGTTTTTCTTTTTGAATAGACCAAAACCCAAATGGAATTACCAAACAAAACAAAAACTAATAGGGAACAGTCAAAGGAGCATTTGAAAAGGTGAAACATATGTACAAAAAAAGCAATGAGTAGAAAGAAAAAAAAAACCAGGACGAAAAACCCACATAAATTTTGAATAGAACAAAATTTTAAGCTAGCAGAGAAAAAAAGTAAAACAAGAAAATTTATCTTCAAGTTGTACATTTGATTCATCATCATTTTCAGTTTCCAGGTGCGATGATTCTTTTGGTTCAATTGAGATATTCTTTGAAAATCCATGAAATACTTGCAACATCGATGCTAAGCCTTTTAGCAACGTTTGATAGGCATTATACACCTAGAAACGGATAACCGTACAAATGCAAAATTAAAAACAAAATTAGGAACGAAATTAAAAAAAAAAAGTGAATGAAAAAACTAAAAAATGGAGAGAAAAATATTGTAGACGAAAGAAACGCCTTTGATTGAATATTGCGATCGATTTTTTCTTTCAAATTTGAAACGATTTCCAAATTTCGATATTTTGTTCAAAATCGAGCTATGATTGCGCGTGAATATGGCATAATTAAGCCGATTATGAATGGTCTTTACCTCAGTATATGCTTGACACATTGCCTCGTATAACGATTGATGTGTTCGTATTGCCGTTTCGAGGCTTTGTATTTCGGAGGGTGGTGGTTGAGTTGCCTCACATGCAGCTGCCCATGATGCTACACTATCACAATACTGTTCGGCCTTATGATGAAATAATACACTTAATCCTAATACTGATGTTCGTTCGTCAAGTCCAGCTGCAAATTCTTTCCACGTTCGATCCAGGCGACTTGCCACCGTTCGAATATGTTGAGCTGCATAGTGGTTGCCTAATTTGATTTTTAAAATAAATGTGTGATAATCCTTTTTTCATTTCGTTTTTAAAATTTGCAGAAGAAAAACACTTAAAAATCCTACCTTCAATTAACCGTGCGGCCACGGCTAGTATGCGATTGATGTTTACACCAACATTCATGGATGCCATTGCAAATTTTTGGTGTTCGTCTTGTAAATTTTTTGCCAGCGAATAATTGTGGCCAATTTCAACGTAGCTCATCTGAAACACATCACGGTTATGTAGTATCCAGTCAAACATTTTCTCACAGTCTTGTTCAAATAGCCGCAATTGAAAGCATTGATCCAATTTAATCTTTTTATGATTCCACACGGTCAACAAGTGCTGTTGGCCCTTATGCACGGAGTCCAATTGCTGTAGCACTTGTTGAAATATCGCTGCCATATCTGGATTGCTTGGCACTTGCGCATGATTCTTCTGCGATGAATGTGATGCATGGTGCTCTTGCCGATTCGAATCCGCATTCAATTTGGTCAACAGTTTTTGCCCTTGCAAATCCAATTCTTCAATTGGCAATTTGAGTATTTTCTTCTTCATATCGTTGTGATGTTCGATGCCATGCTTGGCACCATTTACATCTTCGGCAAAGTCACTACGTGATATATCCTCTTGTAAGTCTTCGATGCGGTCCAACATATCACCAATTGGCCAGAGAAACTCTTCCAGTGCCATTCGAATTTCGATCCATTGATTGTGATCGTATGTGAGTGTACCATCAAATTCCGTGGTCAATTGGCTGACGTCAATCAATTTATGTAAACCTTCTAGCGATATGGTATTCGTTTCAAATTTATATTTGTGACTAGAAATTGATGCACGTTGCTTTTGCCAGAAATTGTCTGGTTTTATGATCACAACACTATGTACAACGGAACAAAAGTGCTCCTGTAAAATTTTCAGTATCGCTTTGACAGTGCTCATGTTATTGCTGTTGCCGCGCATATCGATTAAAATTGTGAAACGAAGTGCTTTGGCCGATTCACTGGTTTTGGGGCAAATTTTGGAAGAGACAAAATGGCAAATGAACACAAAATTCAATTGATTTTAAATGAACAACGAAAAAGAAGTGACACTTGAAAATATTCACGTTAAAATGATGTTTGCGAGAAAAATGTGTGTGTGTTTTCACACCGTTTTTCATTCGTACCTGGGTAATGTGAACAAATAGGTGAGTAAGCGTCGAATATCATCTGGTTTGGCTCGATCGCGTCGCGGTGTGGCTGGAAAACTGAGTATTGCAGCGCCTCGTTGATCGCGACCACCTGTCAATAATACGAAACGCTCCTGCAATAATTGCAGTAGATCAGCTGCTCTTAGGCCATCCATTCTGCAAAACCCAAATCAAAATGCTCAATTAAATCATCAGTTTTGGCCAATTCCATGACGACTTTTATTGTTATTCGATTTTAATGCATTTTAAAAACAACAACTCATTCTATTTTCATACTGATTTAAAACGGTTAGAACCATTGAGAAAATCATCTTGAAGCAATGCAAAAAAATGAAGAAAAATTAAAATCCAAAATGCAACGAAATAAAAACACTTCCGTTTCCGACCAATTTAGCGAACGAATCAAGAAATGAGGAGAAAATAAGCTGGTTAAACCGATCATAAGCTGTTATTTTGGAGGAAGTCGCTTTGATCGTGATAAAAAGAAAGACAGAAATACACGGCAAATAGTGTATGTAATAGATATTAAATTGTGCATTATTAACATCGATTTATTGTTATGATGGTTTGAAATAGATAGAGAGATGTGTGTGTGTGTGTGTGTGCCAAATAGAGTGTATTTCAGGCGATAATCGTTTATCGCGCTACCACATAAATACCATCCAACACTCAGTGAAGAATGTTCAATGAAGAAACAGAGATGGTTTTTTCAACTGGATGTCTTTCGAAGGTGCATCTTCAACCGATTATAATCGAGAGAAATAAGTATGAAGAATTCGAAAATTCGACGTTGAAATTTCTGGTGTGAGTGTAGCATAACGGTTAGCGCATGCACTGCACAATATCGCACGTAAGCGATGCGCACGCTCATATGTCTGTGTGTGTTGATGAACCTGCATATGTGTTCATTCCAAATAGTTTTGGCGGAATGGAATTGTTCGATGCATCTTCGTCTCTTATCTCTTGCACACGCAGATATAACAACGAGGAAAAAAAACCAATAGCATACATACCAGCCGAAAAAAGAAAAGAAAACTCAACTGTCATTCATGAAAAAAAAAGAAACATGCCGTAATGGGGACACAGCGTATATTTGTGCCAGTAATTAGCAGAATATCTACAAAGTATGTGCAGTGTGTAACGTACAGTGTATACGCAAAAGAAGACGATCATTGCATCTTTAACAGGTGTGATAAATACTCACATGATTTCCTTTTGTGTCTGTCTTCGTGTATGTGTATATATATATTACTTTCCGGTCCGAATAATCTTTCTCACAATACACTTGTGCTGCTGCCTCTGTTGATGCTGGTGTTTGTTGACTGTTTTATTTCATTATTATTTTCGTCGGTTGTTATTATTTCATTTCTTGTTTATTTTATTTTTATTATTTTAAATTTTATAATTATTGTGAGTAACGCATTTCCGTACACACATTTAAAAATGTGTCATTTCGAACTGAACCAAATTATGTGCATAAGAATTGTTTTTGTTTCTCTTCTTTTTCTGTTAAAATTATTTACAACTTTTTGGTCTAGTCATCGAAATGTTTGGGGTTGGAAAATTATTATTATTTTTCTTCTCTTTTTGATTGCTTCGTCAGTGTTTAGTCTATTCGGTGGCAGCCATCAACCTCGCATACACTTTGATATGCATGTCGCATTGTTTGTATCCAAATAACTATATAAACATTTTAAGCACATTTTTCACATTGTATTCTCTTTCGTTGTTCCCAGCCAGTTTTTGGCCTCACCACACGGTTGATAATAATAAATGATATCATCACCGCTGTTGATTGAAAACATTTTGTGTTGTTGATATCATGTCAATCACTCGTGGGGGTTCATTTACATTTCACTTTCAAATATTCTCTCACTACTCGTTTACAAAATGTTTCGTTTCGATAGTCTGTTTTGTACATCACTTTTTCTGTTGCTGCTGCTGTTTTTGTTGAATTATTACAATCACCGGTCGACGATCATTATTATATGTAGGTGAATTGGATTTGTACCACTGAATGCATTCTTCGAAATGATCAACAACAACAGAAAGAAAAAAAACTGAGTAAAAATTTGTTATGCTCTACATGAAATATGACATTGAGTATTGTTTATTTTGTGACTTGTTTGTTTTCGCCATCGATAATGTATTGTTCAACAGAACCTAGGTAATGATTGCGCTGTAAAGAAAATGTTTTAAGTGAGTAAATCAAATGAATATGAGTTTTAATTTACGATACCATTTAGTGCACTCACACACACACACACACACTCATTCGTACAAATTTGACGAAAAATCTTTTCAGCTAATTGTACGATGATCGAAAGATATATAAAATTGAATTTATTTATTAAAATCACACCGTATGAACATGCAACAACACTCATTCAACTCAGACTCGTATTTAATTTCGATGATGTTATTTATGGAGCCGAACTAATCAAAAACCTTATCAAAACAAGCAAACGAACAGGGCTTGTGGCCAACGAAAATCAGTCAGTCATTCGGTTGGTGTGTGTGTGTGTGTGTGTGTGTGTGTTGAGGGAAATGGTTGGTGGCAAAATTGTGCGGTGTGCAAACAATTTACACTCGCACACAATTTCCAATGTTGAATTTCATTAACCGATTTTGTTTGGTGTTTTTCACTCAATTCTTGACGAAAAAAAAAACAACAACAACACAACACAACGCGAACACATAACACAAGCCCGAGTGCTCGCTGAATTATCAGTCCATTTCATAACAGTTCTCAACAGTTGTTCATGTAAATGCATATCAAGCGGAAAGAAATAAATAGACCGCAAACACCTTTTATAATTCTTTCTTCACATTTGGGGCTATTTGGGAGAGCGATCGAATGAATGCGAATGCGAGCGCATCCGCGACGTGAAGACTCTTTTATAACGAACAATCCACCTACTAATAATCACTTTTACGCCTCTGAATTGGCGTTGTTTACCGAACAAGTCTTCCGGTATTTTGTTTTTTTCAAATAAAAATTGGCTTGGCTTTCTATTTTTGGACGCCTTTCAATCGCACACGTTCAAAATCACACGAAACCAAATCCTTTTGCATTGCCTTGTCTTTGCTCATCATATTTATGTTGTGGCGTGCATCAAATTTGATACACTATCAAATGATCGACGGTGTCGACGATGACGACGATCGAATTTCTTGAATGTCAGCTCCGCATTTTCCATACTCAATCCAAAAACGTTGGAAATTTAATTATTTGTTATGAACATTTTGTGTGTGTGTGCGCGTTGAGAAAATTAAAATTAAATTAGACGAATGTGCATGCGATTTAAATGCAATTAACTGATGTCGAGCTCGACTCATCATTCGGGTGGAATGAAAACATTGCTTATGTCGTGATTAAACTTTCGATAAACAAAAGAGAAAATTATTAATAACATGCGAATGCAATTCTGGGAAAAATCAAGGAGCATTTTCAATGCACCAAAACAAACAATGGCTTACACTGATCTTCATTCAGCGAGAGAGAGAGAGAGAGAGAGAGAGAGAGAGAGAGAGAGAGAGGGATGAGCAAGTGCACGCAAAGATTATAATGAAATGTATGTAAATAGTGTTTACAGTGATTTTCACAAAACAATTTTTCTTTCTTTTTGGAACAAACAGAGGTGATGCGAACAATTTTTCTTTTCTTCGTCTTTCTTTTCGCGTTGTTTTGTTTCAGTTTTGAAGGTTGATCATAATTTATGAATTTTTGATTTTTTTTTTATGAAGTTCAATTGATTTGAAAATCGGTTTTGATAAAGTAAGTAGTTTTATAGCCAATTTCATATGCGGTGTGTGTGTGTGTCACGTCTTAAATAGCCTTGGAATCGCGTTGCTGTTCAGTGTGTTCAGCTCTGTTTCTTCTCCATTTTGTTCCATTCGCTCGTGAAACATTTTTCACTGATTTGCCTATTGTACTGTGTAATAAATATGCAACCATGGTTGTGAAACAACAACGAAGCGAATTCGAATAGAATCTTTTTTTTTTTATTTCTTCTGTTGTTTTCTTTCAAGAAGATGATGAATAAAGAAAACACACTATACACAGTTTTACTGTAGAAGCATTCTATCATCGTTTGTTTTCAGTTGAAAAAAATTTCGCTTTTTATTCCTAAGTAGTAGAGCTCACAAAAACAGAATTTTCACAGTTTCATCACTGTTCACTTCCTCTCTATATTGGATTTTCTTCGGTTTTTCTTCTCTCGGTTCGGCCGTGCATTTGATACAATGTTGTCATAACACTTTTATGTTCAGCGTAACGGTGTGAACTGATGCATATTGCCGTATGTTGCAGATGCGATTGTTTATCTATCATTGACAACATACACATTCGTGTGCTCAAACCGAAATGTATCGATACATTTTCGGTTGTTGTTGTGAGTTGTGCAATATGCGCGGTTACAGGAAGGCAAACAACGTCGCTTTTGAATACGTATCGTTCGGATTGCATTTTAATTGTTGCAATCTCTTGACCTGATACTAGCTCACATAAATTATTATCAATCTACTGTGAAGCCATTGTGATGAAGAGAGAGAGAGAGACTGGAAGGTTGAGATAAAAGACGAGAGCAAATGAGAATTTTCCGTGAATATTGACACGATAGTAGCAATGGCACAAGTTGTATTGATTATACTATCAATTTCAGAACGTTTTTTTTCTACTTCTTCTTCTATATGAATGTCAGGGATACGGGGATTGTTTTTACACCATTTCTACTGCTTCATCTTTGATTCTCTATGTTATTCTTCTAGTTTTTTTTTTTCCAATATTCGAAATGTTTCTGCGTGAGTAAGTACGATGGTGATTTATTTGCCGAGCAAATATACAATGAAGTTCGTGCGTGCGTGTGTATATATAGATATATACATATACCCATATAGAGGGTTCGTAAAGTAAAATTGAATGTGGATGGTTGAATGGTTAACGTGTTGAATGATATATATACAATAAACGCAAGGCATACACATTCACGATGATAAGCCATTTCTCTCGTTGCTTCAATTACCCTACGGAGGAACAATATGGGCACAAACACACACTGACATAACGTGTATGTGTGTTGTGTATATATATGAGAGAGCGAGTGTATCATAGAAAATGCTGGCGTACGGCCACCGCATATATATGTTCCTTTTTTTGTGGATGAAATGACACTGAAACTGATTCGACTCAAATGGTAGAAATCACGGACACACAGGATCAAAATTAGTTCGGTGGTGTGTTTTTACTCTCTTTCTCGGGATTTGATGTCATTCTTCCTGCATTTTATATCTTGAAATTTCAATTGATGGTTCTCAGCTTCAAAATTAATTACAACACACTCTTGATGTACTTTTTCTTTGTCAAACACACTCATACACAATGTATCCACAGAAAATTGTCTGTGACAGAAAATATTTAAATGACTACTTATGGTAGCATACAAATTGAAAGGCTCTTCAGATGATGAAGAAAAAAAAAAACCAAATTCAATGACTGACGTTCTCAATTACTTTCGTTTCGACCAATCTGAATTTGTTTCTTTGTCATTGACAGATTCTCATTTGCAAGAATATCATCTGTTAGTTAGAATTCTTTGAGGCACAAAAAAAAACACATACGATGTGTGCATATTCAATCAGAATGAATGTACAAACTTGAATCTATCCATTGGTTTTTCTTCCAATTAAACAAAAATTCGATATATTTTTTTTCGTGTACTATGTTTTCGCTGTATTTCATTTATTTTTTTGTTTGTTTGAATCTAACTTTATGCGGTAGCAGCAACCGTAACTTAAGGTGTGCTATAGCATTATATGTGATGCTGATTTCATATACATTACTCGTCTCTTCTCTTCATTTCTTCGGTATGCTATATTTTTTCGCTTCTTCTTTTCCGTTTATTGTCGTCACTGGTTTTTTAATGTGTCGACGGTGTAAGCATACACATACACAAATTTTACACACTATATATTCCGCACAGAAAATTTTATTCTCTTCTTCTTTTTTTATCCTGTCTTTATATCTAACACACACACACATATATATATGCACGGTGTGCGTCTCAAAACTAAAAAAAAAGAATCTATCACAACCAATCGACACGGGACAATTTACGTTTGACCAGAAATCAGAAATGGAATCGATGTTGTTCATATTCCAATTGCCTTCAACTTTCCATTGAACAGAGTATTTCTTCTCTCTCCGTGCGATGGGTTACTGTTACTTTGTATGTTGATTACACACTACCGTCGTCATCGCTGTTTTCGTTGTCGCTGTCACCGCGATGCATTTGTTTTTGATACAAAATTCAACCTCAAACGACACGACCAAAAATATCAAGGATTTTGGATTTTTTCCTTTCGGTGGTCTCAAATGTCGCTTTTGATTTTTGTTCGCGGATGTCTCAATAACCCACACTACTGACTGAAACATATTTTCATTTTGCTCATATTTTCAATTTCAATGAAAATTTCATACCGCAAATTCACACTAAATACACATTCACACACCAAAGTGGAGGAGGAAAAAGACTTTTAGTATGATTCGTTCATATACACACTATTTGGTCACACAACGCATTCAACACAATTTACACATCAAATATTTAACGAAAATGCACATGCAGCGCTGGTTTTGTGTTCAATTTGTATTTTTTCATTTGAATTGAACACACGATTGATGAAAACAAACTAAAACTCGATATGTATTCATTAATAATCTTACTTCTTTGAATTTTTTTTTCTTATTTTAATTCTTCTTGTTATTTTTGTTATTGTCAGACTCTTGTTTCTATGTTTATGGTGTTGGTGGTACTGCTGTATAAATGGCTTTTTACGCTATACATTAGAACCGACGACGAGTAATACATTATTTTTTTTTTCTCTACCTCTTGTTCCCTTCAGTCGCTCTCTTATTTTGCTTTCGTATTTGGGTTTTCTTACATTGATTCACGCACACAACGATACAAACTAACGCGCTCACGAAAACATTAATGAAAGAGGCCACCATGCAATGTAAGTGTGTATGTGTGCGGTTGTGTGAACACTGAGTGACTATTATATGGTGTATGTAAAAAAGACTTTGCGTGCGTGTGTGTATGTGCCTGCGTGAGAAATAGCAATTTTGAGAGACATAGAAGCGATACATTCATAGTTGTTTCAATTTAGTACACAGATTTGTGGTCGATTGATGACTGTTCCCGAATAAATATAACGGGCGCTTGAATTGAAGTACAAAGAAAATTGATTCAAATGAGCGTTGATTGATTTATAACGTGGAAAACTATTAACGATCAAGAAATTTCAAATGCATCAATTTTGGAATGGAGTGAAAATGAAAATTTGAACAAAATAAAAATCGTGCAAATTGAAATATTGGCCAATATCCGACTAACAATTGAATTCAATGTTGTCGATATCAACGACCGTCTAACATTTTTCTAAAGAAATCCCATACTTAAACGATTCAATTGTCTAACAGTTTTAGTACACACAATGGTGAATGGGACTGGGGAAGCGAGCGCGATGTTTATATTTCGCTTTCACCCGATTTTAGAACACGACCGTACTTACCGAATATGACATTTGTACTTTGGAATTGGTCAAGTGCAATTTACTCAATTTTTTGTTCGATTTTTTTTTTCCTGATAATTCTTATCATTGTAAAACATATCGAGTAAGTTTGCCAAATTTTCCATTTGATTTATGCTCGCATTTTTTTTCTTCTCCATTGTCATTTGGTTTTTTTCTGTGTGTGGTAAGCGATGTAAGTGGGATGAAACATACAGTGTTACTTTGGGAACAATACTGTGCAACTTCATGTCACACAAGTGACATTTCGATAAATAATAAATCGCAAATACAAAAACATTAGAACATTTCTGTGCTGTTATTGCGGGATAAATCATTTGAAGCATTCAGATTTCTGAGTGAGTTTTTATAAGCGATTCCTGGTCAAGGTTTTTCCTATTTTTCATCGCGTCATCTTATTCGTTGACTTCGTTCCATGCCCGGCACTGAAACCGAGAGCGTTAACAAAGGAAAACCAGCGAGAAAAAGAAACAATTATTGATTTTATTGCCTGAATGAGATCACAATTGATTGAACAATGTTATCATTTTTTCGAAGTAAATCGTCAGAGACATCAGTCGTCGATAAAATTGTCAACGGCACAAAGAACTTAGCCCTTCAAGTGAACGAAACATCCATTGTTGCAGCAGCAAATATGCAATCGATCTCGGACAATAACGACAACACAAACACCACATCACTTCAATCGCTCGGCTATCAAAATGAAACGGAATTAAGAGAAACGATCTATGGTAAGTGGGTGAATGAGCTGCAAGTTAGTTTGAGAATTTTTACCGTGAAATCGATTTCATTGATCAAGTGATTTTATTCATGTTGAAGATATGCTGCGAACAATTCGAGATCCAGAGAAACCATCAACACTCGAAGATCTTAAAGTTGTATACGAAGAAGGAATCTTTGTACAGCCACCAACTAGTGATGATGTACAAGTGGTAATTATCCGCTGCCGGAAACAAACTTTTTCCTTGGAAATTTTATCTTTTTCCATTTATTTCGACTGACTTTGTTGTTGTTGTTTTGATTAGTAATCCAAATGTTGTTCTCATTCCAAATTGGAATTTCCAATTGGATTACATTAGGTTCGAGTTGAATTCAATCCCACTGTGCCGCATTGTTCATTAGCTACATTAATTGGCCTGTGTTTACGCATAAAAATCGAACGAAATATTCAACACAAATTAAAACTGGACATTTATATAAAAAAGGGCGCACATTCGACGGAAGAAGAGAGTAAATACCACCAACTTCTTCACTTGTCCCATCTGTTTCCTCTCCTTTCCTTTTCATTTCGCGAAAATTGCTAAATTTTTTTTCTTTTTTCGCAAAAATGCAGTCAATAAACAAATAAATGATAAGGAACGTATCGCAGCTGCAATGGAGAATCCAAACTTAAGAAATTTAGTCGAAGAGTGTATTAGAGAAGAGGAATAGCACAAAAACCAGCGGCAGAACAAACAAAACATTCTAGGCAATTTTTTAATAGGACAATCGGGAAATTAGTCGCTGGAGTACTTAAACGATGGAAAACAGATTAGTTTTGGATATGGTTTTTTAAATGTTGTTATATATAATTACTACAAATGAGATACATTTTTTAAAAACGATTTGTAAGAAAATGAAAATATATTTGATTTGACAAGAAACAAATGCAGAGAAAAAATCATTGAAAAAAAAAACTTTGAAATTTAACAAGGAGTACAAGAAGATAAATAAAAAGAAAATAACTAAATATAGAAACGAAAGAGAGTTATCAGTGTCTCAGAAAGACAGAAGCAAATAAATAAACAAGCAAGCGTCAATTCAATTGGAAGGTAAACAAAATGTATGAAACCAGTAGTGTTTGTTTGACAAAAGCCTGAAAACATGTTGATTGTATCGGTGGTTTGGTTCATTTAACGAAAGATGGAGCCGCCACAGCAGAGTGACATTATCTGAATTAGATCAGCGCCATCACAGTAAGCTATTCAAGTTTCATCGCAGACCAGAAAAAAAAACTCGTACACAATAAACACATAATTTTATACTTTCTAGACCGTGAAATTGATTTGTATCGATTTATTTAAACAGTGTTTTCAGCGTAATCAGTTTTGCCGGTATTTTGATTTCGGCATTCACCAAATCGATTTTTAATGTGTTGTTGTGGTGCCACTTGTCAAACACTTAATCGCAACACATTGATCGGGGAATGTTTGACATTTCGCTCTTAACATACGTCTGTGTCTCAAACACCGATGATGCTACCTCCATAGTTCGCTCTCTTGCTCACTCGCTCTCGGCAAACCAAATCGTCCATTCAACGTGGAGAGTCCAACCACACTCAGCATAGCATACAGAAAGAAGTCGAAAGAAAAATAGTCGGCATGGAACACCAAACGTAACAAGCAATTCATTCGGTCAGAACATACTATACACAACTACATATTTATACGCGCGCGTGTTTATTGACACAACTTCGGAATAATACTCGCTCTCTCTCTCTTCATATCGAAAAGAAGAATAACCACGGAGTAAGAACAGCAACGACGACAAAAACAACCAGAGAGGAAGAATATAATAGAGTAGAAGAAGCGTTCCGGGTGCAAAGACACACAACACGGAGAACACACGGGCAGGAGAATAAAAAAAAAAACATACACAGAAATTGAAAAGATGGTAGAGATAATAACAATTTGTTGAATTAGAATAGAACCGAGTGTGATTAACAATTTCATAATTTGTATGGGATTTCAGTGAATGGTTGAATTTAGTGAATGCTGATTGTGATTTTATTCAGACAAAAAGTGAATTTTCGAAAAAAAATTCTTAGAAACAAAAGAAATACACACACCAACACACGGAAACGAAAAAAAAAAGTGTTTTCTTTTTCGCCAATCGAATCAGAAGTGTGTAGCATTTTTAGCAAAGAAAACACAGCGTTCTCAGTGTGCATTCGGAATATGTCAATTAATTTGTTGTCCGTGATCGAAATTCTATTGAATTTTTTCATTGCAAATTCAGTGTGCCGAAAACTAATTTGTATGTTAATCAAAGTGTGTGTGCATTATCAAATGAGATACGGATAAAAGTGAAAAGTGTTGTAATTCTCAATATATGATGCAAGCAATATAACAAGTGTACTTGTTTTCAAAGTAATTTCGCTAATCTTTCAATCAATTTTGAGAGGGAGAAATGTATGGAGCCCGACAAATCGGCCGTAAAGAAGTGATAGCAACAACTGCAAAATACATCGCGTAAACGGTTTGTATCTTTTATGTACTATTTCCAGTTGCATTCAAAAGTTTTTTTTTAATTTGCAAATAAAACGCTCAATCGATAGCAGCGTAAATAGAGTTCGTTGATTGATAATTTTTTGTTTTGGTTGGTCAAGTTAGTTGTGTGTACATGTAACGTTGTTTTCTTCATTAATTTCACATCAAATTGCTGATAATAGTCGTTTCATCGAAAATCGTTTACACAGACGTAGAACAAATACGAAAATGTTTGTACAGTCTGGACACGTTTAACTAGCAAGCGACAAACAAGAATAGAGTAACAAATGCAGCTTGCCAGTCAGTCAGTTAAAGCCAGAGTGTTTGTTTTTTTTTTTCTTGGAAAATGTCGGTGGTCAGAAAAGAAACTCAGTGTAAATGAAAATCTACCATTTGCCAAGTTATACACTTGAAATTGGATGCTCTCTTGATCTTGTAATTTAAAGCGTGGGAAAGACCCAATACGCAAATTATATTCTTCTTTTGTTTTTCTTTCATTCATTCCATGCGGCTGTTGTTGTCGTTGTATGAAATCAGTTATAGTTTTACCATGAAGTCGAATAAAATAAAATAAATGAAAAAAAGAGAATAGAATGCCAATTTCGGAATAAGCGTTACTAAAAGACAAACATTTACCACCGACGAACAAAGGAAAAATGCGGAAAGAGCTTTTCGAGTGTGTATGTGTGTTTGTGTGTGGTTTGGTTTGTGAGTGGATGATGCAAAATTGACAGCAAATCGCAATAACGGCGTCTGTATGTCTCGTAAATGAAATGTTGTTGCATTGTTCCAAACAACAACACTTGCATTGTTATGATTTAATCAACTGATTGACCATATGTAGCAAATCAAACACCATAAGAGCGATTGAGAGAAATAGCGAGAGAGAGAAAGAGCGAGAAACGGTTTATCTACATCAAGCATATGGATAGCATATGTTGCTATGCCACGAGACGTAATTCTCTATGCTGCTACATATTCTTCATTTTTTTCTTCTTCCCCATTTCTCTATTAACGCACACACACACACACACACACACACACACACACACACAATACGTGTAATCAATGAATAGTGGTGTAGCGGTATTTTTTTTTGCGCCATTTAAGGTGGCGTTGAATTGTAAAATAAAAGAACCCAATTGAGCATTCAAGTATCGGTGTTAATCGTTATCGAAGATGCGTTTAGCTTACAAAATCGTGATTGAACGCGCAAAACGTTTCTCTATTCCCCGATAGTCTTGCTAGCTCTGCCGCCTGATTAATTTTATTTATGCACGCATATTGCGTGGCACAAAAGTTCCGCTAGAATTTGATTGTGATATGCTAATTAAGATCACACGGTAGTCAACCGTGATGATATGGTGGCATACCATCATTGCAGCCGTTGCCACACTGCCATCATTGACGACGACGACGACGATGACATGGACGCCTTTGGCGTAATATTCTCATCTAGTTCATGCCAAAAGACGTTGACAGCCTGTGTGCCGTAACTAATGACAATCGATGTGCACAGCTCGCATTGTTATGAATGAAATAAAACGTGAAAACGTGATCCATCAATACACATTTTGCGAAATGCTAATGAAAGGAAAACAACAACGACACAGCAGCAGCGGCAGTAATAAAGAAATGAACAGCAAAAAGTTGAATTTGAATGAATATTTATACACGAAAAATAGAATCGTTTAGTTTACTTATATTATACCATCTAAATGTGGATAAATGGAGCTTGACTCGCTTGTCGATGAACGTAAACGTGGCTGTGGTACTCGGTTGTGAATTTCTCAAACCGAAAACAAACAAACCAACAAACATATCTATATATGATTCATTGAACTTTTGTTTATTCGACTGTTTCACGCTGTGCTCACACTCAATTGAGAGTCATTTCCAAACGCGATGAATGTTACAATCGTCCGTCGTTTTTTCGTCAAAAACGATCATTGCATTTCCACCCTCGTTCAATTTATTCCAATGTGACTGCGTGTGTGTGTGCGTTCATATCGATGCAATTTATGAAAAATGATTTTATCACCATTCAATGAATGTCACTGCATCGCATAAAAATGAAATCTCATGCGAACACAAAAATCATATTAGAATAACAATAATTCGGTTTGTGTGCGCGTGTGCTTTCGTTTTGCACAATTCAGAATGATTTATATCGTTTGTGTTTTTCAGCACAGTGTTCCATTGTCTTCGCCCTCTTGTGCACACAACAACAGCAGCAACTGCTGATCAAAGAAAAAACAACACGTAAAATTTGCACAATAATTCATATGCAAATGTCAACATTTTTTATTCTCCATCAAGCTTAAACTGTATTTTATCATCGGTACAAATAAATTCATTGCGCTTTTTCTTTAGAAAAACAGCCATAATAATCATCATCGAAACCATTAATATTACAGAAATTTTTACACATTTGTTATCCATTTTTGTTATGTTGTGTTGAGTTATGTTTAACAGTTTTTGTTTCGTATTTTTTTCCTCTCTCTCTCGTACAGTGACCAAAACTGAAGGCAACAAAAGAGGAATCGTCTCCATTTTTGTGGGATAATTTAGGTCCATCGAGAGAAGAAGCAGCAGCTAAGAAGAGTAGAATTATACAGATATGAAATAGGGAGCATGAGAAGAATGATCTCGCTAGAAATAGCGTGTAGAATGCCATAATGGTTGATTTAGATGCATAGCAGGCAAAGAGAAGCCAATTCTGTTGAATCGTCATTTTTATTGTTGCCAAAAAAAAAAACTGACGAAAAACCATCACATACATATATACACACACACACACAAATCCAACCACCACCCAACGAGTCAATTAAAACTTGATCTGGAAATATTGGTCAATTCAAATGATATTATACCAACGGTACAAATTGCAAGCAAATTAGAAAACTGAGCTAGAAAATACACACAATTTTTTCGGTTGTTTGCTGTCATAAAATATAAGAAAGCAAACCAATACTCACAACGATTTTAATATTAAACAAGAGGTACGCGGCAGAGAGAAGATAAGGAATTCACCAAAAATGCGCTTCGTCTATAGAAATAGAAAACTTGCCTTATTTGGCATGTTTTTCCTGTTTGGCGCCATGATGATATTGATCAAATTCACGGAATTCAGTCCAACATGCCTGTTTCGAGAGGATTCAGAAAAAGGACCAGTGATGGTGCGCGATCAGGTCGGTTATCGCGTTACACATAAATTTTATTGCTTTTTTTTATTATTGAAATAAAATTGCGTTGAAGTTCTTATCTCTGTTTTTTAAAGCGTTAGTACATGGAATTTATAACCCATTCCTTTCAGAACATTTATTCGTCTTTCTTGGAAATTGTAATTTCGAAATGGCATTTTATTATCCCTCTCTCTTTCTTCGTAGAAATTTATATTGGGAAATGACAAACATTATTATCCCTATCATCGGCAAATGCCGTTAATCTTCATTGGAGGTGTCCCGCGGTCCGGCACAACTTTGATGCGAGCCATGCTTGATGCACATCCAGATGTCAGGTGAGTGCTCGTTGCAATGTGAACATGAATCATTTTGATTCAGCACGGCAACAACAACCAACATTGAAATGATGTATTATCGCTTGTATAATCATGACGCAAACCGATTCTAGATGCGGACAGGAGACAAGAGTCATTCCGCGTATATTACAGTTACGATCTCATTGGTTGAAGTCGGAAAAGGAAAGTTTACGTTTAGAAGAAGCGGGTATTACAAAAGAGGTGAATTTTATTTAAAAATCATTTATCATGCTTGATTTTACCGTTGTCGCTGTGCCATGTGAGTGCGGAATGATTAATGTTTTTGATGTTGGTGCAGGTGCTGAACAGTGCCATAGCACAGTTTTGTCTGGAAATTATCGCAAAACACGGTGACGCTGCTCAAAGACTGTGCAACAAAGATCCGCTCACACTCAAAATGGGCTCATACGTTATCGAACTCTTTCCAAATGTAAGTGAATTCGTTTATTGATATTGCATTTTTGTCTTTGTCACATAATTCAAATGCATTGAATTGATTTACAAACTGATTTTTTTTTTCAAATTGTTTTCTCGCAAAGTTCCTTCGATGAGCCATTTTTTTTCTTGGATTTTTTTTTCTCAGGCAAAATTCTTATTTATGGTTCGAGATGGACGTGCCACAGTGAACTCGATTATATCGCGTAAGGTCACTATAACTGGCTTCGATTTATCGAGCTATCGCCAGTGCATGACCAAATGGAATCACGCCATTGAAACAATGCACAATCAATGCAAAGAAATTGGCAGTGATAAATGCATGATGGTGGGTATTTCATTATTTAAAACACGAATTTCAAATGCAAATTGAACTAGTTTTTGAAATATCGTGCAAACATATCGATTTTCTATTTTCAAATGTACCAAATGAAACATGATTTTCAAGTAAAAATTTTCCACGCCAAACAGGTGTACTACGAACAATTGGTGCTACATCCAGAAGAATGGATGCGAAAAATTTTGAAATTTTTGGACATTCCCTGGAACGATTCGGTTTTGCATCACGAAGAGTTCATCAATAAGCCGAACGGTGTATCGCTATCAAAGTACGATTCAATAACAAACATATGCGAAGAAGTGCTTCAATGAACTAAATGGTTTTTCTTTTCCACCTATTTAATCAGAGTTGAACGTTCAAGTGATCAAGTAATAAAGCCAGTGAATTTGGAAGCGTTGTCCAAATGGGTTGGACACATTCCAGAGGACGTAGTACGAGACATGGCCGATATTGCACCGATGCTCTCTGTATTAGGCTATGATCCATATGCAAATCCACCCGACTATGGAAAGGCAGATTCGTGGGTAAAAGACAACACCTTAAAGGTATGTCAACCGTGAACAAGCCACATTCTCTCAACTCTATCCAACTTAAGAACGATTTTCATTATTGAAAATCAAACGATTTTGTTCCGTCAAATTCATTATCAACTCAAGTTATTATTACGGTACTTAAACAAGTTCTGTTTTCTGCTCATCGTAGGTAAAAGCCGAAGAGAAGCTCTGGCAAAATCGTGCCAATCAACTATTGCAACGAATTGATTTGGGCGAAGAGACATCAAACATAGAGGACACTGATTCGCCCGATGGTGACAAGAATGACATTCACAATCGAAATAGTAATCGCAATGACGAACAAACATGATATCAATACGCACGTCGATCAAGATCACATTAAATAAATTATTGAGCTCGCCGCTGGCAATCGTGCAATCGAAAGTCAAACAAAAGCTAGAGAGACACCGGTGTCTCTGCGGTATTGAACGAATGAGAGAACCAAAGATTCAAACAGCTTCGATGCAATTTTTTTTTTTCATTAATAAGACTCACTTATACAAATAAGTTTGACCAGATGCGAGCAACCAACATAGATATTTGCTTTTATATTTTGGAATAAAAAAAAAAAAACAATGAAGAGGAAAACGAACATTTTCTTCCAAATAGGAATGATATTTATTTTGGAATCGGCGATTTTGAGAGACAAATGTGAGACGAAAAAAACACAAAACAGAATCAATCAGGTGGATCAAAATTTCTTCGCATTTAAGTATGAGTTTAACTTATTCTAATATACTCCATTTAGATAGGGAAATCCAGAAAAAAAATCGATAATCGATCAATTCGCAGCTTATTCAAAACATAATGAATGTGATTTATATTTATTTAGAAAGATGCGATATTGTGCAAGATGAATCTGTTTAAAATTGGTGATTCGAATCAAACTAAAATACTTTGTTTTTGTTTTTTTCATTTTGTACATGCATTTGAAGCAGTAACAAAAAAAACTTACAAAACAATTAAATCCATACAAAAAGAAACTGTGCAAATAACTGACAAATAGATGAAGGTAGAGAACACAATTGAAACTCACACACACATGAATACAATATAACCATTTCGAGTGATATTTTAACGCAAAAGATAGTCATGATAATGGAAAAATTCAATAGTTTGAAAGAGAGGAACCAACACACATCGCATGCTAGATAAAATGAAATCGCTACACTATATATATATATACATATGTTCGTCGCTAAAATGTTTTGTGTATTTTATTCGTAATGTAATTAGTTCAATGAAAAAAGAAGAAAAATTGTATGTAAAATTTGTAATTTTAATTAAATGTAATGAATTTATGGATCTATTATAAACAAAAATGGCAGAAACAGCGATATTGGGGTCGCTTCAAAAACGGAATAATCAAATATTGCCTACTATGCTTGTTTGTCAATGGACACAGATGTTGATCATACTTCCAATTTTTACTCGTTTGTTATCCATTTGATTTGAGCTTAGAAGTATGGTCCCGCAGAAAAACTGGTATGGCATATTTATTATATACTAAACGTGTGACCCTAACGCAAAATTGAAGATACTTGATAAAAGTGATAAAATCGCGAATTTAAACATTTTTATGCAGTAATTCATTGTCTTTACACATGAAATTATTAGAAATACTGCCAACATCCTAAGGAAGAGTTGAAATGAAATTTCCACAAAAAACACACAATTCAATTGAATTTTGTAACAAAAAAAAAAAACAAATTTTTATTTAATAAAATACATTATTTCCTTCCGTTTTCAAATGAAACTGTGCATACATTTTGGAAATCCTATTACGCAGTCCGCCAGAATATCTTTTGTATGTGAAAAAAAGCCAAAATCAGTTGTTGAGTTTCAATTTTAATGAAATTAATTTCTAATTTTTCGACAAAACAGTTTTCATGTTGAAATACGAATCTAAAGTATTGTTCTTCAGAAGAATACTGATCGATGATGTTTCCAATGATGTATGCTCTGCACAATGGGTGACAATTTGCAACAATCAAAAGTATCTTCAAATCGAAGTCATGAACGGTTTCTAATAAGAAAATGGATTTTTTTTTTCGTTCTCATTTGAACATGTAAATATTAAAAAACAAGGGGGAAATTTGCTTCTCTTTTTCATTGAATTGAATGAAAATATAAGACGAACGAGACGCATATAGAAAAATTGTCAAATTATTTGAACGCGGTAAATCAGTGATTCGAAACAAAACAAAAAAGTGAAGAAAAAAAACTCGTCTAGAAATCAAATAAGAACAAACAGATTTTTTTTATCAATTTTTTTTTTTTTTTAATTCTGAGTCGAAACACAAGTCCGATTGATTAAAAGAAAAAAAAAGAACAACTTTAAAAGTGAAATTTATAAATTTTTGTATATTCGTGAAATAATTCTTTTGTAAATGAAAAGCATAAAAAGTGAAAAAAAAGATTTAGACAAATGTTTCCATTGAAAAGAAAACTAAGGGCCAGATGAAAGAATAAAGGAAACTTATTATTAAGAATGGATAAATGTGCCGGAGAAATATTATTTTGAATTAAAAACACTCCCCATTCCCCCAACCCTCAAGTATATATACAAATATGATTAAATAAACGAAATCATTCATTGGATATAATCGAAATTCATTATTTACGCAATTTCAGTCTCGTTTCCATTGTACTTACATCAATTGATAAATTGTAAAGGAGCAAATAAGAAAAGACCCACAAAGAAATGCAGCCACAATTGTACGGCTAATTTTTTTTCTTAAATTCCTGTTTTATTCACTCATTTGACATACCATCCTAGCTCTGTGTGATCTGAAACTTGAAAGCCAAAATGATTGAAACGCGTGTTCGTTTCAATCAAAATGAGAGAGAAATAATGTGGCAGACTGGGTTGTTTTAATTTTTTATTTATTTTTCAAATTGTTCGTAATTTTGGTTCATTAGCTTTGTTGTGCCTTGTGTTTTTTTATAACAATAAGGAGATTTTTGATGTTGTTATTCGCATAGATGTGAATTTTTGTTTTTTTTTTTTGTTTTTTAATGTTTAAGAATTCCTATTTATTCGTAGCTTTGGAAACATTTTGAGTTTGCATTTACACTTTGTTATTTAAAAAAAGGAGAGAAAAAATGAATGTGTGCCTAAAAGTGAGTTCGAAAGAGGAGCATATCTGGATTACGAGCTCACTAATAGAGGTGTAAGTGTTTGTGTGTTTTTGAGTACTGCGAATATGTTTTTTGTTGATTTTTTTTATTGAATTTAGAGAGAATGTTCTATGTGCATTTATTTGAAGCATTTCATTGAGTCTTCGGAAAGAAAAATTGTGATGGCAATGCCACTGATTCATTATGGATGTTTTCGGGACTATTATCATTTCTGTAGGATTAATTTTTAATTAACTAGCAAATAAAATCTCTGTCAATTAGAGGGAGCGGTGTTGATTGATAATATTTTATCGCTAAATTTATATCGTTTGTTTGCATTTATGCCATTCGAATCTATCGTCTAGGTTTTATATATTCAATACGATCAATGTGCAGATCGAGAGAGAATATCCCCAGCAACGAACGAGACATTCCCATTCAATTTCAAATTATAGCATGATGTAAGTCATCACTGATGTTATTGGTCACAGTTATAATCGAAAAAGCATACGTTTTTGTTCGGTTTTACTTTTTGAGCCATGCAAAATGTAACAAAAATTCCAACAACAAAAAATGGTTTGTGTATCCCATGTGTGTGTGTGTGTGTTTTTTTTTTTCAAGCATAATTAACTTGCGATTTGATAAACTATGAAAACTAAACATTTTGGCTCAGACTGCTATAGTCTCGCCACTAGGTTCCATAAACGTTTTTCTTTGTTGCTGCTGCTGTTGTTTTTGTTGCAAATTGTTCGTCAATAATTCGTAGCGTTTTTTTTTAGATTATTCATAGAGATTTTACAAAATATCAGTCTGATATTAATAAATGTATATTTTTCCAAATGAAAATTATGCATGCGGATGCTGTTTTGTTTTTTTCTTTTCATATTATTACTTAGCAACGCCTGATATTGCATCTAATATTATCGTTTTACTTTTGTTTTTGTTTTTAAGTTTTATTTTTCGTACGTATGTATTGTATATAAATATTAATACATTCGTTACTAGCACTATAATTTGCGTTAACTGCGTGATTTTCTTACAACTTGTTGTGTGTGTGTTTTTTCTTCTTCATTTACACCGTTTTTGGTTGGCTTGTTGATATTACTGTATGTAAATCGGTTATATTATTATCGATTGTGTTTCTTTTTTGATAATTAATTCAAATAGGCGTCTTTTTTTTTCTTTTTTACTAATTTAAAATTGTATGCTTATATTTCTTAGTTTTTATTTTAAATCATTTTTTTGAGATTTTTTTCTGCATTTTTCTGTTTGTTTGCAAGGCCACCACATATGTACACGTACTTGTACAGCCGAATAAAAGTGAAAAAAGTGACTAGGATCCGATCATAATGCAATTGCATTTGCATTTAGTTCGCTTTTTTATGATTGTAACTCATTGTGTGTTGGTGTTGCACTAGTGATATATTCGTCTTCAACAGTGTCTGTGTATGTATCTGATGTCAGTCGTCATATATTTGAGTGTTATCGTTTGGCAGCATTTTAGACAGATCCTATGTTAATTCATAATTTTTTTTTTTGTTCTTTTAGCAAATTGAAAGGCTGAGGTAAGCATTATGCATTTCATTCTATTTTACAACACTATCGAAAAGGCATCACTTTTCTAAACTCAGTAAGGAGATTTATTCTGCTGCAATTTATCATGTTTTTCAATTTGTTCTCATTTTTAAATGTTCGTCAATTCGGCCGGCTCATATTTTCTGTGCTTTTTCTCTGTTTCTGTGTGCTTCTTTCGGTTGATGCAATTGTTTGAATTTACAACAACAACAACAACAAAATTACGCTGCAATAATTCTGAGCAAATACATGATCTATATCAGCTGCATTATCTAGCAATTATTTTGGTTTTCTTGAGTTTTATCGAAAACGAAAATTGAAGGCTAGATATCATTAGCTATTTTATTCGTTGCTGTATAAGTCATTTTGGTTGTTTTTGTTTTCTTCTGAGTTTTTTACATATTCCCAAAGCAATTTCCTGAATAAAAACGACTACGAACGGCAAATTTCAACGCTTATCCCTCAATAAATTATATGACGTTTCGAAGAAGATTTCTGTCCGGTCTCTAGTTAGCACTACATGAAATGTAGAGCTTTTGTTTTTAATTGTTCTTTTTTTAGTCGATTGACTTGAAGGTTCAGACAAGCTACGAGGTACCATTTGAATGAAATGTTTTTTTTTTCTTCTTTCAACTCGTTGAAATACAAACTTGTAAGCAGAGCTGTGTTTTGCCAATCGGCAGCCGTTTCGGTGACAATAATGCTAAATTTTTAGAAGACAATGCGCGCGTAATAAAAAAAACTGGTATCGACCTGATTGTTTTCATTCTACTAACGAGTCAGAAATTAATACAGGAATTTCAAAAGCATCGAATTAAGTTATTAAGTTTGACAATTAATTTTTCTCTTTGTTTTTGCTAAAATCAACGGATAAAAAAAAAACGATCTGGAATTGAATGATTCGAAAGCGATGAAAATAAAAATCATTTTTCGTTTCTAATTTAGTTTAACCGCTAATTGTATTATCCTTATCTCTAAAATATCTTAAAAAGTCCGATTGAGTTGAGCATGTCGGATCAATCTAAAATGTTTTTTTTTTTGTGAGTGTGTGTGTGTGTGTGTTAAATATCAAGAGATGAAACGAAAATGTTGAAGATTCGCATAAATTTGCCCATGGGACAACAGTCGCGAACTGTTGCTGTATGTTTCAAGTCAAGCATAAAACTTCATATATGATGCAGTAGTCAAATTTGTGCATAAAAACTCGTCGCATCTCGGGGAAATGCAGGGAAATGAAAACGAGGATGGGGATTCTGTAGACTTTTTTAAGCTTAACTATTTACATTATTCAACGCGTATCTGCTTGCGACGAATTCAGAATCAATTAATTCAATTCATTTTAAACAGATTTTTTGTTGTTCGGTTTTCTTTTACATTCATTTTAAGCGGATATTCTTTTACATTTTTGTTTGCTTGCTGGCTTACGTTCTTCACACTCATTTTCCACAGTTAAATTGGATTTTACTGCATTCACAGCAATGAAATAAACAACGTTTCTTTTATCTCAATAAGTATTTGCGTGTAGAACACTTTTAATTGACAAAAATTAAAATTGATTAAATATAGATTTGCTTAAAAATGATGTACATTCGATTGATTGATTGAAAAATATGGTTAAAAATCGTAACCAAAACGATCTGCCATTGCATGACATCAAATTCATCGTGTTTTCTTTGAGTATTTCATACTAGAGAAACAAAAATGTGTAGATTTTTTCTTCTTTCAAACTTGAATCAAAGAATGTTTTCGTAAAAGGCTTGGAACAAAAGCATAAGCTGGTGGATAAGGGAAAAAAGTCAATGTGTCAAAAATATTTGTTCTTTTTCTTCTTGAAAAACAAATCAACGACAAATATCAACTTCTAAATAGGATTAAATTTTCTCATTCTCAATTTAAAAAAAATTGCTATTTCATTTCAAAATTATTTTTGATATGAGTCAACAGGTAAGGTTAAAAGCATCGTTTCGATGTGTTTTTGAAGAAATTAAAAAAATTACTCAAAATAGTGAATCTTAGGATAACATAACGGAGAAAACCGATCTTCTTTACTCCTTTCTTTTTTGTACATTAATGGGAACAAATTCATGTTTCAATACAGTTTTATCGCTTTTTCATTGCGCGGAGGGAAAACAACAAATGAAATTCTTTCGTTGGCCATTCTAACGTATTCAATAATAATTATTACTCTTAACACACAGCCAATGAAAATTAATGAATGAAAAAAGGAAGGGGAAAACAGTTTATTTTTATTCTCTCGCATGATAAGTCAATGGATTGCTATATGTAATTAAATATAAATCCAACCGAAATCAGTTTCATACCGCTTTTTTTTGTTTCATCATGGAGATTGGAGTTCGAATGAAGATTATAATCGTATTTTCTTGTTGTTTTTGTGTTTCATTTACTATAAACATTCTACACGAGAGTCAAACGTATCGGTCTCAATATTAACTCAGGCGGATGAAAATCACATAATTTCATTCGGACTGATAAATGGTTCTACCGTTCATTCCAATCCACTGATAAACTGGGAAATACTTCCATATATCGAATGTGTTTCCATATTCAAGTTGTGCTCTGTAGCTATGCTTCGAAGCTTTCTGCTTTTTTTTAAATTTATGTTAAAATGGTAATGTCTAAGACCTAATTGAAAAAAAAAAATTGCGAAGAAATTATGGTGATTTGTCTAGTGTAGTGGAATGTTTACTGTCCTGTAAACGAAATAGAAAGAAACAATTGATAGAAAAACTCGAAAACAGAATTGAGAGATGCATGCTCGTTATTACGGTGAGTTGCACATTTAATATACAATTGATTCATACTGGTTACCACCTAATAACGAACACCTCTCCGTAATAACGAGCATGCATTCGAATTGAGAACTAATTAACGCACCTGATCGAGTTCATCGAGTGATTCTAATTTCGCGATTGGTGCAAATGCCGTCCATTGCTCACAATCGTCAAGCGTTTGGTTGAACGATGAAAATTTCGAACACCTATTCAAAGTGAGCAGAATTTTTTTTTGAAATGAATAATGGTTTGTATGTTTGCCAACGGGAGGATTTCTTCACGTACCGTAGTAGATTCTTTTCGGCTACAGTGTTTGTGCATTCTGGTTGTGATATCGATCGATGGACAGAATGGATCTGTGATGTGCCAGCCGTTGGAATTCGATATGGATGCTGTGCTTGTGACAGTCGCTTTGTATCCAAGCATAATTCAAATGAAAAATCACTCTCGGAGGGTTGTATCGATGATGTCATCAGCAGATTTTGTTTGTCTTGTGCCAGTTGATCTTTCGTTTGATGTTGCCCACCACCATGCAATGTTTCGAGTAATTTTCCACGACCGATGCCCGATGGCTGTTGCAATATCTCTAAAATACTTTTTATGTCTTTTTTTATGCTTATTTCCATATTGTCCATGCGTGACGAAAGCTCGGCTAGTTGCATTGTTACGGAACTTCTAATGTTTGGAAAACAATTTTTCATTCAATATCCAGTATGTATATTTTTTTCAATTTTCCAAATTATTCGAAAGTTTAACTATTCTTACCCGGCTTCATGGGTAGCTTGTGGCCGATGAGTATGCTGATATGGATGATAATGATAGTGATGATGATGGCTGTTACTCGACAGTGCGGCATCATCTTCATCTAAATCGCAACGTGTTTTATCGATTTGCGTGGTGACATTATCAGTGGGTGCACCCTTTGTTGGACCACATGTACAGCTTGTCGTTTGCACAGCACTCAATGTAACGGCATCCGTTTCTTTGTCACAACATCCGATGCCATCTGATCCGAATGCCATTTGATTACGAAACGCCGAACATTTACCAATCATACCACTTGTACCCGCTCCATTGTCTCCATGATGCTTTGTTGGACTGCCGCATGGTGATTCTTTATTTTCCAATGGCTGATGCTTTACCGCCGCACGCAAATCAGGAATGCTGCGCTTTATATGTGTTATCATATCACTTAACGAGTATCTGTGCCGGGGCTCGTAGAATTCTTCTGGGCGATAGCCCGTGTCTCCAACGAAGCCCGTGTCGCCAGTGTGCCTTTATCAAGCAAAATATGGTTTAAGATCAAGTTATTGTTTCAACGCATTGACATTTTGTGTCAACATGCTTGACATAGCAAATATTATGAAATCGATGTTTCAACAACCGTGTGCGTATGACATCAATGAAATGAAAAACAGCGAGAATAAATATATGCGCTCGCCAAACTTTTAGGGAACGTTTCGTCGCATTTTTCTTCTCATACATTTTCACGGTTGACGTTCATTGTTGTCGACACGTTCCTCGTTTTTCATTTTATTTGTTTTTATAATAATAATAACTTACAGTCGATATGAACGAGTTTCGCTGTTTTTGTCCGATGTTTGTTGAACAGTTTCCCGTTCTCGAGATGTTGTTCGTCTAAATCGATGTCTCAACTCAACGCCAGATTGCTCTTCCTGCATACATTCGGAATTAGAAAGAGAGAGAGAGAGAGAGAGAGAGAGAGAGAGAGAGAGAGAGAGAGAGTTCGAATTACGTTTGGGCGTAATTGATTTCGCACTTAGTTAATTGAATAACAAGTTGAAATTTGAAACAACTAAAGAACACTCAATATGTAATTTGGATGTGTATGTGTGTGAATATGACAATGATGAAATATCTCTAATTCAATTAAAATAATGACAGGAGAGGTATAAGACCAAATCTATGTAATATGATGCTACCAATGTTGTCTATCATTTGAATGTTAAATTCAAACCCATAAATCATATATAGAACCGGACGATCAATCTAGTTTTGTTCTAATTTCACATTTTATACTCTCTATATATCAAAAGATAACCACTAATCAAATAACCAAGTTTGCGAAATCCGTGTGGCTCTTGTCAATTCAAACTTGATGTCAATTCAAACACACACGCACAAACTCTTTACACATGGTAAATATATGCACAAAACTATCAAGCGCAACTTAAATGTTTGCCTTATGTGATTATGTTTGATCATGAGAGATGATAATTTAGATGAAATAAGTGTTTTTCAGTGCGTTTGTGTATGTGTGTGTGTGTATGTGTTGAGATATGGAGAGAAAATGTACATATAAATTGTTGTATATATATATATATATATATATATAGAAACTCACATCTCGCATATTGTATGTAATTTCTAAATTATTAACAAAACATTCATAAAATTCTGGATACAGATCTAATACGTGTAATAAATCTTCTCTATGAATCTTATGAAGGTCACAGTAGGTTAACGCACGAACATTGCTATTCGACTTTCCCCATGTTGTATGTACGCATGGATTTTCACCAAATATATCGTCTTTGCCTGAGTTCGATTGATTCAAGAGTGAATAGAGAAAAAGAGAAAAAGAAAAACAAGAGATCAAAACCAAAAGTTGTCGATGAAAGATGCGATTGTTCATGTTGTTCATGTTATTCATTGTGATTGATCCTACCCAATATAGCCATAACGACATCATCCTTTAGGATTTCGATAGACCCACGTGCAATGAAATACAGGCATGTCAAAACGTCACCTTTATGAACTAGTGTATCGCCGGGGGGTGCATGTGTCGTTTTGAATTTTAATGACAACGCTCTGCAAAATAATAAACATTCATGAAATTATACACAACCTTTATATGATTTTCGCTTGTTATCGTCGTTTTTGCGCTGATATGGTTATAATCAGCAGTATCGTTTCCTTGCTAAACAAATGTCGTTATTTTCCATTAAATAAACTTATACAGCTGCCACATAATGGACGATGAATAAATGGGAAATAAAAAGAAGAAAAACGATTCGTTTCTGGAATTAAGTATAAAAAGTCTCAATCTAAGACAGTGAATTGTCTTAAATTAAGCCTTAAATCTGCGAGATGAACACAAAAATCTAGCTCATTGTATCGAGAATAATTCGCATGCATAGCCTTAGGGTGGGTCGATTGAACATGTTTACAGATATCAAGCGGTCAAGATAGTACGAATTGACCGAAATTTTCTAATAAAATCCCATTATCAGACTCTTAACACTTTATTGTCCTTGGACATGTTATGAATTACAAACTCGTGGTCAAACTCAGATTTTTGCGAGAGCATAAAGCCGATGGAAAGTCCTTCACAAAAATGTGATGCGCAAGAAACAATTCTTAGGATAAAAAATAATTCTCTAGACCAAATCTAACGATTCCTCACTAACCATCTTTGATATTTGTAAAGCTACTGAATCGACCCACCTTAGTGTGCGCATCACTTGAATTGGCCAACAGCAATATGTATTTATGAAAGTATATATTCCTAATATTTTTTTAATTTTAATTTTTAACTGTCAAACGAATTGGTTTCACTTCGTGTGGATTTAATGATTGCAGTTTGGATTAAACTCATACTGTCCAATGGATGTTGCTCTATTTTGTTGAGAGAGATAGAGAGAGAGAGAGAGAGAGGAAGAGAGAATGAAAACGGTGTTCGAAATTCATGACGAGGAAGAATTGCAATTATGCTTAGTTTTTCGATTTTTCGTTCGCAAAACCGAATTCACATGCTGCGAAAGTTCCATGAAACAATTGCAGAAATAATTCATTTTAAGACAATGCGAGACAATGTCTGAATTCAATTTTCAATTTTCCTCCGTTACAATATTCGGCAGAAGTTGTGTGTGCAACATTGTTGCATCGAATGACTCGTGGTTGTTATTAATTCACTCGCCGTTGCTGATTCACGATCATTCTACAATTGTTGAAACAATTAGCTGCGATTCACAAATAAACACTCGAACTTTATATTATTCTTATGAAGACATATGACCAAAAACAAATGGAATTTGCAATAGTTCGGAAAATTCTATTCTCTCTGTCTCGCATAAAGATAATCCATTTCATTGCGTCATTTGCTGCCGCTTTCTAACGCTCCAGTATTTGGTGCGTACAATTTGAACCGAGTCAAGTGAAACACACCACGGACAAAATGTAGACACATGGAAGAATGGGAATGTAGAGAGAAAAAAACAAGCGGAGAGAACTCACAGAGAGAGAGAGAGAGAGAGAGAGAGAGAGAGAGAAAGAGAGAAAATAGTTTAAATTGCCCTATATATTCACCGTAAACATCCCGGGCTGGCGCCTTCGAAAGCAGCACACGTATTCAATAAATTTCTATTTAAATGTAAACAAATGTCAGCCTGCAAGCATTCTGGAAAGCCCTTTAGCACCGAATTCATATCGATACCGTTCGTATAAGTCCAAGCATGTTGAAAGTACTCTTCAAGCCGTTGTCGCAATGGATTCGGTATCTGGAAAATGGATTAATAATTCAAACTAAATGAGTTTTGAGTTGAAATGCTTTTTTCCTTCTTCTTTTTCATTATCGTGCTCCAGTTTTTGCTTTTTGTGAAAATGGAAGGAGGTAAAAATTGATGGTGCATTATGCTATATCGAAGACTGTGCATTCGTTTGTGTATGTGTGCGACAAATCGTTTGTCATAGCTTATTTGTTATTTGGAACACTTTAGCGAATGGACACTGCTCTCCGAATCGGATGTCGTTTTTCATGACTTTTTTTTCTCTTTTTCCGTTTTTTTTTTTTCATTTCATTTCCATTCGAATGCAGACAAGTGCATCCATATCGAAAAGGGAAAAAGCGCCAAAATCATTGGACAACGCACCACGGAAGCTGAATTCAGCGTTTGATTCGATTGACTGAATATTTGCTTACTTGATGAAATCGTATGAATTCTCGAACGCGCAGCATTTGTGTATGGTATCTGGCGGTGCCCGAATATAACCGTTGAATAATCGCCGAAACATTACCGAATATGCTGGCATACATGAGAGCTGCAACGCAGAAAGAAAAAGAAAACACAATCAAATAAATTCACATAAAATCGCCTGTCACTAAACCATAAAATAATGCTATTCGTTGGCCGCCTATCGCTTATTTTTGTAGGCAATTTTCGGCCGGTGAATTTCCCGAAAAGGATGGCATAGAGAGTGAACGAACAAAAGAAGAACATGGAGAACAACAGCACACATCAACTTACATCCAACCAACATAACGCAAATGGTGAATATTTTTTCAGCGTCTGTATTTGGTGCCACATTACCGAATCCAACCGATGTTAACGATGTAAATGTGAAATAAAGCGCTGTTATGTAACGTGACTGCAGGCGGTTTTCATTTTTGATAAAATATGAAATTGCATATCCAGCCAAAGAATTGCCATGTTGACGATGAAGACGAAGACGATGACGACAGCAGCAGCCACAACGAAGAAACGAGAAAGAAAAACAAAAAGAAAACTTAAAGATCTATCGAATTTTCAAACCTAATTAACACATCGCTGTCAAATACTTTACTTTGGCAAACGATATTTTTTCTTTGGGGTTTTTTTTTTGTTTGCTGTTAAAAGAATTTATTGGTTTGCCGGCACATTTTGCCACGTAGAAAAGCGAATATACACGGCCCATTCTCACTTCTCAATTTGAGTGCTAATTGTGAAATATTATTTCGAGCAAGAAGAAGTATCCGAACTCAATACGGCAAAAATGTAAATGTTCGACTAATGGCATGTCAGCCGCCGCATCCGTTGGAAAATGATTTGATTGGTATATGAGAAGCTCGATTTAAATCAAGCAAGTTTTCAACATTGAACTTTTTTTCTCACTATTTGTTCAACGTACGAAGAAGCGCTTATTTTCAAAATGGAAATTTTCTCGAGTTTCAGTCTTTTTCTGAATATTATGAACATTTCACTTTGGTTTAATATTCATCTGAATAATTTTAATCAACTCACATGGCTGGCAGCGTTGAAAAGACCTAATTACATTAGCAAATGCGAATATTGCCAGAAAACTATGAAACGCATATGCATAACACTTATAACACCGTAATAGAGTTTGCGGAGAATTATTTAAAAAAAAATAAATCGAGAGCGATTTAGTCATGTCGTTTTTTGTTTGCGCTAACTGCACAACGCCCACACGACTAGCCACTTCATAAAGTGTTCCATAAAAAAGTAAAATATGATTCAATTTTAAAAGCAAACAAAAAAAAACAACAGGGAATTCCACCTAAAAAGTAGGTGTTTCAGTGATATAAGACCGTAATAAATAAGAGCTTATTCATTAGTCAGTAGAAAATAAATGGAAATCGTAACACTAACAAAAAAGACACAAAGATTACAAATATATGGTTAAACAAGACATGAGCAAATTGGTTATTAATTTTACCGGTATGTTTCGTTATTTTGGCGATGTAAATTAATGTACGGATGGTTACTCACACTGTATGTATATCAACAAAATACACGCATTTTTCTTGTTTGTGTATTTTGTTTTTATTGTTCTGTGTTCTTTTCATGCAAACCCATTTTGTCCGATAGGCTTTCCATCTTTTGTAGAACTCTTCGAACCACAAATGCATGGCAACCATGCCATTAAATATACGAATGAAGCTACTTAACGTCAACATGTCAACAATGGGAAAAATAATAATAAATGCGTAACAATGTAATGCGGCGTTAGGCATGTGCAACCAAAATCGTAATGGCTGAAGAGAAAAATATGACGAATTTTGTAACATTCGCGAAAACGTGAGATCAATGAAATGCATTTTGTCGAATGTACGAATTAAATGATCTTTCGTTTATATAAACAAAAGTTGTTCGTTCTCTTTGAGCTGAAATGTTCTTTTTGAATTTAAATCAACTTTGATATGATAATCAAGCGTTATTTTGATATGAACAAATTATGTTTGAACAAATTTGAATCATTTGGAAAGGGGAAAAGAATAATGATTTTTTTTTTTTTGGAAAATAGAAAAAGAATTTAAAACATTCTAAGAGAGAGAAAGAATGAAACGTTCCAACCGCATGCTTGGATAAAAATTTATGCATAAACAAAAACGGAAAAAAAAATTTCCACAAAAATGGAAGCAGCAAAAGATCATTCGCAAATTCATGGACTAGGTTTTCGGTCGTGGTTTAGCCTAAAGGTAACAAATTGCGCTTGCGTTCTCGTCGGATCGTCGAGAAAAAAATCCAATACGTAAAAACAATTGTACGATATGAATTTTCTTTGTAGAATTGAGACAATACGGTCAACGACAACCATGAACACCACATTGCATAAGACATTTCACACGACCACAATAAAAATTTGGACGAGGCAAAAATAGATAAGAAAAAAGTAAATAAAAACACGTGACAATTACACTTCTATAAAATTACAGATACACGAATAGATTGAAATGAGTAAGAATATTTGGTTCTATTTGGTGTGTCTACAGTTTTGAGAAATTAGGTTTCGAGTAATTGAAGTTCAATTAACGATGATGGGGCTACGGTCGAAAGTTTTTTTTTTTTTGCTTCCGAGTGTGTAAAATGTGTGTAAAAATTATTATTAGTTTGTTTATTGATTCATGAAATTTATGTGTTGAAAGAGGTCAATTTGTTTCATGTTGTATCCTACGGCGTTTAGAACGCACGTTATCAAGTTTATGTATGTTTAGTGTGTTTTTTTTTGGATACCGACTGTGAATGTTTTAATGGAAGCATGTTAGGTTTGTTTGTAAGTGAAATTGAGATGGAATTTTAAGAAACAATCAAAGGGCCATTATTCTATTTGTTATACATGGAGGTTTAGTATGGTAGTTTTTTAAAACGAGCAATAAACACCATTGAATTCATGAACAGATTTTGGTTTGTTTTTGTTTTAGTTTTTATTGTGTGGCATTCGTGCATTCGATCGAGTATTATCAGGCTTACTTTTATCGACGGTCCACCTGTATTGTTTGGATAGTAATATTCGTGAGTGTCGTTAGCCAGTATGTCTAACCATCCGATTTTTGATTTTAGCATTGGCCGTTCTGCCTTTCCGATTGCATACCTAGAGAGAAAAAATTGTTTGGAAAGAAAAATGAATAGAGATTTTTTTTTTAAAGTACATCTTGCTTTTGGATTGGAGAGTGTGTGAGAGAGAGAGAGAGAGACAGAGATAAAAAATGGGGAAAGTTCATTCAATTAACTGGAAATTACCCATAAAAGTTAAAACACGCATTTTGTTCATTAAAATACGATAAACAATTGGATTATCGACAAATTACTACTACTCGAGCTCATCTATTTATATAACAACCAATCGATTAGTTTCAGCACATTTACTCGATTAACTGGATTGCTGTAACAGTTCCAAAATTTGCAGCATGCCATTCAACGAAATTCGAGAACAGTGTTCACGTTCTGTTTTATGGTTACTTTGATATCACTTGATGATTAATTGACACCAAAATAAAATGCTTTAGAATCTCAAATGAACCAAATGATGAGCAGCAATTCTTTCAAGAATAATCAATCGATTCAGAAGAAAAATGTGAAATGCATTCACTTTTCTTTTCTGGAAAACATTTTTTTTTTTTCGTTCGAAATTATGCGATTTCTGCACTTCAGTTCACCCAAAACACTTTGAACGCAGTTATCACTTGCAGTTCGATAATTTCAAAATTGGCAGCGAATCAAAGCAATAGATCGACAAATCATTGGAGAGAAATGCTGATAATTATTTGGCATCGAAACAAAGCAGACATAGAATGGCATGGCTTCGCCGTGGCTTTTTATCTTAATTCTTGTTCATCATCCAATATTCAAATAAATTGTTAGTACAGGTTAGGTTGGCTTAAACGCGCATATATTTTTTTCATTTTTCATTTTAATTGTTCATTAGCGATGATTTTAAAAAATTTGAATCCGACCAAGAGAAAGAGAGAGAGAGAGGAAAAGTGTGAGAGAGAAATTATTCGAAAATAATCTGTCAGTTAAACCAATTGCATTTTAAACATAATTAAAAAAGATAAAGACCATTGCGGATTTTGAGATGAAATTTAAAGGGCCAGCATATCCGCTAGGTATCATTTCAGTCGGTTCCAACTTGAAACGATTCCCACTTGAAATGTGAAACAACAAAACATTTGTCACTTGTCAATATGGCGACTGGAGTGTATATCCGTTGACTTACGTAAGATAGCGCTGTTGATTGCGAAGTTTCGAACTTCAAATGGAAATCATTTGCAGTGGAATAATTATAGTTTTTCTAAGTTTACTTATGCAAATAATTTTTTTTTAATAAACTGTGTGTTCAGAAACGGAATTTACAATTTTATTCTAACTTTTTTTCATTAGAAGATGTTCACGGATCATTTTGTATTGAAAAAAAGTCAGACTCATAACGGTTTTGTTTGTGGCGATTGTAGCGATTCAAGCGGCATATGATAGCACATGATAGCCCTTTAAATTTTATAACAAATTTCATGATTCAATTCGCATTAGCCTTTTGTCTGTTTCGCAAACGTGGAATCGCTCGTTATTAAATTAATTGGATGCGCGGGGCTTAAAATTAAGAACTGATCACATAATAATAATCCAATCCATGTTAGCATTGTTAAAGATGTAATTGAATGACATACCATATGCAGGCCAGCCAATGGGCGATTAATGCAAATGTTGCCATTAGCAAAATCAACACAGCTGCACCATATTCTGAATACCGATCGATTTTCCGGGCGACGCGAACTAACCGCAAAAGACGAGCTGTTTTCAACAATCCGATTAATGTCGTTGTCTGAACGTTGGATTTGGATTGGTTTGGTTTTTTTTTTATTTTCATTTTCGTTTTGTATTTTGCCAATTTCAACGGCACGCACCCCCGAATGAATAAAGGCACAATGCATCCAACCATGTTAAATATTGACGAAAAGATAATGAAAACGTGAAAGAGATGAAAAATAATTAAACAGAGTCGTTTTTTTTTTTTGTTTCAAATTTAAAAAAAAAGTTTTTTTTACAAAACTTGCTTTCATATAGTCGAGTGTGATTGAATGAAATCCAGTGGGATTTGGAATTGCATGCACAGAACCCAAAAAAGAACGCATAATTGGGAGCGAAAAAAAAATGTATGTTGAAACCAAAATACACCTGGAACAAAAAAGCGACAGCGGAAAATTGGGAAGAGCATCAGCAATATAGAAAATTAAATAAGGTTACAAATGAAACTGAATACATTGAATGAGTGAGTTTAAATTAATCGGCCGATTCATATCCATAGAACAATGTGTGTGTGTGCATTTGTGAGTTTCGTTTGATGTTAACTTTACAAAAAAAAGAAAGGCAAAATGCGAACTAAAAAAAAAACCACAATCACACAGTGGACACGAGGACTTTGAAAAGGAACAAAAAAGTAAAATGCGTTCGACTTTCATTTTCGCCAACCATTTTTGTAGCACACAATGATTCACATTTGCCAAGAATGAAAATGAAAGCATTACACCATGACAAAGATGCGGACAGGTAATCTCAATACGTTGTGTTGTTCGTTTGAAAATTTTTTTTTTAACTATTTACAAGCAGATTAAGAGTGAATTAGGTCGGAGAAGTGAAATGTGCGACTTGGTACACTTCCATCCACGGCAGTAACTGTGATTCTTTTTTTCTCTCTCTTCACCATGACATGAAGTGTGAATGCGCAAACATTTTAAAGCGACACAATTATGATACGGTAGGTCGTTTAGTGGCACATACACAAGGTGAGTGAAAAAATATACTAGAATCAAAACTTCCGATTCGATCCAAATACGCTTTGGATTAATCTCGTTTGTTAATTTAACCACCAGAGAGTTTAACTTATAGGTACATCCCATCAATTACATGATATGATCAGTTGAATACCCATACAAATTAAATTCATTCAAATATTGACACAAAAAAAAGACCTAATGGCACTCAACACTCTTGAGTCAACACTCAGATGATGGACATAATAACATGAGACGTGAATCTATTCTGTTATTGAGTTTCATTGCAAAATGATCAGCATCATTGAGAGAAAACGAGAAAAAAAAAAACACCAACAAAATAAGAAAAAAAACCGACTGAAGATTTCATCATATTCTTTAATTCGTTTTTATGGAGTTTGATATTTTTGTCACGGCAGAAAAAATAACACATTCCATTTCTACATTTCACTACATTTCAACGAAGAAGAGAAAAAAATACATTCATTTTTACATCTAAAGCACCATTCTGACAATGGCAATGCGAATGATTTAGTCATCAGGTGCGTGTTGTTTGCATAACCACTGGAGTCATTGAAGTGAAGCTCATTTCTACCATTGAAACGAACGCAAACATTCAAATAACGGTAATCAAGCCGCCGGTACGATTGTGAAATTATCGTTGAAAACATTTCATTAAGTAGCCGCCAGACGAGATCTTTAAAAACACTGAACTTAGAATATATATATATGCTCGGCTGAGTGTTATCAAAATAGATGTGGAAAGAAAAAAAAAATATGTATGTATGTATATGAATATATATTCTTCCAATTTCAGAGCCGATACGGCCACCACAACGGCCATTTATAATCTTTGTCGTTAACTTTGGATAAACTTTTTCCATCATTTTGGAATCGAATCGAATATTGTAAACCAATGAATGAATCGTTTGTCGTTGCAATGAAATATACGCCGCTTCTCGTCCAGCACACTCAGATTTAAGAAATAACGTTTATATCTGACACCCAATGTCAAGAAAGTTATGTATGGTGCCTAATGAACAGCAGAAAAAAAACGTGCAGCACGACATTGAAAAGCTTGGGAAAACAATTAGTTGGGCTGATCCAAGTTATGTAACAAATCAGTTTTAATGTTTAGGTAATTTTATCTGTGATCGAAGATGAAAAACAGAGCAAACTGCTGGATTGTCCGGTATTGATTACGAAATAGTAAATCATGAATAAATCTGCCTATAAATCAACTGTACGTTCTTAAGACGGTGAGATTAGGTAAACGATTTGTGTAAAATCATATTCTCCACATTGATTCGGGATGTGTATGAGTGAGTGTTGTAGCACACTATGCATATCTTGCATACATAATTTATCGCTCATTTGTCATACGATTGAAATATTTAATTTTCGAATTTTCCACCTAGTCACCGTTAGAATATGTGTAGAATCTTAATAATCGGTCTTTGATCTCTATTCAAGCCCGCTGAAGTTGTTCCAAAAATCTACGTTTGAGTCGCTTCTTCTTTTCACTGCCGGAATTATTGTCATTCCCATTGCATGGTTGATGCTACTTTTATTCAGAATTTTCTTTCTCTTGAGAATAGAATGGTTTTTTTTTTCTTTTCTAGTGTACAAAGAATCTTTGCTCTTCATTCGGTTCTCAAACGATTACAGATTGATTTGGTGCGCGTGCGAGCGCGCTTGAACGCATTCAAAGCGATTATGCTTCATGCGCATCATTTGCTTTGATGGTTATTTATGGATCTCTCTAATTGTGTCAGAATACTTTCTCATTGAACGGGGCAAATGAAATACAACGTAAGCATATTATGTCGGTGGTCCAAATGGAAGTGTGATTACATTCTATTTTATTTGTGTCGGAACCGCATTACCAATGTTCAACAATGTCTTGTCTAGAGATCGTGTGTCTCGGTCCACATAATCACATGAGTATTTTATTGTGCCTGATGTACAGTCATTAAATTGTTCACGTTTGGAGCGGTTGTCGTTGTTTTCTTCTTTTTTCTCCTTCTCCGGTTTCATTTGTTCGTTGATATTCTATTCTGTGCTATCTCATTCGGTGGGTTCAGTGCTAGACTATGTATTCATAGCCATAGTACACACAAATTGGTGTGTGATTCGAAATTATTGCTTTGACTGTTTTTTTTCCTTCTTCTTTTACATGAATATTCACTTGAGTCCTACATACATTTCGCCAAAAACTGTGTAACAATGACGAATCGCACGCGCAAATGTGAATGCTCGCATCTAAACAATCATTTTGTATGAGCATCACATAGCTTTGCGTTTTGAGGCGATAACATCGAATTACCGTACTTTTTCTTCTTTCTTCTGTTGTGTTTTTGGTTGTTTTTTCTTCTTCTTCTTCTTCTACCGACTACTTCACGGTGGACGACATTCACAAATTAAACATCACCTACGATGATAAAATCTTCCAACAAAAATATTGTATCAATCATGTGTCATTGTTGTATCTACATGTCGATTACCCCGTGAGGCTTTTGAGGATGAATCATCAAGCAGCTCGCGCGCGCGCGAATAACTATAACCGGAGAGAAAATTCACTTAAGCCCAACCGATGTGATATTAGCTTGTTGGTGTGTGTATGTGTGTGTGTGTGTCATTTGAGATGGCAGTAACGGTTTACCGAAGCAATAAACCTCAACCTTAACATTAACATTACCGAAAGAAAAAAAAATCTTTCCAATTTGATTTCACACTTGTTCGCAAGTGCGTCAAGATTCATGTTTACATGCAATCACAAATATGTGGCTGTCGGTGTAAGCGACAATGTGAATACAGAACGAAAGAAAAGAGACAGACAAAAAAGAGCGAAGAAGTTGTGTGTTGGAGAGATGTTGCTGACAAAACTGGAGAGGACCAATCTCATTGTACACACAGTGCGCTCAATGCTTGTGTGTATTGGTTTGCGTAGCGGCCGAAATCGTATATAAGGCATTTGGTCATGCTTTTGATGAACAGTCGAAAATTCAGTGGCGTTTAGTGTGACGAGAGTTAGATTTTTAATATTTGATCTTTTTTGCTTCAGTTTGATGAATTTTGTTCGGTGAAAAGCGAGGCCACAATTAGTCAAACGTGAAAAAAGTGATCATTCGATGTTGATCGAACAGATCAGTAGCTAGAAAAACGTATTTTCGAGATAACTTTTTTCCTTGTGCAGTTCGTTAGAAATATCCAAATATGTATAGAATATTCATAACTTGTGTGCTTGCCATTCAGGTAATAGTGTTTGAAAAAGAAAATTAATTTACCAATGTTGTGTATTAAATCGCAAAGTATTCCACATTTATAGGTTCAAAGTAAGCCATTTGGTGCGTTATTGTTCGCAAGAAATGGACCACTTTATTCAAATCCACAGCCGGTATTCCCGACCGGTATTATTGGAACGATGCGCTTACATGAAAGCATTGTTAATCCGTTTAGTCAGCATTTGCACGCGGCATTTCGTAACGCCTTTCCAGCACTGACCACTCAACAAGTGTTCAGGCCATTTGAGACACAGCCACCGCCAACAGGTTCACCGTTCCAACCATTTGGCATCGGTGCGCCAGCTCCATTCCCAACCTATGGAAATCCACCACCACCTCAAATCCTATTCGAACCATCGAACATAGCACCTCCAACAAACGAACCAGTCAATTTTTATGGCCAGCCAAACTATCAACCGGCCACAAATCCACCACCATCGAATCCGTTCAACCCAACCTCACTGGTACCATCAGATAAAGGGCATAAAGTTTATGGACCGCCGGAATATCAGCCATCATGGAATTCAAATTATGAACCGCAAACATATTCAAATTATCCACCACCATCGAACGTATTCAACCCAACGAATGAGTCAGACAATGGGCATAATGTTTATGGACCACCATCAGCATATCAGCCATCATCGAATTCGATCTTTCCACCAAGAGGACCACAGATTCCTTCAATAATTGGAACTGCACCACCTAGCTATGCAACACAGCCGCAGTTATATGAAACACAACCTCCAGTTTATGGAACGCCAGCTCCTAGTCTTGCAACAAAATCTCCCGTCTATGAAACACAACCTCCCGTTTATGGAACGCCAGCTCCAGTATATGGAACGCCAGCACTCAGTTTTGCAACAAAATCTACCGTCTATGAAACGCAACCACCCGTTTATGGAACACCTGCTTCAGTATATGGTACTCCGGGGCCAGGTTATGGCGCCCCAACAACTACTGCCTCATTCATTTCGAACACATTCATCCCAACGGATGGACCATTGAATCCACCAAACGCTTATGGGCCACCTACTTATCCACCAATCTATGGCCTACCGCCTCGACTACAGCCGTATCCAACGAATGTTGTGCCACTTGTTCCAAACACAAATATCTATTTACCACCAACACCGCCAGGTAAATTGCCAATGCATGAAATGTTCTGTGAATGAAAATGTTCATTCATTTTATTCTCATTAGCAGGTCCGACGGCGACCGTCTATCAACAAACGGGCACAACACCAAGCTTAGACTCAACTACGGTGGCGACTCCGAGCACTTCCGACTCGGAAACAGTTGCAAATGAACTTAGCTCACAAACGGCATCAACCAGATTAACACCAACGGTAAGCATACAAAAACAAAAAAGAAGTGAAAATTAATTGCAATCTCTGTGCACAACACAACAGAACACACGTTCGCCAATTCCAAAAATAGACCATAGAGATAAATTTCTATTTAGTGAATTGTCGCGCTAAATGATTTTATTTTTCGAGCTAATATTGAATAAATTAAATTCATAGATTGGAATGAGTGCATTAACAACAACAACAGAAAGTTCAGCAACAAGTGTGTCCACTTCAACTCCACCATCGATCGAATTATCATTGCCATCATCGACGACCGAATCTTCGGTAGCCACAACAACAACCGAATCGCCAACATTACCGGCAGCTGAAAGCACTGACAATTCAGACGATACAAATGGCACAAGTGACACAGCCGAAACATTACCAGCAGAGACAGACGATGAAACGACCACAACAATCGATGAAACCAACGAAACTGGCGAAAATGAAATTGAAGTGTAAATTTTGGTTCACCAAAATGTGCACTTCCAAGTAAACTTAGCCATAAAATAAAAATTATTGTTTAGGTATTAGTATGGAAAGCGAATATTTATGTAATTTATCATAGAAAAATTATTGGGAAGATTTTATAAGAACCTTATGCAAACGAAGTGAACGAATAAATCTATTTTCAAACAATAAACATTTAAATTCTGTGTGTGTCTGTCTCGATTATGTTCGAGCCATTGTTTCGAGGTAGCTCATTTTGGAATCTAATGTCTCGTGTCATAATGTGTTAATGTGCGCTGGGAATAGAGGAAAACAAATCATACGCTGGTCTTAATGCGTTATGATGAATGTCAACAGCATCATAACCATGGGTCAAAGTGATAAGACGGTGATCGGAAAACGAGCGTACAAGATGTATGTGTGTAATTTGATTGCATTGAAATGATGAACAAAGTCATCAGCCTTCGATAAATCGGTTACGGTTTTCCTCCGCCGGCTATAATCGCCACCGTCAATTTAATGTGCCATTGTGTTATGGTTTTTTTCTTCTTCTTCTTCTTTGTATTGTGTATTACTTCAATCCTTCCGTTGTTTATGCATTGAACTTGTGTTTCTTCTTTTTCTCTTTTTCGTTGTCAGTCAGTCATTCGGCATAGACAATATTTGATTTGAGAACCATACAGACAATCAATATTTGTGTTTGTACGTATTTGCTTTCTTCGCGCACCGTATTTCTCTCTTGCCCGCCATAACCGAAAATCCGTTGTGGCATCACGCTGTTAACCATTTTAAGGTGCAATTAAAGAGAAATGGTTTTGTTTGTGCTTAGCACGTACACGATGTAGTACACAGCACATCAAAAAAATAGGTAAACGATCACTCATCATCGTCGTCTTGATCGTTACAACGTTTCGGGTAAATAGCAAATAGCTACTAAATATACACACACTGTGTTGATTTCGTTGAGTGAAATGATACAATTTATCAATCAAGCGAAAACTTTAATCAGTTTGCTCATTTTTTTTTACGGGGCGGCTTATTAACGTTTTGATTTAAAGGTTTCATCGTTATGCTTTATGTTTGCTTTTGGGTTTTTTTTACTTCGCTACTGGGACACACACACACAAAATTTGGGTCAAGTAAACACTGAGTGTGCTTTGGAAAAAAAAACCACCATGTCAACGAAAACATTCTCGCATCATAAATTTTGGCCAAAGTTTTCGGTGTTTTTTTTTTTTGTTCCGGTCAACTTCGTTTCTCTTGGCTATTTTTAGTAAACTCGATAAGTACAAATCATTTGCAATCGTACGAACACGTTCTGCAATGTCCTCGTTACAGGCCGTTTGTCGTTTATTCCAATATTTGACACGGAATGATTTGTTGAGCATCCACCATCATCAATGTGTACATTACAGATAGTTTTTTTTTTTCGCTTTTTCTTCTACTTCGTCGTCGTCGTCGTCTTTCGCGCTTGTAAAATTCATTTTCATGGCATGTGATGTGTGTTTCGTGTTTTTGAAATTATCAAGAATGCTTCAGTTTGCTTGGTTCTGCTGCTGCTGCTGCTTTTTTGGTCATGGCTTTCAGAACGAACAGCACAAGGTATTTCAGTCAACGATATTTTCTGTTTTGATTATATAGTTTGTTAAGCCAACAGATAGGTAAACGTGGATTTTGGCATTTCGCAACTGTGTGATAAATTCATAAATTTTCCATCTATACGAATGTACGTTGCACACACATATTCGGAATCCGTTTGCACAATTCTCAAGCCGAATCTATAGTCACATAGCACCAAATTTTCGAAGCAATAACAACAATCATCGAACAGAAATTGATTACATTCATACTTTCGCATAAATAATTTGCACGTGTGACTTTTCGTCTGCACATAAATGGAATCGGCTGTGGATACGCTTCTAATAAATTGTTAAGTGTAAATTATTTGGAATTCAAGTCGATTATGTGACATTATTAAGTTTAGATACCACACTATTGGCCAGCTATCTACATTGAGTGGATGGCATGCTTGCATTGTTGCCATTCAAAATTCAAAGCTCAGATGCGGAACTGGACGTGCTAATGATTATGCGAAATTTAAATACGCACTCTTTTCATAATCATTCTCAACGCTTTCCACAGAATATTCAACATCATTATTTATATTTTACAAGCAAACAGTGATTAAATTCAACTTTTCATCGGAAACGTTTGTCATCGCAAAGATGGACGAGATGAAGCATACTCTAGGGATCGAATGACGCATATCATGAGTTTTGCATCATGTAGTTGGAGAATACGTGAACATTTAAAGTAGAAGATAGAATAGAAATTCCGTCTGCATCCTCGTTCATTTCGCAAATCATTGATAAATATCTTATTATAAAAAAAATACTCCGGAACAAATGCAAAAACTAAGTTTCCTTCGAAACAATTGGTAGAGCAATACTTTTAGTACTTTAATGATTGGATTTTCTTCTCTACGTTACCGAGTGTGTAGATGTTTTGAATTTCAATGAATATAGATGGAATTTCGTAAATCGATTCATAGTCATAATGTATGGTAATCTGATCAAATTATTATCCTGTTCAGAATAAGTACATCACTAATAATCATTTTCCAATTATGTCAAGTGCAATAATCATCGAAAGAGAATTTCCACGGTCAGACGGTACAATGCGTTATTCACGATTAATCGATATTCCTTAATCTGATCAACCATTCAAATGACGCTTTGGTAAATTTTAGTTTGGGTGAAGCAATCAATGATCCCACCAATGATGCAGTCAGCTCAGTGTGTTGCTTTAAAATTTCATTTTTAGATAAATGCGAACATTTAACCAAAAAATTGCAACTTGTTGATGCTGGGGGGAATAATTTAAAGAAGAACGATACGAAAATTGGGTTTTTAAACAATAATTGAGAGGTATTAAACTATAAATTAGTATGTATAAAGGGATAGAGTGTGCAAGTGTTCAAACTATTGCATGAAGTTGTGGTATAATTGAATTATTTTGCTGAGGATTGTCTAATATGTTAAGTACCTCATCTTTATCCAGGCCAAGCTGTAAGAAAAACGTAGGTTATTTTATTATTTAAGCATGGCATTACACAAAGGCAAAGAAAAAAAAACTTTTACCCAATTGTTAATACGAAAAAAATGTTTTACAATGTTATACTATTACATGAAAAGTAGTTTAAATCGGATTAATAAAACTAAAGAAAAACAAAACGTTTCTCAACCAAGATCAAAATGATGCCACCATGGAGAAGATGCATTTTTTTAATTACACGAAATAAAATATGGAATGAAGAAAGTTTAATTAAACATTGATTGAATAAAAAAAAAAACAAAGAAGAAGACAACAAACCACACAACTATGAACTATTGTTGCTACGATTTTGAATGGAAAGTTGGTTATAACTGCTGCTATTATTCATTTCGATATCACACGGAACAACACCGAAGAACTAATATTACGTGAGAGCCGCAACATGGACAATACGACTTGAGGAAAAACCGTACACAAAGACGATTTTCATTCACACCGTTATTGCGTGCAACCCTTGTTATCTTTTTGAATTCTCTTCCTAAAATTTGTGTACGATTTGATACAAGTTTTCACCCAGTTATCCTTTGTTCCATGTTTTGGTTGTTCTTGCATATGTGAAAAATCAATTTGTATGTCTATTCTAATAAATTGAAATATAGGGATTCAGTTGATGAAACCACCAAAATAATGTTCATGAATAAATTTGACATGGATGCATATTTCCCTTATGGACTGCACATGTACACACATGAGCATTTCTGTTACGTAAAATATAGATTCCTGTGTCATGGAGGCCAATAATCAGATTAAAATCGTTTTTCCACTAAAAATTTTGCGCAGTAAGGAACATTGTTCATTTCCTCTTGTACAGATGTTCAGAGATTCGGTGGTGCAACACAAACGATGCTACTAAAAGTTTGTGCAGAACAACTCGATTTCAAGTTGCCTGGCCGATGCAGGAATGCGTACGGTGGAGGAATACGTATTGTATGTAACGGAAATGCTAATGTGTTCATCCATTTGAAATATGAGTAATTGAAAGTGCAATTTTTTCAATTCCATCATGAAGATGAAATCATCCGTATGCTTTGAACCATTTGAGTAAAGTTTAAATATTCTCAAAGCATCGTTTCAAGAAAACATATTGATTATTAGTGCAATAATGCATCCTATGACTATGCGTTCTCGCGTCGCAACCACTTTTCTATCTAATGCATTCCTTTTTTATAAACATAAGATAAGGAATTGTCCAATTATTTCAATGAAATACGTTTAAAAATTGTCACTACGGTATAAAAATGTATCAATTTTCATGTGGTATGTGAAAATAAAATCAAATAATATCTCTAAATTCACATATGCTCCACTTGAATGTGAAAAATTTATCTAAAACAATCTAAAGAGTATTCTTAAACGGAGTGGAGCGATTTCAAGAAGAACCACTCAAAGTCTTACACATAAAATGCAAATTCCGAATGAATGCTAGATTGAATTATGTGAATATTCATGGAATTTGAAGAGGAAAAGTTCTTCGTTCAAGCAAGATAGTTAAGCACAAAAAACAACACCACTCATTGACTTCCAAGCGGTGGCTCTGGTTAAATGTGGAAATGTCGATGCAATCAAAATTTGTCTTTCGTTTAATTTATAACATCAGATTGCACGGCATTGTGCATGAAATAAGTAGAAATGTTGGCAATTTTACCTCATCAGTATCACTGTTGACCAGCAGCAAATCAAACGGAACGGCTGCCACTAAATCTATGAGAAACCATCCGCTTAGATAGTGGACGGCTATACGACCAGGGTGCGAAACAACTTCATCTTGACCATTAACAAACGTTGTGCGAAAGTTTATTAGAATATCTATCACAAATGTTACATCAACTATGGAAGAGAAACGAGAAAGAAAAACGATTGGGACAGGTGTTATTTTCCATGTGTTCGAAATATATCAGTGTCAATTTTCAAAATAAATACTGTGTGTCGCACTTCCCCATTGAACTCAGCTCCGATCCAGTCGAAACAAGTGACCAATCGAAAGCACTAACACACTTATTAATTTGCAAGGGGCTTCTGACTCTGACTCGCAAATTCCACAGTTTTTTTTTTTGTGAATGGACGCACAATATAATTACTGCCAGTTGAAACAATACACACACTCAAATGTATAACGAAGGACAACACAAACAGTTGCATTTTGCGTCATTAGTACATAAATTTGACCAATTTTTGCATGTGCAATTGTGTGCAATTGTCTGTGATTTTTTGTAATGTATGTGAATTGTCAATTTTCAATCAGAAGCCCCTAGTTAAATTGAATACAGTATAAGGACAACAGTACAAAACGAATAAATTACCAATTAAATCAATTATCACAATTGGGTCTGTATTTATATATCTATTTGTTTTTTTCTGATTGTATTCAGCTTCGCCTAGTAAAAATGCAGCTACATATGGTGTAAAAATGGCCGTGTACATAACCAATATCAGAATAATCCAGTCCCACACTGCTTTGAATGGTGAGTAATGTAAAATGGTCCACCGATGAACGCGTGGGCTTTGCAGTTTATATTCTGGAAGTACGTCGGCGCCAAGTGACAAAACCTGAAATGACAAAGTGAAAAACCATTTAATATGATTAATTTATTTCAAGTCTACGCTGTTGGCAGAAAAAAAAAATGATAATTGGCCAACAGTAATACGTAATAAAAGTTTGAAAATTATTTCCAAATTGAAATTATTTGTAAAATTCATCAATCAAAAATAAATTCGGTGAATTCATAAAAGGTACGTTTCATTCGAATTCGGATTTTTTTGAACTCAAAAACCAAAATTTACGTAGAAATTGTTCTTTTTATAGACGCTCATTATTTTTTTTCTTCCTAGAAATGAACGTATAAGTGGCTTTTATCCAATACTTTTTATGCATATTCATCGGAGCATGACAAATATTGCATGAATTTTACAAAATTAATTAAAATTCATTGGTCAAGCGGAAAAATTCCACGAATGCAACCATAAATTGAACAAAAAATTGTTTGACTTTTACTTGTTTTTTTGTTGTTGTTGTTGCTTAATTTGATGAATTGTTCATTTGCAAGATTATTGTTCAGCGCCATTTTAAACAAAATGAGATAAAGGACACATCGATAAAAAAAAATACAACGTATCTATAGAAACATCGGAGTGTATCACAAATATATGACAGGGTATCGCGTCATTTTCCACATTCATGCACATTGTGTGCTGGAAACGAATCCGGTGGTTTCGTGTTGTCGATATAATGATATAGGTGGATGGAGATAACTGAACCGAATAATATCTGATTATTGATTATTATGATAGATAAAAGTTGAAGGCTTCAACTTGAAGCAATAAGCAAACCGTTTGTTTGTGGCATTTGTGTGTGCACCGGGAAAAAAAGATTTCAATCACTTCTTGATCATGAATATTTTTTTTTCCTTCTCGATCCGTGCACTAGAGCCACGACGGTGGTGTAAGCTCTGGAGAAAAAGAGCTGTTTCACTTTTTCCATATAGCATGTTGCTGTCGGTCGTAACTAACCAACAAAATCGTTAGTTGTAAAAAGGATTTCCATACTAATACCACATAGTACACCAGTGACGTTGTGTATGTTTTTTTAACATTACACTTGAGACCGACTCACGATGTACACTGTTCCATGGAAAAAAGCCAACCATACACATACACACACTCTCTTTTTATCTCTACGGACGAACCTTTATCATTCTATTAAAGTGATTTTTCCCGCTTTTTAATCTAATTAAAACTTACTCGTTTTTGTCTATTTCGTTTTGAATGACCTTTTTGAACGCATGACATTGCGTGCTAGAGATAAAAGCTCGAAAACAAAGATAATCCGCATCTATCATATAGACAGTTTGACAAAACATATAGTGAACTGTACGCTATGGTTGAAATTCCGAAAGTAATTAGAAGAAAAAAAATATGCCTAATAAATATTTACTTTGATAGATTTTATCTGCCTTTAGGCCGTTTGTAACTAAATAGTGCATGTTTTGTTTCTTATTCTTAATCAAATTTAACACGTTTGGAATTTCCACCATAGTTTGGAGTATAGAAAGCGATAGTGCACGTCTTAATGCATTACGTCCTCCAAATCAAAATAACTATGTTTTGAAAATCGATTCTGAAATTCTCGATCAATAATCAAATCCAGCTTTTCCAAAGAATTTGATTCGTAGACTAATTTACTAATGACATCTGCAACTCAAATACTCAAAACGAAAAATCACAACCAATCATAGCCTAAAATTGTCTGGGTGTAGGTATTTTAGTTAATTATTATTCTTGGTTCTATCCATCATATTATTGGTGTTGTCAATAATTAGCCGAAAATACGACCATTATCACCTCATGATAAATTCTTGGATTGTTCGTTATTTTTTCACATAAAATCCGCGATCATTTGTTTGTTTTTATCATTTGAAATGAGTTGGATGAAAGATAAAAGTTGGTACCTCTTGTCCTAATTGTGTTGATTTGCCTCCGTTGAGCCCATTCAAATTCAAATTGGGATTTGTCGATACATGATTTTCAATTATGGTTTTGCTCTTTGAATCACTGCTCAACCGAACGCTAGACCATTTTTCAATCACCTAAAAAACATGCATGTGGTACATCGCAATTGCAAACCAAACCAAACAGGGAAAAAAAACAACAACACAATTGAGTCGAAAGTGTACAACGATTGTATCACACAATATGTCTTCGGAGTGGGAGAAAGTATGGGAAATGAAAGAGAAACGTGACATATTTCTCATTTGGTGTGTACGCGCACGTTGCATGTGGGAAGAGAGAAAAAAAAGGAACGGCTGTCACGATTTTTTTTTTTTTCAATGTGCCAATTGTACTGTGTGTGTGTATCAAATTTTATTGCATCTAGCATGCACACGATGTGCCCTTTTGCATTAGGTTTTGTCGTTACCGCCGCTTGTTAATACGAACTATTTCACTTCTCACACATTTCATTGTGAATTATTCATTTTTCGATTTTATTCATGCCGTTCTGAATATTTCATTAAGCTTTTCAAGTTTCATCAGGATTTCCGCACACACACGTTTATACCAAAGTAGTTCAAGCCCACATTTTTTTTCTATCACTATTGTGTGCATTCCGTTATTATCAACGGTGTTTTTTTCTGTTTCTCTTGCTTGGACATTTGTTGGGCGCTTTTGATCGTTATCGAATAAATGGGCCAAGGTCAATAAAAATGAAATTAATTGCCGTGCTTGGCGCCTTTGTCCGGTGTGTGTGTGTGTGTGTGTTTGTGATTCAGTTTTGATGGCGTTTTTACACACCGGTTTCGGTTTTGCTGTTGCAACACACCACAAGTTGCGGTTTCAAAGTGCCAACGAGGAGATAGAAAGTAAAAAAAAAAAACAATAGTGTCAAGAGATTAAATACCGCTAATAATGTTGACGGTGGTGACGCTGATGGCAATTGAACGTTGCATATAAAGTGCATACTACAAATCTTTGCCATTCATGTGACAAATCATTTGAACGAGTGAGGAAAATCGATGTGCATCAACTCCTGTTCAATTTATTGTGTCGTTAAAACACTCAAGCGTTCGCTGTATCATACGGCTTGTTCGGAGGACCGATATGACATGAACACTAATTGCAGCAGGCAATCGGATGTATTTATACCATCTGATTGAACACACATGTTGAATGCCACACAAATCAAATCACATTCTGAATAAACAATTCGGTTCGATTGATTTCATTTCGATCGACTCCCTCAGTTATTATTATTCAAGTATGATTATGACGATGCATCTCCTTTCAATGGCCATATTTCTCATCACCATCGAAGCCCATTTCTTCGGCATTCTGGGGAAATTACACATCAATTCATGACATTCTGAAGCATTTGCATATGAACGTTGAAGCGATAATTTTCAAAAAGAAAGTGAAAAAAGAATTGAAATTCATTGCAGGAAATTTGCTTGAATGACACTCGAATGGATTGAGAAAATCATCGTTGATATTATAAATCGGGAACACGGACCATAAGTTCCATCGTGACCGAAATGCTATTATTCGTAATTGGTGCAAGCGAATGACAGAGAAAGAGATAGATAGAGAAAAGTCTCATAAGTTCATACAATTATACATCAATAACAAATGCTTCAAGTAGTTGACGCTCCGCGCCATTTCTCAATTTCACAAGTCCGAATGTAATTTTCCAATTTCAATAATAAATAAACCGAACGATAGAATAGTGTTGAAATAATTTCCCATGAATATAATATCAACGCGTTTTTTCCCTTCTTTTTTTCTTTTCATAACGAAAATTGAAATAGCTAAAGTAGGCTCCCAAATGCTCTTCCTGTCAACGGCACAATTTATGGTAGAAATAATTCTACATTGCCTGGATTATTCCAATGCAGAAATATTGATCACATGGTTCGAGCGAATATTGTGCACGTCTTCTGCATTGAATCGTGACTGTCATTTTTATCATCTTCTTCCTCTTCTTCTTCGTGCATGCTGCCACACCAAATGATATCAAATGTCAACGACACAGAAAAAAAATCAAACTAATCATCAGCACCTTCAAACTATTCGGAACGGATATATTGCGATGTTCTTGGCCGAGCGACTTCGCTGGTCGTACAAAACTGCGACTGGTTGTCGTATTGAATCCGAAACCACTGATCGCATTAAAATCATAATCGTTTGGATAGATGGTTGGCATTGAATTCTTTAGTTTCGGCAAATTTTCGGTTTCATTATTTGTTTGCATCCTGGGCTCGTGTGCATCTCGTTTTATTTCGATATCCATCTTACGGTTGGAGGTGGTTGCAGTTACTCTGGCTGCACTTTTTTATGGTTTACAATAGTTTCGTTGCTGCGTTGCTTCAAAACGAATTCAATAGACATAAATGCGGTATGCATGAACCGATTATGCATTTCGTGGTGGTAAAAACTTAGTTTTTTCTTCTTGTCGTACAGCACTTAGTTGATATATATCGATTGCTTTGAATGACTTTAAATGTCTTAATCGTTGAGCAATTATTATAGATTATAGCATAATATTATGAAAGCAGCCACATAGTTGAAAAAAAACGATGATAAGTTCCTCTATGTATTTAGAAAAAAGAACAACTCTAATCGGACGTGAAACTGATTGTCTATACTTCGACTTTGATTGGTTTACGTGGTCTTTTAACTTTCACTACATGATATAAACTGTGTGTTTTCGCTGTAGAAACGCCAACTATATTCGTAAACTGGCATTGTTGTGCGCGATCGCTCTCGTTGTCGTCTGAGAAAGCTGATGTTCGGGAATAAAATGAAATGCAATCAATTGGAAAGTTATGATAGTGTACTACTTTTGAATATGCTCCCCGTCGTCATATAAATCAATGTTCAGACGCTAAGTGAAGAAACTATGCTCAACTAAGTATGGTGCGCTTTGTTTCAGGATTATCTGGAACTCATAATACTTTCTTTATAGTTTTCTTTTTTAGAATATTCGAGGTCTGTTTGTGAGACATTTGCGCCAAAATTTTCAGATAGAAATTTATAAGAAATTCAAGTGATTATGCAAA